TGGTTCCAACCACAGAGAGGGGTGTTTGACTAGCCAACCCGAGCAGTTATGTGCTTTTCCAGATGTTGGCTGTTTCCTTATCCACCCTAGATGGAAAGAATGGTTGGGCCTCTTAATCTGGTTGGCATTTGTTGGCAGCATTTCAGATAGAGTCTAACATAACTGATGAAAATTGCTGGATTTGTATTTCAAGAAAGGAGGTGGAAATGGAGTGCTATTTTTTGGATTTGCCTAAAAACATTTTTAGCAGGGCAATGCTTGAAATTGTTTTAAACTTATCGTAAAAGAACGGACCCAGAGAACCGTTACAACAAATGTTTAGCTTACCGAGTCATTGTAAGATGAACACCTTATTTGAGCCATCACTGAGGCTAAGAAATAGGACTTTGCCCCCCATTCCAGAAACCCTTCCATATCCTCCATCTCAATCACAGGCCCTCACTCCCCCAAAGGTAATCATTATCCAGACTTTTACAGTCATCCTCTTGTTTCTGTAGCTTTGTCCCTCACATGTACATTCCTAGATACTATATTTACTTTTACTCATTTATTAATTTGATCTGTCTTTAAAAAATTTTTTTAAATGTTTATTTATTTTTGAGAGAGAGAGAGAGAGAGAGAGAGAGAGAGAGAGAGAGAGAATGAATGGGAGAGGGGCAGAAAGAAGGGGGAGACACAGGATCTGAAGTAGGCTCCAGGCTCTGCACTGTCAGCACAGAGCCTGACGTGGGGCTGGAACTCATGGACTGCAAGATCACAACCTGAGCTGAAGTCAGATGCTTAACTGACTGAGCCACCCACGCACCTCATGATCTGTCTTTTAATTATAAGTTCCTTTCCATTCCTTGCTTTTCTCTTAAAAATTATTCACATTTATGGGGGCACCTGGGTGGCTCAGTCGGTTAAGCGTCCGAACTTAGGCTCAGGTATGATCTCACGGTTTGTGGGTTCGAGCCCCACATGGGGCTCTGTGCTGACAGCTCGGAGCCTGGAGTCTGCTTCTGATTCTGAGTCTCCCTCTCCCTCTGCCCCTCCCCTGCTCACGCTCTGTCTCTGTGTCTCTCAAAAATAAATAAATGTAAAAAAAATTAAAAAAAATTATTCACATTTATGGTGTAATTCACATACCATAAGTCACCTTTTAATGTTCACAATTCAGAAGTTTTTGGTATGTTCACAAGATTGTGTAACTATCATAACTAATTCCAGAGTATTGTCATCAAGCTGTTAAGAAATCTGTACCCACTTCAGTCACTCTCCACCTGCCCTTCCCCCAAACCCTTGCCAAACCACTGATCTTTCCGTTTCTATTCATTCGCCTCTTCTGGATATTTCCTAAGAATGCAATCATATGAAATGTGACCTTTAGTGGCTGACTTCCTTTACTTGGCAGATTGTTTTCAAGATTCATCAGTCTTGTATGGCATAGATCGTGCTGATGGTTTCATGAATATGTACTTATCTCTAAACTCATCAGGTTGCATACATTAAATATATACAGCTTTTCGTATGTCAGTTACACCTTAATAAAGGGGTATAAGAAAAAAGATTCATCCATCTTGCAGCATGTAGCAGGACTTTGTTCCTTTTTATGGCCAGATAGCATTCCATTGTATGTGGATACAATTTTGTATATTCATTCATTAGTTAAGGAACGTTTGGGTTGTTTCCACTTTTTGGATACTATCAAGGATGCAGCTATGAATGTTTGTGCGTAAGTTTTGGTGTCACACATGCTTTCATTTGTCTTGGGTATCTACCAAGGAGTGGAATTGTGGAGTCACATGGTAACTCTATGATTAACTCTTTGAGGAACTGCCGAACCGTTTTCCAAAGTGGCTTCATTATTTTACATCCCTATCAGCAATATGTGAGGGTTCCAATTTCTCCACATTTTTGTCAACACTTTTTGGCTATAACCATCCTTATAGATCTGAAATGGTATCACATTGTGGTTTTGATTTGCATTTACCTAATGACTATGTTGAGCACTTTTCATGTGCTTATCAGTTATTTGTACATCTTTGGAGAAATGTATGTTCATAGTCTTTGCCCATTTTAAAAAAAAGATTTGGGTGGCCATACATTCCAGTTGGCCTGTGACACTCTCAGTTTTGCCTATTGTAGTCATTTTTTTATTCTACTTTGAATTTATTTATTATTGAAGCACAGTTGACGTCTCTACCCATTTTAAAATTAGGTTGTCTTTTTACAGTGAATTGTGAGGGTTCTTTATTTATACTTTTTTTTTTAGTGTTTATTTATTTTTGAGACAGAGAGAGACCGAGCGTGAGTGGGGGAGGGGCGGAAAGACACACACACACACACACACACACACACACACACACAAAATCCCAAGCAGGCTCCAGGCTCTGAGCTGTCAGCACAGAACCTGACACGGGGCTCAAACTCTTGAACCGTGAGATCATGATCTGAGCCAAAGTCGGACGCTTAACCAACTCAGCCACCCAGGCTCCCCAAGAGTTCTTTATTTATAGATGACCCCAATTTGTAATGGCTTGAGTTACAAGTTTTTGACTTTACAATGGTGCAAAAGCCACACACATTCAGTGGAAACTGTACTTCAGACATTGAATTTTGATCCTTTTCTGGGCTAGCAGGATGCACTACAATCCTCTCTCGTGATGCTGGGCAGTGGCCTGGAGCCTCAGCTCCCAGTCAGCCGGGTGGTCACAAGGGTAAACAACCAATACGCTTAAACCACTCTATTTTTCACTTTCAGTAGTGTTCAATAAATTACATCAGATATTCAACACTCTATTATAAAACGGGCTTCATGTTAGGTGATTTTGCCCAACTGTAGGCTAATCTGAGTGTTCTGAACACATGTAAGGTAGGCGAGGCTAAGCTATGATGTCAGTGTCAAATCTAAGAACTCTTTGCTTCATCCTAGATCCTGAATATTTGCCTCGATGTGTTATTTCCTAAAAACTTACAGTTTTATGTTCTATATTAGGTCTATGATTCATTTTCAGTTAATTTTTAGTTTTTTTAAATGTTTATTCATTTCTGAGAGAGAGAGAGTGAGAGAGAGCATGAGTAGAGGAGGGGTGGAGAGAGAAATGGGCAGAGGATCCAAAGCAGGCTCCAGGCTCTGTGCTGACAGCAGCGAGCCTGATGTGGAGCTTGAATTCACGAACTGTGAGATCTTTTTTTTTTTTAATGTTTTTATTTATTTTTGAGACAGAGAGAGACAGAGCATGAGCAGGGGAGGGGAGAGAGAGAGAGGGAGACACAGAATCCGAAGCAGGCTCCAGGCTCCGAGCTGTCAGCACAGAGACCGACGCGGGGCTCGAACTCATGGACCGTGAGATCATGACCTGAGCCGAAGTCGGTCGCCCAACTGACTGAGCCACCCAGGCGCCCCAGATCTTAACCTGGGCCAAGGTCGGACTCTCAACCGACTGAGACACCCAGGTGCCCTGAATTAATTTTTATATAAGATAAGAGGGTTTTTTTTTTCTTTCTCCCATGATGAATCCAGCACTATTTGTTGAAAGTTGAATTACTATATTGAAATGATGGTCTTGACTAGCCACACCACACCACCCTAAAATTCTTTTAATGCAATTTTTTTCTAGTCATATAGTGATGGGAAAACAAACCACACCACATTTGGTATTTCGTGAGAAATCTTGAGATTCAGAGATTTCGTATTTGAGAGTCCTAATCTTGTCCCTTTGTTTGTTCTCTAATAAGTAGCCTTTTACACTGGCTGCAGAGAGCTGGGAACATGTGGCAGCATGGGGATGCCTAATCCATATGTCTCAAGCCAAGTTTAGATAAAGAAGTAGGAGGAAGAGAAAAAAGAAAGACAAGAGAGGCCCTGCACTTTAGCTTTGAATCTATTACTTTTTACCTGGGTGACCTTGGACTGCCTTCCTGTCTGCCAATGGGAATGACGGGCTTTCTTTGCAGACTCCTTATTGTAACATCTCACACATCAAGCTTCCGGCCTAGGTCTGGCTCCAGCACACCTCTGGTCCCCAGGGGAGAGGAGGACGTGCAAGGCTTTTTTCTTCTGGGAGTCCAACTCTCTTCCTGAGGCCGGAGGAGGTTGGACTACAGGAGTACGTAGAGCTGAGCAGGTGGTGAGTGGAGAGCTTGGCTTGGCCATGTTGGACAGAGGGATGAGGGTGCCCTAAAGTGCTCTCTCCGCCCTGCCCCCCACACCGCCCTCCCGCCCTCCCTGAGGCCGCAGAAAAGATCAATGACGTAAATGGATTAGGAAAAGCCTGCCTGGCCTCTTCCTGCTGTCACCCCACCTGGGGCTGGAGATTAGTGGGTGGCAGCTGTGTCAGGAGGACAGACATTTAAATGTCAGCTTTGGTCGAAAGGAGCCCTTCTAAGAAGAGAGGAAAAGAGAAGACCAGCCTCCCTCACCCCTCCTCTGGCGGGTCAGTCCCGCGCTTCCCTGAGCATGCACTTTTTCAAAACACAGGACTCGCCTTCCTTCCAGTGATTTTCACTCCTCAGACAGGTGTCGTGATCATTACAGACAGGGCTGATGCTGGCGCCACATCCGACTCGGTGTGTGGCAGGGGAAAAGCCATGAATCATGTAGTGGAGATTTAAAAAAAATGCCGTTAACCTACTTTCCCAGACAGGAGAGCAGGCAGAGGATGCTACCTGGGCCAAGGGAGCTCTTTTCAACAGTGCAGCCCAGCTCAGAGGGCGGTGCCATTCTCATGGTTCATTTGTTCATTCACTCAGTCATTCATTCGCCTAAGCTTTCATTTCGGAGTTTATTTCCTCATTCACTGATTCAGCCAGGCAGCCTCGCAGGTCCCCCCAGAAAACATTTCTGTAGCTTCCTCTGTGTGCCTAGCCCTGTGCCCAGCCCCGGGGATGCAGGTGATGAAAACATGGTGTTGCCAGGCCGCAGAGGGGGCTGGGCTGTGCCTGGGCTGGAGTGGTGAGTACGGGCCCGGAGAGCTGGTGGACGTTGTGGGGACTCTGCCACAGGCATGTCTCTGCAGGCATGAGCCCGGCCTCTGTGACCCTGGCCAGCGCCCTGCAGGTCAGGGGCGAAGCTCTGTCGGAGGAGGAAATCTGGTCCCTCTTGTACCTAGCTGCGGAGCGGCTCCTGGAAGATATTCGTGAAGGTAAGAGGGTGTTTGGGCCACATGAATCACAGGGAGTTGAACGCAAAGCTTCCCAAGCCATCTCTGCTGCTTCTCAGATCTGTTATCAGTCCAAAGCATTAGATCAAGTAGTCAAATGACACCTGCCTATGGAGTTGCCCTGGGAAGGCAGGCCTGTCTCTCAGACCCATGGCATGCAGCAGAGTTGAAAAAAGGCCTTGCTTCTAGGGAGCTTCTAGCGGCTGCAGCTGTATGGGCCTCTCCCAACACCTGGACAGTCTGAGCATAAGGGACAGGAGGCAGGGGGCTGCCCTGCTGACACTCCCATATTGTCTCCTGCCAGATGGTGTATCACCTGTGCCCCATCAGGGGCTAGAACCCACACGCTAGGTGGTCTAAAGAGCGGGAGGGAGGTTAATATAAAGAATTATTAAATTCCAACAGAAGAGTAATTGTAAGATATGGTTCCCCGGGACTGAGGGAAGTACCAGTGAGGGACAAACTTGGAAGGGAAGCCCCTTCCCCAGATCGGGGTTCAGATTTGCTGGAATTGCTGTACTTGGAGCCCACGATGAAGGCGAAGTTCGCTGCTTTGCGGGGCCAGAAGGGTCTGGCATTGACTGGACAAGCGAGGCACAGGAATAGCCACCAGGGGCGAGGGTGACCCTCTGGATGGAGGAGGGCAGCGGGGAGACATAACTTCCGGAGCTAGTGCTGCCAGGAGGCCTGGAGCCCGCGGCGTCTGTGCAGAAGCAGTGATCACTTGGGGCCGGGAGGTGCGTGCTGGACCACGGGTCCTTTGTCAGGGCAGAGCGTCACCAAGTGTCCTCCCGCCTGCGCTCTGAGACCCAAAACAGCAGGAGGGCCCCGCCTCCCGCCATGTCTCTCTAGCGCCCTCTACTGAGAAAGCTGCATGACGCACTCGCTGTAAAGGAGAGCTTGCTTCAGGGAGCAGGTATTAAAAGGTGAATTTGGAGCTGCGAAGCCTTACGTTAATAACTGGAACAAAGGCTGAGCACGCACACTCACATGTCAGCTCCGAAGTCACCCGCGAGACCGCAGCCGAGGCTCCCCACACATGAGTGAGACCACATGAGCAATCAGGCGGGTCCCAGTGTGGGAAGATAAAGGAGGCTGCTGTGCACCTCTATCTTCATTCAGTTTCACCCTCCCCGTGATTCTTCACTCCCTCCTCCCTGCCCCGGGTGTCGGTTCCGGGATGGGGGAGGGGAGACTGATGAACCCCTACAGTACGCCCAGAAGACCAGCTGCCTTGGTCCCAGGCTTGGCTCCAAAGAACTCAGACTTGGGCTTATTTCCAAGTGGACCTCTGACCTTGAGACGCTTGGGGCACTGAGGAATTTGGATGCAGGTGGCTGGTTTCCTGGCCACCACTGTGGTCGCCCTTGGTAACACGTGGTCTTGTGCACGCATGTATCTGGGTTGTATCCACTTCATGTTTCCCTGGGCATTGCTCAGTCCATCCCAGGGGCACCTGCTGGTCGCAGTCCTACAACTGGCCCTCCGGACAGTGGTCATGTCTCTATACTCCCATCATGGCCTTGTTTTCAGATTCCTCGGACTATGTGGTCTGTCCCTGGTCAGCCCTGCTGTCTGCAGCCGGAAGTCTTTCTTTCCAGAACCACATTTCTCACATAGAGGCTGCTCCTTTCAAGGCCCCTGAACTGCTACAGGAACAGAGGGACGATGAACAGCCCGACGTATCTCAGGTAAGTTGTGGGGCATCTCTGTGGCACCTTTGGGCCTGTCCCGGGGAAAGGCCTGGTCCTAGGACTTTGGATCTGTCCTCGGGGTGGCATCCCCAGCTCCCAGTTTAGCACCGAGGAACACTGAGGCAGAAAGGATTTAAAAATATTATTCCCAGGCTTTTTTTTTTTTTTTTTTTTTTGCCAGTTTTTTAGTTATTCGATGAAGACAGGTCACCTTCTCTGAGCTTCAATTTCTACACCTGTAAAACGGGGTTAATTTGACTTAATCCATCAGATTATTATAAATATTCAAAAAGAAGTGTTGGGAAAGTTGTGGGTACACGGTCTGAACCATGGGTACCCGTGGCAGCATGTAGCAAAACCCTAAAACGTCCCCAACCAGGAGTTGATCCTAAGGTAGGAGTAAAGACTGATTTAACTGCAGTAATGTTTATTGTTGTATTGTTGACATTAGTGATAAACTGGAAACAATGTCCAGTAAATAAGATAGCATTAAAATGAGGCTGTGGGGGCTTATTTAATGGCTTGAAAAGAACCTAAATATATGCATGTATAATGTGACCCTAGTTTAGTAAACACACACACACACACACACACACACACACAGGGGAGAGAGAGAGTTCTAAAAATATATACACCAAGGTGCCTGCAGTGATTATTTCTGGGTGGCAACATCAGTGGTAATTTTAGTTTTTTCACGGACTTGTTTTGCTTCTGGATAGCAAAAGGTCTAGTAAACATTATATTCAATTTTTAAAAGAAGAAATTCTTTTTTTAAATGTTTATTTACTTTTTTTTTATTTATATATGAAATTTATTGTCAAATTGGTTTCCATACAACACCCAGTGCTCATCCCAAAAGGTGCCCTCCTCAATACCCATCACCCACCCTCTCCTCCCTCCCACCCCCCATCAACCCTCAGTTTGCTCTCAGTTCTCAACAGTCTCTTATGCTTTGGCTCTCTCCCACTCTAACCTCTTTTTTTTTTTTTTTTCCTTCCCCTCCCCCATGGGTTTCTGTTAAGTTTCTCAGGATCCACATAAGAGTGAAACCATATGGTATCTGTCTTTCTCTGTATGGCTTATTTCACTTAGCATCACACTCTCCAGTTCCATCCACGTTGCTACAAAAGGCCATATTTCATTTTTTCTCATTGCCACGTAGTATTCCATAGTGTATATAAACCACAATTTCTTTATCCATTCATCCGTTGATGGACATTTAGGCTCTTTCCATAATTTGGCTATTGTTGAGAGTGCTGCTATGAACATTGGGGTACAAGTGCCCCTATGCATCAGCACTCCTGTGTCCCTTGGATAAATTCCTAGCAGTGCTATTGCTGGGTCATAGGGTAGGTCTATTTTTAATTTTCTGAGGAACCTCCACACTGCTTTCCAGAGCGGCTGCACCAATTTGCATTCCCACCAACAGTGCAAGAGGGTCCCCGTTTCTCCACATCCTCTCCAGCATCTATAGTCTCCTGATTTGTTCATTTTGGCCACTCTGACTGGCGTGAGGTGATACCTGAGTGTGGTTTCGATTTGTATTTCCCTGATAAGGAGCGACGCTGAACATCTTTTCATGTGCCTGTTGGCCATCCGGATGTCTTCTTTAGAGAAGTGTCTATTCATGTTTTCTGCCCATTTCTTCACTGGGTTATTTGCTTTTCGGGTGTGGAGTTTGGTGAGCTCTTTATAGATTTTGGAGACTAGCCCTTTGTCCGATATGTCATTTGCAAATATCTTTTCCCATTCCGTTGGTTGCCTTTTAGTTTTGTTGGTTGTTTCCTTTGCTGTGCAGAAGCTTTTTATCTTCATAAGGTCCCAGTAATTCACTTTTGCTTTTAATTCCCTTGCCTTTGGGGATGTGTCGAGTAAGAGATTGCTACGGCTGAGGTCAGAGAGGTCTTTTCCTGCTTTCTCCTCTAGGGTTTTGATGGTTTCCTGTCTCACATTCAGGTCCTTTATCCATTTTGAGTTTATTTTTGTGAATGGTGTGAGAAAGTGGTCTAGTTTCAACCTTCTGCATGTTGCTGTCCAGTTCTCCCAGCACCATTTGTTAAAGAGACTGTCTTTTTTCCATTGGATGTTCTTTCCTGCTTTGTCAAAGATGAGTTGGCCATACGTTTGTGGGTCTAGTTCTGGGGTTTCTATTCTATTCCATTGGTCTATGTGTCTGTTTTTGTGCCAATACCATGCTGTCTTGATGATGACAGCTTTGTAGTAGAGGCTAAAGTCTGGGATTGTGATGCCTCCTGCTTTGGTCTTCTTCTTCAAAATTACTTTGGCTATTCGGGGCCTTTTGTGGTTCCATATGAATTTTAGGATTGCTTGTTCTAGTTTCGAGAAGAATGCTGGTGCAATTTTGATTGGGATTGCATTGAATGTGTAGATAGCTTTGGGTAGTATTGACATTTTGACAATATTTATTCTTCCAATCCATGAGCAGGGAATGTCTTTCCATTTCTTTAAATCTTCTTCAATTACCTTCATAAGCTTTCTATAGTTTTCAGCATACAGATCCTTTACATCTTTGGTTAGATTTATTCCTAGGTATTTTATGCTTCTTGGTGCAATTGTGAATGGGATCAGTTTCTTTATTTGTCTTTCTGTTGCTTCATTGTTAGTGTATAAGAATGCAACTGATTTCTGTACATTGATTTTGTATCCTGCAACTTTGCTGAATTCATGTATCAGTTCTAGCAGACTTTTGGTGGAGTCTGTCGGATTTTCCATGTATAATATCATGTCATCTGCAAAAAGCGAAAGCTTGACTTCATCTTTGCCAATTTTGATGCCTTTGATTTCCTTTTGTTGTCTGATTGCTGATGCTAGAACTTCCAGCACTATGTTAAACAACAGCGGTGAGAGTGGGCATCCCTGTCGTGTTCCTGATCTCAGGGAAAAAGCTCTCAGTTTTTCCCCGTTGAGGATGATGTTAGCTGTGGGCTTTTCATAAATGGCTTTGATGATCTTTAAGTATGTTCCTTCTATCCCGACTTTCTCAAGGTTTTTATTAAGAAAGGGTGCTGGATTTTGTCAAAGGCCTTTTCTGCATCAATTGACAGGATCATATGGTTTTTCTCTTTTTTGTTGTTAATGTGATGTATCACGTTGATTGATTTGCGAATGTTGAACCAGCCCTGCATCCCAGGAATGAATCCCACTTGATCATGGTGAACAATTCTTTTTATATGCTGTTGAATTCGATTTGCTAGTATCTTATTGAGAATTTTGGCATCCATATTCATCAGGGATATTGGCCTGTAGTTCTCTTTTTTTACTGGGTCTCTGTCTGGTTTAGGAATCAAAGTAATACTGGCTTCATAGAATGAGTCTGGAAGTTTTCCTTCCCTTTCTATTTCTTGGAATAGCTTGAGAAGGATAGGTATTATCTCTGCTTTAAACGTCTGGTAGAACTCCCCTGGGAAGCCATCTGGTCCTGGACTCTTATTTGTTGGGAGATTTTTGATAACCGATTCAATTTCTTCGCTGGTGATGGGTCTGTTCAAGCTTTCTATTTCCTCCTGATTGAGTTTTGGAAGAGTGTGGGTGTTCAGGAATTTGTCCATTTCTTCCAGGTTGTCCAATTTGTTGCCATATAATTTTTCATAGTATTCCCTGATAATTGTTTGTATCTCTGAGGGATTGGTTGTAATCATTCCATTTTCATTCATGATTTTATCTATTTGGGTCATCTCCCTTTTCTTTTTGAGAAGCCTGGCTAGAGGTTTGTCAATTTTGTTTATTTTTTCAAAAAACCAACTCTTGGTTTCGTTGATCTGCTCTACAGTTTTTTTAGATTCTATATTGTTTATTTCTGCTCTGATCTTTATTATTTCTCTTCTTCTGCTGGGTTTAGGCTGCCTTTGCTGTTCTGCTTCTATTTCCTTTAGGTGTGCTGTTAGATTTTGTATTTGGGATTTTTCTTGTTTCTTGAGATAGGCCTGGATTGCAATGTATTTTCCTCTCAGGACTGCCTTCGCCGCGTCCCAAAGCGTTTGGATTGTTGTATTTTCATTTTCGTTTGTTTCCATATATTGTTTAATTTCTTCTCGAATTGCCTGGTTGACCCACTCATTCGTTAGTAGGGTGTTCTTTAACCTCCATGCTTTTGGAGGTTTTCCAGACTTTTTTCTGTGGTTGATTTCAAGCTTCATAGCATTGTGGTCTGAAAGTATGCATGGTATGATTTCAATTCTTGTAAACTTATGAAGGGCTGTTTTGTGACCCAGTATATGATCTATCTTGGAGAATGTTCTATGTGCACTCGAGAAGAAAGTATATTCTGTTGCTTTGGGATGCAGAGTTCTAAATATATCTGTCAAGTCCATCTGTTCCAATGTCTCATTCAGGGCCCTTGTTTCTTTATTGACCGTGTGTCTAGATGATCTATCCATTTCTGTAAGTGGGGTGTTAAAGTCCCCTGCAATTACCACATTCTTATCAATAAGGTTGCTTGTGTTTATGAGTAATTGTTTTATATATTTGGGTGCTCCGGTATTCGGCGCATAGACATTTATAATTGTTAGCTCTTCCTGATGGATAGACCCTGTCACTATTATATAATGTCCTTCTTCATCTCTTGTTACAGCCTTTAATTTAAAGTCTAGTTTGTCTGATATAAGTATGGCTACTCCAGCTTTCTTTTGGCTTCCAGTAGCATGGTAAATAGTTCTCCATCCCCTTACTCTCAATCTAAAGGTGTCCTCAGGTCTAAAATGAGTCTCTTGTAGACAGCAAATAGATGGGTCTTGTTTTTTTATCCATTCTGATACCCTATGTCTTTTGGTTGGCGCATTTAATCCATTTACATTCAGTGTTATTATAGAAAGATATGGGTTTAGAGTCATTGTGATGTCTGTATGTTTTATGCTTGTAGTGACGTCTCTGGTACTTTGTCTCACAGGGTCCCCCTTAGGATCTCTTGTAGGGCTGGTTTAGTGGTGACAAATTCCTTCAGTTTTTGTTTGTTTGGGAAGACCTTTATCTCTCCTTCTATTCTAAATGACAGACTTGCTGGATAAAGGATTCTCGGCTGCATATTTTTTCTGTCTAGCACACTGAAAATCTCGTGCCAACTCTTTCTGGCCTGCCAAGTTTCAAAACAGAGATCAGTCACGAGTCTTATAGGTCTCCCTTTATATGTGAGGGCACGTTTACCCCTTGCTGCTTTCAGAATTTTCTCTTTATCCTTGTATTTTGCCAGTTTCACTATGATATGTCGTGCAGAAGATCGATTCAAGTTACGTCTGAAGGGAGTTCTCTGTGCCTCTTGGATTTCAATGCCTTTTTCCTTCCCCACTTCAGGGAAGTTCTCAGCTATTATTTCTTCAAGTACCCCTTCAGCACCTTTCCCTCTCTCTTCCTCCTCTGGGATACCAATGATGCGTATATTATTTCTTTTTAGTGTATCACTTAGTTCTCTAATTTTCCCCTCATACTCCTGGATTTTTTTATCTCTCTTTTTCTCAGCTTCCTCTTTTTCCATAACTTTATCTTCTAGTTCACCTATTCTCTCCTCTGCCTCTTCAATCCGAGCTGTGGTGGTTTCCATTTTGTTATGCATTTCATTTAAAGCGTTTTTCAGCTCCTCGTGACTGTTCCTTAGTCCCTTGATCTCTGTAGCAAGAGATTCTCTGCTGTCAGCTATACTGTTTTCAAGCCCAGCGATTAATTTTATGACTATTATTCTAAATTCACTTTCTGTTATATTATTTAAATCCTTTTTGATCAGCTCATTAGCTGTTGTTATTTCCTGGAGATTCTTCTGAGGGGAATTCTTCCGCTTGGTCATTTTGGATAGTCCTTGGCGCGGGGAGGACCTGCAGGGCACTTCCCCTGTGCCGTGGTGTATAACTGGAGTTGGTGGGCGGAGCCGCAGTCAGACCTGATGTCTGCCCCCAGCCCACCGCTGGGGCCACAGTCAGACTGGTGCCTGCCTTCTCTTCCCCTCTCCTAGGGGTGGGATTCACTGTGGGGTGGGGTGGGCTACTTGCACACTGCCAGGCTTGTGATGCTGGGGATCTGGCATCTTAGCTGGGGTGGGTAGGCAAGGTGCACAGGGGCAGGAGGGGCAGGCTTAGCTTGCTTCTCCTTAGGTGATCCACTTCAGGAGGGGCCCTGTGGCAGCAGGAGGGAGTCAGATCCGCTGCCGGAGGTTTGGCTCCGCAGAAGCGCAGAGTTGGGTGTTTGCGTGGAGCGAGCAAGTTCCCTGGCAGGAACTGGTTCTCTTTGGGATTTTGGCTGGGGGATGGGCGGGGAAGATGGCGCTGGCGAGCGCCTTTGTTCCCCACCAAACTGAGCTCTGTCGTCCGGGGGCTCAGCAGCTTTCCTTCCCTTTGTCCTCCAGCCTTCCCGCTTTCTGAGCAGAGCTGTTAACTTATGACCTCCCAGCCGCTAAGTCGCGCTTGCTGTCGGAACACAGTCCGTCAGGCCCCTCCGCTTTTTGCAAGCCAGACTCGGGCGCTCTGCTTGGCCGGCGAGCTGCCCCTCCGCCCCGGCTCCCTCCTGCCAGTCCGTGGAGCGCGCACCGCCTCGCCGCCCTTCCTACCCTCTTCCGCGGGCCTCTCGTCTGCGCTTGGCTCCGGCGACTCCGTTCTGCTAATCCTCTGGTGGTTTTCTGGGTTATTTAGGCAGGTGTAGGTGGAATCTAAGTGATCAGCAGGACGCGCGGTGAGCCCAGCGTCCTCCTACGCCGCCATCTTCCGGTCAATGTTTATTTACTTTTGAGAGAGAGAGAGAGAGAGAGAGAGAGAGAGAGAGAGTAGGGAGGAGGGGGGGGGGGGGGGGGGCGGGGGGACAGAGGATCCGAAGTGGGGTCTGCACTGTCAGCAGCGAGCCCCATGTGGGGATCAAACTCATGAACCACGAGAGCATAACCTGAGCTGAAGTCGGATGCTTAACCGACTGAGCCACCCAGGCTCCCCCATAAGAAGAAAATCTGAGGAGAAAGTGGTGTAAGGCAGGCACACAGCACTCAGGGCATAGTGGGCTCTTAATCAGCGAGTTCTGCTTCTTCTTGCCATCCTTTCAGGAGAAAAGTACAGTCTGGAAATTCCGCCTCTCTTGGAAGGAGAAGGTGTCCTGGAATGGAGGCTGCTTTTCCTTCGGGCTCAGATAACAGCGTCTTGGTGGCTTCCAGGGTTGGTTTATCTGGGCCCACGTGTCTCCAAGTCAGATCACAATAGCGAAAGCATCAAGTTCCCCATTGCAGTGGCCCTGACTCTGTCACCCACAGGCAGACACCCAGCACCCCGAGCCCCTCTACTCTTTCCTGCACTGACAGAATCTCAGGGATAAATCCCTGGACCCCTGTGTTAGATACAGATGTGGGTGCCTCTCAGTCCCTCTGTTTGGGTCTCTCTGGTGGTGCCTCCTACAGTCTGGAGTCAGCTGACATGCCACAGCTGGAGCCAGGGGATCTGACTTTCTTTTCTTTTCTTTTTTTTTTATAATTTTTTAAACATTTTATTTATTTTTGAGAGACAGAGCACAAGTGGGGGAGGGGCAGAGAAAGAATGAGACACAGAATCCGAAGCAGGCTCCAGGCTCTGAGCTGTCAGCACAGAGCCCGATGTGGGGCTCCAACTCACAAACTGTGAGATCATGACCTGAGCCCAAGTTGGACGCTTAACCGACTGAGCCACCCAGGCACCCCAGGGGGATCTGACTTTCTGAGCAGCCACTAGAGGGGTGCATGCTGATGCACCCCAGAAATGCAGGGGACTTAGCTTCCTGGGGGGGGGGATGAATTGTGGCAAACTGGTGCTTAGTAGGCCAGGTCACCTGGCCATTACCCCTCTTAACACATCCCTGCCATTCATTTCTGTTAATTGCTCTTCTCTTCCGTCCACTGCAGACTCCTCTCTGCATCCAACTTGGCTCAGGTCCTGTGGGAGGTGAGGTGAGCAGTCAGGAAAGTGGTCTCAGCAGAGGCTGTGCTCACAATCTTCCCCCAGCTCTGGGCTCCGTCCTGAGCCTTGGAGGATGTATGCCGACTCCTCTCCTCAGACCAGTATCCAGCTCTCCCAGCACACAGAGACATTTTCCCCACTGCTTGGCGAGTTCCAGTGCAGGTGGAAGGTGTGCGCTGGTCTCTAACTATGAGTCACTCAAGCCACTATCACCCCATTCTGTGCTCATGGCAGACATCAACAATCGATCATGCTGTTCTTTCCTGTGGCACCAGGAGTTGCATTCAAAACCGTCACCACCCTTCTCCAGGCAGCATATACTAAGGGGCTGGATTTGGAATTTGGGAGGAAGCCTGTTGTCACTTTGGCCTTAGGCAGCACCAAGGGTACTTAGAGCATTTGGAATCCAGGTCAGTTCCCCAGTGTGGACGGTGCCTCTGGCAGTGCTCAGGGCACGGCTCCAGCATCTGCTCTCAAGACCATTTCTCCAGAGGTGAGGATGAAATCTGTGAACTTGTCTGCAGGTGTCTAGTCACGTTCCTCAGAGGGCTGGTTGATCGGGTTGGGGATATAAGGTCAGAGAGACAATTGGCACGTGTGATACTGGACACATGCTCTTGACCTAGGGATGCCAGAAGCCAAAACCAAAGTCACTTGTACTTAACTGAGTGGATGGCTCAAATAAGCGTGTATTTTCCACATACTATGTTTTATGAACTCAGCGTGTCCCTTCTGAAGTTCTCAAAAGTCATTTCCCGTGATCCTAAGGGGAATGCGCCTTGTCAATTACGGTAGAAGCCCCACAACAATAACAGATTGACATCGATTGAAAACAGTATAATCCAGAAGCAACATAGCCAAGGCTCCGGTGCCTGGCTTTTGGTCTTTGGGAAAGTTCCCAAAGTTGCCTTTGCGTCGCCTCTTCTGTATAATGGAGACAATTAAAATACCAACCTCACAGGATGGTGGTGAGGACCGAATGAGTTAATGTAAGTAAAAGGCTTGGAGCAGAGCTTGGCATGTAAGTGCTCCGCGTCCGATAATGATAAAAAATTTTCATGACCATTTGCAGGTTCTTTTTACTCAATCCTCATGAGTATTCAGGTAGAATACTCACTTTATTATTATTATTTTCTTTTTATTATTAAAATTTTTTTAATGTTTATTTTAAAAGCAAGAGAGACAGAGTGTGAGCGGGAGATGGGCAGAGAAAGAAGGAGACCCACAATCTGAAGCAGACTCCAGGCTCTGAGCTGTCAGCACAGAACCTGATGGGGGGCTCAAACCCATGAACCGAGAGAGCATGACCTGAGCCAAAGTCAGACACTTAACCGACTGAGCCACCCAGGTGCCCCAGAATCCTCATTTTGAAGATGAAGAAAGTGAGGGTGGAGAAGTCAGATAATGTTCTTCCGTTTCATCTTGTTTTCTGACAGGTGATACTTTTAAAGCAGGCTGTCCCATAGTGTGACACGTGCAGATGGTTTCAGCTATGCGCCATCGGAAAGCCTAAAGTGCAGCGGCTGGCACCACAGATAGAGTTATTATTTGCTTCATAAGGAGTCTCGGGATTGGTCGGCGGCTCAGTAAATGTCATCGAGGATCCAGGCTGTGTATTTACATTCTACCCTTTTTAGCTGCTGGTCTTTTTTCTGGTGCCTGTTGCCTCATGGTCCCAAGATGGCAGCTATGATCCAGATATGTTGTCAGCATTTGAGGCAAAATTGAGGAAAAAGTGGGACCACCGACTGTGTTCTTACTGTCAGTAAAGCAAAACCTTTCTCAAAAGCCCCTTAACAGACTCCCCTTGCGTCTCTTGCCAAAGTGGGGTGTCACGGTCACTGTGGTTTTAAGCTGCTAGAGTGGGAGACGGGAAGTTCACGGGAGTTGCAGATGGTGGGGGGGCTAGCCGGCCAACACTGTCTGCCGCATGTGGAAATGGAATTGTGATTTGTTTGCAGGACTATGGAATACCAGAGGTGACCGAAATCTGATCTTGTGCTTTTTCTCTTGAGCAGGTGCACGTCTATTCTTTAGGAATGACCCTCTACTGGTCAGCAGGCTTTCATGTCCCACAAAATCAGGTCTGTAAACAAGGTACTCAAAGTCTTGCCAGGTCATGTCTTTGGATTTAATGAGCAGTTTTCTTCAGGACAGGGACCACTTCTCTTGAGCTCTGTGTCACCACTCTGTCCTCCTGGGTTCTAGGAAGGCATTGCCAACGGGTTACAGAAGTGCTCCCGCTGAGTTTAGAAACCACCGCAGAATGCTACTCAACATGGCCATCCAGGCAGCCACGATTTAGGGTTGGCAAGCAAAATAAGACTTATCCGCTCAGAGGAAGTGGCAAACTAGAGGGTTTTATAGATGCAGATTTATAAAACAGGCTTTAAAGCAGCCGTTCCTGACGTGAGATGCTTTCCTGAAAAAGGCTTCTGTGCTCAATTGATTTGGGAAAATGCTCCCTCTATTACCTTCCTCTTCAAGATTTTGCAGAGTAATTTATTAAAGACTCCAAGAAAGCTTAAAGCATAGAAAAATTTTAAACTTTTATCACAGCACTGTATAAAACTTTTGACTACAGAGTATGTGTGTTTGTGTGTGTGTGCAAATTTTCATCTCACACTCTAAGAATTTCTTAGACCAGGGTAACAAGAGCCAGAGAATTCTCCTCTTCCTTCTTTTTTTCCTTCCTTCCTTCCTTCCTTCCCTCCTTCCCTCCTTCCCTCCTTCCCTCTTCTTTCCTCCCTCCCTTCCTTTCTCCCTCCCTCCCTTCCTTCCTCCCTCCCTCCCTTCCTTCCTTCTATCTCACCTTTCTCTCTAATTCAACATCCCAGTGTTTCCTGGTGCTTTGTATTCTCATCCCTCCTCGTGTGATATCCTTCTTACCTTCCCACTCTACTCATGGGGTTAGATTCCACTTCTCAGCAGGGCATACCTGGAGCCCCAAATTGGGCTCATTACCTGTAGCTCTGGTTCCTCTCTGGAGCTCTTCCATAATCAGGGCCAGTTTCACGGGCGTGTGGCCTGTGTAATCGAATAGTGCCCTGCGCTTACAAGGGCCCATGCTTGATGTAATGCTCTGATGTCACCGTCTTGAAATTCTTAAAAGTTTTGAACAAGGGGCCCTGTGTGTCATTTTCCCCTGGGCTCTGTCCTGCCCACAGTGCCCTTCTTTTCAGACATGCCATCCTTACTATATACTGCTCCTTCTATCTGCGGTTCCTCCCCCGACTTTTCTCCTGGTTAACACCAGTGTGCTTTTTGAGATTTAGTTCAAGTTCTTTCCCCCAGCTCCTCGTTCCCTCCCCAGGTTGGGTTAGACCTTTTCCTCTGTGTTATCACCATGTCTGTGCTTCCCAAGACTTGAGTCCTTATCTCTCTCTCTCTTTTTAATGTTTATTTATTTTTTAGAGAGAGAGAGAGAGAGAGGTAGAGTGCAAGCAAGAGAGGGGCAGAGAGAGAGGGAGACACAGAATCTGAAGCAGTCTCCAGGCTCTGAGTTGTCAGCACGGAGCCCAAAGCGGGGCTCAAACCTACAAACTGTGAGATCATGACTGAACTGAAGTTGGATGCTTAATTGACTGACCACCCAGGCGTCCCAGTCCTTGTCTCTTTTGGTGACCATATTTCTCATCAGACTGTGAAGTCCTTGAAGACAGGGACTGTCTCCCACTTTGCAGTTCAGGCCTTGGGATTTGCTGTATGAGTCCAGAACGCAGCATCCCTCTTACACATGGAGATGGGAATTCACAACTGATGCTTCATGGCAGGAAATGGTAGGGCAGCCCTTACCTCGAAAATGACTCACGGTATGGGTGAGCAGGACAAAAAGCCTGATTTTGAGTACTTTCCCAATATAAATGGTGGCTACTTGAATGCACAAGGGAAATGCTTAAGCAAATAGTTTTTCTTTTGCTTCATGGCTGCATGTAACATAAAGTTCAACCAGTGATTATTGACCTTGTGCTGACCATTGGAAATGCCCAAGGATGAAAAGGCACAGCCCTTATGTTTCTGGAGCTCACATTCTAGGGGAAAGGCCCAGTGAGATCCACCTAAATAATTCGAGAAGTAATTTGGCAGAAAGTAATTGAGGAAGTAATTTGAGAAGTAATTGCATTTGAGAAGTAATCGAGAAATAATTTGACAGGTTACCCAGGTGGGTGTGAGTTGAAGGCTGATCCCTGGTTTGATATGTGTACTTGGCATGGGTGGATGCCCACTTTGTCAAGCACCTATTTTTCATAAGTATTCCAAGCACAGGTTTGTGCTCTCTGGGTACCAAAGAACATTCCAGACTAGAAAGGAGCAAACTTCACACAGCCGGCATAGAGATCATTGCTCTGCATTTTGTGGCCTCGGTGATATATCTTGTGTCCGTCCCCAAACGCTCCAGAAGGAGCAAGTGTCTGTCTAGTGGTAATGAGATCATCTGTTTCCATTAGTCCCCACCGCACACCCGACAAGGTATTGGGCTCAGCTGTCCAGGCCTCTCATGCAGCCCCTCTTCTCTCCAGCCTCTGCAGCTCCGTGAGCCCTTGAGCTCCATTCTGCTGACCATGTGTGAAGACCAGCCTCGCAGGCGGCTCCCCTTGCAGTCAGTTCTGGAAGCTTGTCGGGTTCATTGGGAAGAAGTGGCCGTATACCCAACCTCTGCCGGTCTCCACGTTAGACGGCTGGCTGGCTTGGTTCTGGGCACCATCTCAGAGGTCAGTGTAGATCTGCGCTTCTCAACCCAGGAGCCACTAGCTAGGGGGAGCTATTGACATTTACATTAGCTAAATTATAGTTAATTGAAATGCAAGTAAAATCTTCAGCTCCTCGGTCATACCTACCACGTTTCAAGTGCTCAGTAGCCACATGCAGCTGCTGATGACCATACTGGACATGAAAGATCTAGAACAATCCCAGCCTTGCAGTTCTGTTGGGCAGCGCTGGTAAAGACGATTGAGCAAGCCCAGATTTCTAATGTGGCTGAGATTCTTGGAATCTTTCAAAGAAGCTCTTTACACAAAAACAATGACATTACATGTTTGTAATCCGTGAGTCAGGTCACCTGTCAAAATTCAACTAGGCTTCATGCAAGGAACTTTCCCTGACTGTGCCTACAGTCCCTGGCCCCTCCCTCCCTCTGCTATCTTGTGTCTGCAGAGGGTCCCCCTGCTGCACTTGTCACATTTGCTGCCCCGTGTGCTCCTCACCGCCTAGTAAGAGGCTGGCACATAGTAGGCATTTGGCTTACATGGGGTTCCCTCCAAACAAAGCCAGAAATGGTGATGCTTATGCATGTTATTTATTGGGTAAGTGCCCGTAGGAGAGCGGGAGTGATGGAGGGAAGACAGGATGGGAAATAAGCCCAGCCAGAAGGTGGTCTCAGGTGGAGACAACCTCCACCTGACCGCACAGGGGTGGAGTGGGGATTCTGGGGCAGAAATTACTTCAGCATTGGCCCCCTTGAGGCCGGGGCAGTGCTGGGACTGGGGAGAGGCAAGCGAGGTGCCTGTGATAGAAATGCAAGGAGGTCTGCATTTCAGAGGATCCGGAGAGAGGCAGGGCTGGAGACTGGCCGGGCGCCTGTGCACCAGTCCAGGGGGCTGGTTGGAGAACTGAGACCAAGACTAACACAGGGGCAGTGTGGATGGAGAGGAGGGGACTGCTGGGGTGGATGCTGTCCACAGTCAATCAGAAAATGCCTGTTCTGTCTTGTCCTCCTTCTTGGATCCCTTCTTTCTTGGCATCTGAACATGTTGCCCCTATTCATTGAGCCGGAGGAGCTACAATGAAGCATAAAGCACACAGTAAGGTTGGTGGGGTGGGGGTGGGGGCAGACAGACAAGCAAGCAAACATGATATAATGTGTCATAGAAGGAGATGTGAGTGATGTGATGAGGGAAAGTGACAAAAGGACACTTCCCTCTGCCTTGAGGGCAGAAGTGGAGAGCTTTGAAAGTACAAAGAATATAGTTCTGGGTCTTGAAGGCACAGAGGAGCTTAGCAGGGAGACCCTAGCCAGTCAGGGGAGCACATGAGCAAAGGCACGACTGTGCTTGAGTGCGCTGATATGGGGGGAGGGGAGTGCATTACCTCTAGGGCGCATGTGGTTGGTGGGGTCCGGAGCACATTCTGGTTGCCAGTGTTAGGCTCTCACTGTGTGGACAGATACTTCTGAACTGACTTAATCTGACAACCAGTCTGTATGTGTCTATATAAATGTCCCCTCTTGACTTTGGGGTGTGGATGTGTGATGCACTTGACCTTCAGGTGGAGAGGAGACTCATGGAAGAAAGCTCCTTGGCGCAGCAGGACAGAAGCTGCCTGCTCAGGCATAGGCTGCATCAGGCGAGCTGCGAGAACACAACAGTATGGGCCCTGGAGCGTCTGCACCCCTGCAGAGGTGGGTATGGTGCCCCGAGGCTCCCACTCTACTGTTTCCCGCCCCGAGTGGGCCGGATGTCGTGCTGTGATGGCAGAGAAAACCCGGGCAAGCTCCCCTCTTCCAGAGAGCCCCCACAGGGAAGGGGCTGGGTCCTGAGGAAAGCTTCACCTGGAGCTATAATTTTACAGTGATTTATATCACACATAATTTTTTTTTTATTGAGTTTTAACTGTCCCAGCTGATAAGAACAGATTTCAACACACAACATAACGGAAGACTTTCTTTTCGTTAGTTTCTAGGTGGAGCAAAAGGAAAAGCAATCTGTAAAAGATTGTTTCTGTTGTTGCTGTAGGCGTGTCCAAGGAATGGTTTTTAGAATAATCTTGTCTCTACTCTTCAACTGAATCGGAGGTTTTTAAAAAAATTAATACTACTGTTTTCTGTCCCTAAAACAAGGTACTCTTTGCCACTAGGTTTTATTCTCCCCCTCAAAAAAAAAAAAAAAAAAAAAACCTCCTCTGAACCCCCTGTAGCTGTCATTTCCATTTCTCATGTGAGCAAATAGACTCAGAGAGGATAAATAAGTCACATAGCCTGTAAGTCATGCTGCTGATATCCACTTGATTCAAGAGAGCCATGCTCTTTGCCTCTTCTCATGCCCTGTACCGTGCTGTTTGGTTAGTTTCAGAGAGAAGCACAGAGACCCAGAGCTCCCTGGAGCCCGGTCTGAGCACCTCAGTACCCAGTCACCATAGCCTCTCTGTTAGCAGGTAAGCAGTAAGGTGTCCAGGGGGTGGGCCCTCCGCGTGGGGACCGCTGTGTCTTGCTTCTTTACTGATTACTGATACAAAACCCTTTGCTTCTCCAGAAAAAGCTGACCCTATTCCATTGGCAGGTGAAAAAAAAAAGCACATTTAAGCAGATATGCAGCCAAGGTGATGAGGGGCCTGATGGCAGGTGTGCTTTTGGGCCATTCTGTCTCCCCTGGGAACCAAGTTCACGCTTCCATGTTGTGATTTTCTGTTGCCCATGAGGCAGCATAGCAAACAACCACAAAACACGCTGTCTGAAGATAATGGTTTATTTAGCTCTTGATCATGGGAGTTGGGAATTCAGACTGTGCTCTGCTGGGAGGTTCTTCTGGACTCTGCCAGATGCCTTTGTGATTGGCTGCAGCCTGGCTAGTCAGCCTCACTTCCGGGGGTGGCTGGCTGTTATCTGGGGGCGCCCTGGCTCTTCACCAGCAGGCTTGCCCGGGGATTGTTCTCATGACAATGGCAGAGTTGAGAAAAAGAGAGGGAGGGAGGGAGGAAGGAATAGAGAGAGGGAAGGAGGAAAGGGCAGAGGGACAGAGAGATGCAAAGGACAGGGGTCAGGGAGAAGCGGTTGGTTTGGGGATGAATGTAATGTAGATGCTTGAATCTGCTCGAAACCACATGAGACGATATCTTCCTGCATCTGGAACATTAGGAATTTTGTAACTTGGGTATTTATTTTTTTATGTATTGATTTGTTGTCCTTCCATGATTTGGCCAAGGGCTGTGGCAGTACTTGACATCCAATACAGAGCTGGGGCTTGACAGGATGCAGTCTAGTTCACCTTACAGTGATTTTGCCTGCTATTTAAAACTCTATTTTTGGGGCGCCTGGGTGGCTCACTCGGTTAAGCGTCTGACTTCGGCTCAGGTCATGATCTCACGGTTTGTGAGTTTGAGCCCCGTGTCGGGCTCTGTGCTGACAGGTCAAAGCCTGGAGCCTGCTTCAGATTCTGTGTCTCTCTCTCTCTCTGACCCTCCCCCGTTCATGCTATGTCTCTCTCTGTCTCAAAAATAAATAAACATTAAAAAAAAAAACCCCTAGAGGCGCCTGGGTGGCGCAGTCGGTTAAGCGTCCGACTTCAGCCAGGTCACGATCTCGCGGTCCGTGAGTTCGAGCCCCGCGTCAGGCTCTGGGCTGATGGCTCGGAGCCTGGAGCCTGTTTCCGATTCTGTGTCTCCCTCTTTCTCTGCCCCTCCCCCGTTCATGCTCTGTCTCTCTCTGTCCCAAAAATAAATAAACATTGAAAAAAAAAATTAAAAAAAAACAACAACAAAAAACCCCTATTTTCTATTTGCCCAATGAAAATAGCTTTTTTTTTTCTGATGCTGGAAACAATGTGTCTTTTTTATTTCGAAAACATTTTGTTCCTTTAAATTTTTTTAATTTTGTGTGTGTGTGTGAGTGAGAGAGAGAGAGAGAGAGAGAAGAGAGAGACCAAGTGGGGGAGGGGCAGAGAGAGAGGGAGACACAGAATCCAGAGCTGGCTCCAAGCTCTGAGCTGTCAGCACAGAGCCCGACATGGGGATCAAACTCCCGAACTGTGAGATCACGACCTGAGCCGAAGTTGGACGCTTAACCGACTGAGCCACCCAGGCTCCCCTACTTCCAAAACATTTTGAACGATATATAAAATTCTTTTTTCTTGAAACACTTCCTTTATTTTTTCAAATGTTAATTTATTTTTGAGAGAGAGAGAGAGAGAGAGAGAGAGCGTGTGTGTGCTTGTGTGGTGGAGGGGCAGAGGATCTGAAGCAGGCTCTGCGCTGACAGCCAAGAGCTGATAGGGGGCTCGAACTCACGAACTGTGAGATCACACCCTGAGCCAAAGTCGGACACTCAACCTACTGAACCACCCAGGCGCCCCTGAACAATATATTAAATTCTAAGCAGGAAAGTCAGAACCTCCTGCGATCCCATCACCTGTGTCAGGGTGTTCAGGAGCTGGCGTCGCAGGACCTGCCTGTCCTGAGCACAGTGAGCCAAAGCAGGGTCTTGGGGGTGGGGAAGAAGTGGACTGTGGCCTTGCACCTCAGACCCCGCCCCACTCCTTCCCTATGCAGCCCTAGCTGCCTCATTGGAAAAGTGGACACGGTAATTTCTCCCATAAGCGTGGGGCCAAGGCTAAGTGCCAACACACCTTGTCCAGCTGAGCACCTGCACGTGTGGGCTTTGACTGTTGGAGGCTGTTTCCTTTGTTAATCATCTCTCCCCTTCTTGACCACTGGCCAGTGCTTTTCCAGTTGAAGTTCCCCCAAATCTTCAGGAGGGACCGCGGCTCAGCTCCAGCACCGCTCTGTCTGTGGCAGCAGAAATCTCACAGCCGGCAACTCCTTCTCAAAGGGCTTTTCTGCAAAGGAAAGGAAAGGTGAGCAAAAGGGGACCGAAGGACGTTCTCCAGAGAGGTGTGAGTGGGGACCTGTGTGTGGCTGACACAGTAGTTGAAAGTGGGCAGGTTCCTCTGGGGGTGGGGTGGCCAGGCCCCCTGGGCTGAGATTTGCAGAACTAAATTAAAATAAACTTTACAGTTGCAATCCGGGCGATAGGTGTTTACTGAGTGGCCTTGCTGTGGTAAGTGCTGTGTAGGATAGAAGGTTGAAGTAGCCAGGTCCAGCTGTTCAGGAAGTTGACTGCCATCAATGTGGAGTAATGGCAAAACAAGGCATATGAAATAAGAGAGCTGACAAGGCCGAATGTACTTGGAAGGGGGCCTTGTGAGCAGGCAAAACGCAGGAGCAAAGGTTTGGGTGAGCAGAAAGGGAAGGGAGATTCTCCATTCTGCTTGGTACACAGGGTAATAGGGTTTGGGCAAGTGTGAGGAGTAGAGGCTACAGGGTAGCCAGGCCAGGATGCCTTGGCCTTGACGTCCAGGTTGACAGGGGGGATGGATGTCCAGTGGTCCCTGCAGTGTGCTCATGTCTCCGGGAACAGTGTCTCCTTGCAGGCAGGCCGGTCTCTCCTGAGGGTCCAGCTTACTAAGCCTGCGCTGAAGGGTGAGATCAGGGGTGGTCCAGGGTGCACCTTCTGCCGGACACAGCCCTGGAACCAGCCACTTGTGGTGGTTAGAAGAGAAGCACCCCCGTTCCTTGAACAACACTGCCATGAGCTGAAAAATTGTCTTAATCACACAAGCCCTCAGTGATCCCGAGGGGATCAGGGCCCCCTGGAGCAAGGACGCACCCCCGCTGGGCTGGCTGCTCGCTGAGGAGGCTGCCTTTGCCAGGCGTTCTGCCTGTGCATCTAGATCCCTTTGGGGATCAGACTCAGGTGCCCCCAGAAAACCATTGTCTGTTGCAGAGAGATTTGCTTAAACCTCTTTAATTCGAGAGTAGTTGAGCCTAGAGCAGCTTCAGGACATCCTCCCCATTGTGACTTTCAGCTCCCACACTCCCCGCCAGGCCCTGATGCCCTCAGAGGCCACTCGCAGGTTCTCATGAGCTTGGTTGGTGGGGGGGCAGGGGGAGGATGTAGACAGGGTCAAGGAGGCCTTTTTCACCTTCTTTGATTTTTCTTCATGATCACTCACTAAGGACGCTTCTACTGGAAACTCTTACAGGACACAAGTCACGTGCCAGCTGCCCTTTTGAGATAGGAGTCTTGTTGATTCTTTTGGGGAACACATTTGTGGGCCCACCAAATCCTATCACTCTCTGGTGTTAGGTTTTGGCAAGTTTCTTAACCTCTTGGAGCCTCAATTTCCTGCCCAATGCTTCGAGAATAATCACCCCACAGGATGATGGCTAGGTCTAAACAGCGATGGTTATCAAAGTATTTCCCGGTCACAAGTGTGATACAAACAGTGTGCAATTGGGAAGAGCTGCCCATGTACCTTAGTGACTCAACATGCAGAGCTAGGAAAATGTTTCCTCAAACTTAAATCTAAAGGTATTTTTACTTTAGAAAATCTCTTGCGTTTAATATCTATTTGTCTCATATAATGTGTTTTATGATTTTGATACGTATAAAAGATTATGTAACGATGCGTGAATTATGAAACATATAACGAAGGAGACACCCACCATAAGAGCACTATACTCACCGTTAAGACTTTGGCTTTGAAATGTCCAGCCTAGCTGGGGCCTCAGCCCAGTTGAGCCCCATTTCCCTGGAGTCTATTCCCTGCTGGCTGTGGGGAAGGGGGAATAGATAGGGGATGAGGGGAGATGAGCCCATGGGGGAAGCCCAGTCCCAGAATTGGGGGGGGGGCAGATCCCTGGAATGTGACTTCTCTTCTGACCACGAGTGACTCCGAGTGTTTCCCACAGTTCTCCAGGCCGGAGTTCGTCTTGCTGGCTGGAGAGGCCCCAGTGACTGTGCACCTGCCTGGATCAATTGTGGTAACCTCTGGGTTGACTGGGCAGGGGTGGAGGGTGGGGAGGGAGCCACACTGCTGGGAAGGCCTGGAGGCCGACTGACCCCTGAGTGGGGTCTCAGGCTGGGAGGGCCCTGGGGGGGGGGGTTCTCACTCTCTCTTCCAGGCTCCTCCCAGAGCCCTCTGCCAAGTCCCACTCCTGCTTCCCGTCCTTCAGCACTTCCTCTTCCCCTTGAAGACGAGCCTTCTGCTACTTGCAGCTCATCCTGCTTGGCTTTCCAGATGCAGCTCAACTTTGTCACCTTAATGAGTCAGGAAATATTGTTTGATCATCTAGTCGGGGCCAGGCCCCACTCCAGAACCCAGATCTATATAATGTGAGCAAAATGGAGTCCTTTCCACCTGGAGCTTACATTCTAGCATATTCGTACTTGTCCATTTACTGAGGTGGAAAAGTCAATCTCCTTTTCCTTAGCTCTGCTGCCCCAGCCCAGGGAAGACTGTCAGGCCCCAAGGGGTTCAGCCTCCGTCTGGAGGGGCACTCGGTGTCCGGATTGAGGGTGGGCAAGACACTTGTCCCTGCTGATATACACTCAAAGAGCTTTCGTGATACCAGACCAGAGTGGGGACAGCCACTGCCATGACCTGCTCCAAGATGTCTTGGGGGTATGTGTGCTTTACTGAGACCTTCCTGAGCCAGCCCCCTGCAGAGGAGGGGAGAGATAGGCTTCTCTGGAGAGTGGAAAGGGGCAGCGGGAGGGACAGGTTGGGCTGGGCTGGAGCACCAGGATGTCAGGGAGTTTGCAGCCAGGACCTGTCCTGGCAGGTGGGCAGCAGAAGCTTCATTGTCCCATTGGGCCCCACTTAGAAAACACACGTTCAAAGGCACAACTATTAAGAATTTCAAGGGGGCCCTTGTAGAACATTAAACCCAAGCAGAGGGCCCTTCAGAGCACATGGGTGCCTCCACACCTCTCTCTTAGCCTCTGCACCAGAGTGCCTCAGAGTGTATTGTGTGATCAGCCCTGCCCAGGATCATGTAGGAACCCTTTCATACAGGGACCTCAGTTCCACGCTGGCCCCTGGAATGTGGGGGCTGCCCCTGGGTGCCACAAGGGTTGGGATGTGGTCACAGGCATGGTCTCCATGACACTAAAGTCACACATGTCAGTGTCCATATCCATGACTGTCCTCTAATGAGGACTTTCTGGATGGAGGTCCAGGCCAGACCCCTGGCTGGGCTTTGGACAGAGGTGATACTCAGCCTATGTCCTTAGAGATAGTGCTCAGTGCCAGGGCTCTGAGCACAAGGTGCCATGGAAGTAGAAAAGGGAGTGGGTGGCTCTGCCCTCCAGGCCACAGACAAGGATTTTGAGCCAGACCTAAAAAACTGGTAGGAACCTGCCATGTGGGGAAGGAGAGGAGGAGTATTCTAAGCAGGGGACATTGCATGCAAAGACACAGGCAACAAGTCCATGTGGGGGCAGAATGATGGGTGGCTGAGCGGTGGCAGCTGTGGTCAGGGTGGGGCTGTGGTAGCAGATGAATCTAGAATTAATCTCAGCAGGGTGAAGAGAGAAGTCTGGCTGCTGCTTATCTTTGGATGTGGCTCTGCTGAGCAACTTCTCGGTTCAGAACAATCCCCTTAACTCCTATCTCCTCATTGGATCTGTGCCCACCCCTATTCTCTCTGCTGTGCACTGGGGGTGGGGGTGGGGGCTGGAGGAACAGATTCAGGGTGATTGACACCCCTGGGACATATGATCCATGGATGAAGTCCCTGAGAAGCCTAAGCCCTTCTAGGAAGCGGAGCCCAAGGGGCAGCTGGGGTTTCAGCAAGGGGGAGACATCCACTGGATCTGCCTCCCAGCCTTTAGAGTCCCTGCAGAGCCTTATAGAATGCGGACTTGGGTCCAGTTCTGCCTCCTACTAATTCTGGCACCGTCCCTTCCTATGCTTGTCATCCCTTAACTAGTATCTTTGAACCTCATTTTTCATCTACGGTATGGGAACCCTAACATACTTATCTCATAAGGTTGTTTTTCATTAAGTGAGACAATGCGTATAAAGTGCTTAGCACAGTAGCTAGCCCACAGTCAAGACTCCTGTCTCGTAAGTTATTGTTACAATTGATACTATTATCATTTTCAGACCAAAAAAGGGAAATCCTATTTGGCTCTCAGGGCCCTCTGCGTGGTGCTGTTGAGTGGGCAGTGTCTGGAGGTGAAATGTGACATTATGTCAACGGCAGGAGCTGTCTTCAGTGCTGTCATGTCTTTTGTCAACCTTGGGGAGCTCACCTACTTTGGCTTGGCTTACATGAAAGGTAAGCGTGTGTGCATAACCTACTGCTGGCCTGGTGCCTCACGTAACCCAGATACCTGGTTACCCGAACGCTCGTCCTTCTACGAAAATTGCTTGAGGCTGGGATGCCTCACCTTGCGCATTTAGACATCAGTTAGCATGGTGAAGCTTCAAGTGCTCATTGCAAAGTGTCAAGGGAGTGCAGGAGATTATAATGAAATCGTATATGTAAGAGGCTATGGGTTTCTGTGATTTGCTGGGTCTGGTTGATCTGGTTGATCAGTCTCGAAGCACTGATGCTAGATAAGTGAATGTTAAAAGCATCTCCATGTAGGGATGCCTGGGTGGCTCAGTCAGTTAAGCATCCTACTCTTTTTTTTTTTTTTAATTTTTAATGTTTTATTATCCATATTTGAAAGAGAGGGAGACAGAGCGTGAGCAGGGGAGGGACAGAAAGAGAGAGAGGAAGATACAGAATTCAAAGCAGGCTCCAAGGTGTCAGTACAGAGCCTGATGCGGGGCTCGAACCCACAAACCGTGAGATCGTGACCTGAGTCGAAGTAGGACGCTTAACTGACTGAGCCACCCAGGTGCCCCAAGTGTCCTACTCGAGTTCAGCTCAGGTCTTGATCTCAGGGTTGTGAGGTCAGGTCCCCCCGACTCTGGGCTCCACACTGAGCCTGGAGCCTACTTAAAAAAAAAAAAAAAAAAAAAGCAGTTCCATATAGATGGGAATGTAAAATGGTGCAGCCACTGCAGAAAGCAGCAGAGTGGTTTCTCAAAAAATTAAAAATAGATTTGTCACATGATCCAGCAATTCCACTTTTGCACACATGCCCAAAATAATTGAGAGCAGAGTCTTCAAGAGAGGTTTTTGCACCCATGTGTGTAGCAGCATTGTGTGCAGTAGCTAAACTGTGGAAGCACCCCCAAGTGTCCATTGGCAGATGAATGTGTAAGCAAAGAGTGGTATATACGTATGATAGAACATGATTCCACCTTAGAAGGGAAGGAAATTCTGACCTATGCTACAACAGGGACGGACCTGGAGGATGCTGTGCTATGTGAAATAAAACAGTTGCAAAAAGACAAATATTGTATGACTCCAACTGGGGGAGGTACCAAGAAGAGGCAAAATCATAGAGACAGAAAGAATGGCGGTTGCCAGGGGCGGGGCGGAGGGGGAGTAGGGGGTGTGGTTTAATGGGTACAGGGTAGCAGTTCTAGTAGAATTCTGGAGGTGGGTGGTGAAGATAGCTGCATGGCAATGCGAATATACTTAACAGTACTGAACTGTACCTTCAACTGTGGTTAAGATGGAAAATTTTTTTATTATGTGTATTTTACCACAACAACTTTTTTTTTTTTTTTTTTTTTTTTTTTTAATTTCCATCGAATCATACAGGACTAACGGGAACTCAGCACCCCACCCAGGAGCCGTTATGAAGACCTTCCCCTTTCCCAGTTCTGCCCAGTTCTTCCCTTTTACCAGCTCTGCCCTTCCATTAGGGACTCCTATTTCCAGCCATGCAATTATACCTTTGCTGTAGTTGACGCTGTCTAAGTGCTGTGTGGGAGAATGGAAAGGAGGTCGAGTTTGGATTATTTGGGCTCTCAGGTTCAATCCTGGCCAGCCCCTCTTGCTTGGGAATCATAATCTTGGTGTTTCTCTATTCTCCCATCCCCAGTGGGAGGGGCTCGGGAGCTTGCTGTGGGGTTGGTTAGTGGCCAATGGGGCGGGGGGACAGGATGGGGTAGGGGGTGCCCTTTCCCCATAGCTCTCCACAGACCTCCAAGAGACCCCTCTCCCAAGTAAAAGAACGAGCACGATATGCTTCGATGTGATGGACTGATGTTGGCTCGATCTTTTGTAAAGTGTGAAAAGAAGAATCTTTAGGAAACACTGTATCTTTATTGCTCTGTAACATGCAACTGAAAGAAAACCAGTGTGCTTGTTCTGAGTCCCAACCTTGTGTGTATCCTGGACTGTTTCCCCCCAGTCAGGTGTGTGTCCCAGACCCCTCCATGTGGGCACTCTTGAGCCGCTTAACTGGGATGTTCTGAGTAAAATGCTCAAAAGTCCCCAGGGTGGGGCTTGGAAATAAACCCACTGGGAAGGTTTGCTAGCCAAACAGTAATGGACACCTGTGTATCAACTGGGGAGAAGTGGCCCCAAGGGAAGGGTGAGTTGGTGTGAGTGGTCAGATTCAGGAGCAAGGGCTGAGGGCAGAGGGGGCAGAGGTCTGGGCGCTGTGCGGTGAATGCTATTTTGTCTTCTCTGGAGACCTCCTTCCCTTTCTCCAGCACACACAGCTTTTGAGAGAAAAGGCTGGTTATCCACTTAAAGGGTCTGCCTTCCAAAACTTGGCAGAACTCCTGTGCCCGAGGAACCTGCTGCAGTGTGCCTCTGGGCTGGGAGACTGACGCATGGAGAAGGGTGTGGGCAGAGCAGGGCTGGGGCAGGCCTGCGGGGGTCCCAGAGGGAGTGGGGGAGGGGGTCAGGCTTCAAGTGAAGAGAGCAGAGGTGAGGAGGCAGTGCCTGCAGTGGCTGGGGCTGATTCACCGTCCCTCCTGGCAGTGTTGGAGGACAAACGCAGCAGGGGTCGAAGTCCTGAGCTTGGAGTGGAGTTTCCAAGCTGGCAACATTCAGGTCAGAAGGCAAAGATGACTCCACTTAAGCCCGGTCAGTTTGCTGGGGCTGCTAGAGCAAAATACCATAGACTGGGGAGATTAAACAACAGATCTTTATTTCTCACAGTTCTGGAGACTGACAAGTCCAAGATCAGGGTTTGAGCTTTGTCGGGTTGGAGGTTCTGCTCCTGGCTTGCAGATGGCCACCTTCTCATGGTGTCCTTACATGGCAGAGAAAGTGAGCCCTGGTCTCTTCCTTTTATTACACTAATCCCATCATGGAGGCCCCATGATAAACCTAATTACCTTCCAGAGGCTCCCCATTCCCCCATTACATTGGGGGTAAGAACTTTGGGGAGATACAGACATTCAGCCCATTTCATGCCCATGGCTGGGGAAGTTTAAGAATGGTCCAGCTGAGGCAGAGGGCCTGGCCCATGGCAAAGAGCAGAATAAATAGTCATTTCTTTGTTTTTGACTTTATCTCTATAGATAAATAGCTGGAAGGCAGCTATGAAGTGATATCTTCTCTGAGATGAATAATCACACTTCTCCTCTTAGCCTGAGTTCCTCTTCTTTGACTCTCTCTTCTCTGTTTCTGACTCCTGGCCCCTCCACAGACCCAGCAAAGGTCCTGTGGCAGCAGGTGTCCAGATGACTTGCTTTTCTCCTGTTTGACCCTTCTGGGCAGAGCTCAGGGCTGTGGGTGTGAAGGGGTGGAGTCTGTCTGACTGCCCTTCCCTCTCTGTTTCAGACAAAGAGTTCTTTTTCTTGGACGATGAAACCAGGCTGTGCAAAATAGCCCCTGAAGGCTGGAGTGAGCAGCCCCAGAAGAAGACCTCCTCAAATACCTTCACACTCTTTCTGAGGATAAAGTTCTTTGTCAGTTGCTGTGCACAGCTCCAGTGAGTGCTCCAAAATTTTTCATTTGTTCCTTCAGGGACCTGTGTATGTGCTGGCTGATGTGCTTGGTGAATGGCAAATTACGCATAAATAACAACAGTCATTGTGGTCGATCTTGCTGATTAGATTCCAATATGACAGAACGGGGAAGTCCGTATTTGGGTCCCGGTCAAAAGGAGAACTTGCCCTTTTGTTTCAAACGTGGTCCACTCAAAGCCAAAGTTCTCCCTTGACCCCAAAATGGCCCTCCCTGAGCAGCAGATCAGGGTTGGAGGAAAGGGTTATGTGTGGCTTCGGAGTTGGGTAATTGCCTCTTTATTCCTTTGCTTACTGAAAACAACATCTGAGCGTCAGTTTTCTCACTTGAACCACGGCAACAAACATCTCCGTGGGTGTTGTGTCAAGTGCTTGGCACACAGTAGCCCTCAACTTGTGGCAGGAGGCATGATGTGGGTAAAGGAGACCACACTCATCTTGCTGGCATCGCCCTCTGGGTTCTTTTAGCTTGCACCCCATCTTTTCTCCTTTCCCTGCTTCCCAGACTGAGAAAACCCTCCGGTTTTAGTGTTCTTTCCCCCTCTCAGCATTCCAGTGACCCTTATTCCTGCGTTTCTTTCCCAGGAACAGCCAGGCAAGGCACCAATTTTATCTGCAGCTTCGGAAAGACATCCTGGAGGGGAAGCTGTACTGCAATGATGAGACGCTGCTGCAGCTGGCGGTCCTTGCCTTACAGGCTGAGTTTGGCAACTACCCCGAGGAGGTGAGGGTGGAAACCTGGGGCCTGTGGTGGGGTCATTGGAGAAGCAGTTATGGGAACTATTAGAAATGTGGAGACTGAGGCTTTGAGAAGTTTTCAGCATCTACCACTGAGATTGAGGTAAATGGCATCCATCCACTCACCCATCCCTGCGTCCATATATCCATCCATGCATCCATGCATGCATTCATCCATGCGTCCATGCATCCGTCCATCCATCTATTCATCCTTCCATCCATCCACCCACCCACCCACCCATCCACCCACCCACCCACCCATCCATGCATCCATGTATCCATGCATGCATTCATCCATGCGTCCATGCATCCATCCATCCATCTATTCATCCTTCCATCCATCCATCCACCCACCCACCTACCCACCCATCCATCCACCTACCCACCCACCCATCCATGCATCCATGCATGGTCCATCCATCCATCCATCCATCCACCCATCCATGCATCCATTCATCCATCCATGCATCCATATATCCGTGCATGCATGCACGCATGCGTCCATGCACGCATGCGTCCATGCATGCATCCATCCATCCGACAAGCTTTCACTGAGTGCTTTGCTGGGCTTTGGGAGTACAAAGATGGACAAGTCAAGTGTCTACATTGTAATGTACTTCTAATTTGAGGTTTCTCCTAAAAACAATAATTTGCTAATTTATTGAGTTCCCATCCCCTTCATCATCACCAACAGGAAAAGACAACCTTTATTAAGAGATCACTCTGTACCTACCGTTGACCTAGACTTTTCCCACAGTGTTAACTCACTCAGTCCTCATAGCAACATTGTATTACTCACATTTTCTAGAAGAACAGTCTGAGACTCATTTGCTAGAAAATGGTAAAGTCTAAATTTGAGCTTAGGTGTGTCTGACTCCAAGGCCAGTGCTGAGTCTGCTGGAAACATTGCTTCTCAGAGCTTTACTCTTTTTGGCCAAACCCTGTCCTTGCAGCAGAATCACACATATATTCCTTTGATTGATTTTGCCTATGATGGTCTCGTATTACAGTACTCAGGGAGTTAGTAGAGGCTAGTGGCTATTTAATTTGCAGATGCATCACAGCAAGGAGGGATGATGTTAAGCGATTTACTTACTTATTTAGGATTCAAAGTGGGGACACAAGACAGGAAGGAGGGACCAGCCAGGTAAGCTGTGACAGAGAGCAGTGCAACTTTGCTCTGGGTTCAGGAAGCCCCTACCCATGTTCCAGATGAGGGGAAAGGGGCTTGGCAACAGACCTCAACTGAGACTGAGTCATGCCACCCAGCAGTGTGACGTGGCATGCAGTTGTGGAGGCCATCTCTGGCTGCATCGGTAGAAATGGAGAGGGAAAAGTGAGCAAGCAAGGTGGGCTCCCCACCAGCCCCCTGGGCTCTCTCTTGGATGGTATTGCCATCGTTATGTGACATAAGCTGGGTGCCTCTAGGAAGTGCTTACCTTGGAGAAGCTATGCTCAAGAGAGAACCTGAGAACTGTGTGAAGGAAGAATCCACTGCTCAAAGGGAAAAATGTAAAAGGCTTAATCCCTGTTCCCCGGGGCCTTTGACTGCTTTCCGGAAAGTATCTGTACACCCATCCCCACCTCACGTACCCTCCAAGGCCAACCCCAACTTCACAACTTTCCTGGCCTCCCCACAGGTAGAAGGAACCCCACTCTGGTCCTTTTTGACATCTCCTCCACACCCCTTGGCCAGGAGAAGGGATGATTCAGTACTCTCTTGAGAGCAAGTGACAGAAAATCAAGCTCAGATTGGCTTGAATGAAACGTGTAATTTACTGGTTTGCAAGACTGAAGTGTTCAGGTCCTGCCTACTGTTATGACAGGCTTCTAGTCCTTTTACTGCTTACCTGGTAGCTTCTTCCTATCTCTGTTTAGCCTGGGGTCCTACCATGCCTGGGGCTTGCTGGGCTCAGGGATTCAAATGACATCAACAGGACTTGGGCTTCTGTATCTCTGGGCCGTGCTCTTCTCTCTCAGTTTTGCCTTCGGTGGCTTCTGGATTCTACCCTCCAGGTCGCAGCCTGGAACCAAAGGGAGGGTCTGTCTCTCTCTCTGTCTCTCTTCTGCTCTCAGTAATGCCATGGAGATCCTACAGTTCTGTCTCATTGGTTCTGATGGGGTCATGTGCCTACTCAAGCCAGTCACTGTGCAGGGAGATGCCATGCTCTGATTAGATTTGAGTTACATGGCACCCGAGAACCAGGGTAGAGTTCACACTATGCAAATACATGGACTGAGGGGAAGGAAGGATGGTTCCCATTTCCAGAAAGAGGAAATGGTTGCACATGGCTAAAAATATGTCTACCACCAGTGAGCACTTAGTGGTTGGCCATGCTACATCCTTGGTGAACAAAGGAGCTGCGTTTAGCCGAAGTTCGGAGTCTGCTGGGGTCATTTTGGTCTGGCCTTGTGTTATAGGCTGAGGAATGTTCCTCCAAAATTTATGCGTTGAAGCCTTAACCTCTGGTACCTCAAGAGTGTGACTATATTTGGAGACGGGCTCTTTAAAGGGGTGATTACATTAAAATGAGGCTTTCTGGTCGGGTCTTAATCCATTCTGACTGGAGTCTTTATCAGAAAAGATTAAGACTCACAGGGAGACACCAGGGATGCTGGAGCACAGGGGAGAGACCAGGTGAAGACAGGGAGAAGATAAGCACTTGCAAGTAAAGGAGAGAGGCCTCAGAAGAAACCACCCCTGTCAACACCTTGATCTTGGACTTCTAGCCCCCAGAGCTGTGAGAGAATAAATGTCTGTTATTGAAGACATCCAGCCTGTGGCATCGGTTATGGCATCCCAGCAGGCTAACGCACCTGGAGTCGGAGAGGGAGAAGCTGCAACCATCAGAGAGTCTGGACGCCTTGGTGGAGATCTGTGTCTTTAGTCCTCACACAGTGGGGGGTGGGGAGTGTGCCTGTTTGCCTCAGTAGCTGGGTTTAAGAGCAAGGACCAGTTCAAAAGTTAAAATGGCTCTCAAGAACAGTGGCTTTCAAATGTGCTGTGCTGTGACCCAGGATTGAAAAAGAAAAAAAGGTAGACATTATAACCCAACCCACGTGGGTATGTACATAGAACAGAACTGAAACAAAAGTTTAGGAAATAAGATGTATCCTTTCTGTACCTGTTACACATTGGTGTTTCCTATTCTATTGTAGTTCATGCTGGTTATGAACCATTAACCATTAGCTCGCTAATGTGTTACAAGCTGCAGTTCGAAAACACTTTTTAGCCCATAGCATTCTCGTTTTGCTTTCTTCCCAGTAGATCTTCAGAAGGGACAGCCATGTCCAGAGTCTTCCAAGGCCCTCTTTATTCCTCACTCTGCCGCATTTTTCTCCAGAGCATTTACCACCGCCTGCGTGGTATACGCATTTATCAGCCATCCTCCACCTCCAGCACCTTCCCCAGATTCACGGAGCCTCGACCTCTCTCACTGCTGTGGACCAGAGCAGTTCCAAGACGCTCTCTGCTGTCCCCACATGGGCTCCCAAAGGCAGACACTTTCCTTTTCTCTTGTATGCGTAAAGGCAACAGATTACACAAACCCCCTCATTTGGGCCCACACCCTCAGTCCTAATTTATGGAGGGCCTGCTCTACTCTTGGTATCATCTAAGCCCTATGTCAACCCTGCAAAGTCCATTGTTATTTCCATTGGCAGTTGAGGAAAATTGTGCCTCTGTGAGCTTAGGTAAGCTGGTGAGAGCACAGCCAGGACTCACTTCCAGGGCCTCGCTTCACTGTGAGCCAGGCACTGCAGTGGGCGCATCAGAGGGTGCTTGGGGAGACGCAGAGAGGAGGGCCCGCCCCCGTGTCCGTGTTCAGGGGGGGGGGGCAGTGTGGCAGGAGGAGAGGGCTACAGGCATTTCCCTGCAGCCCTAGCTAAGGCGGCTGTGAGTCTGGGCGGCACCACCAGCCAGATCCGGGAAAAACCTCGTGTGCCCCCCTAAGGGGCTTATATCTTGTTGGATAAATGGTTCTATGGCTGGGGGGAAAAATTTAATTTGGAAACCACTGTAGTGAAAGACTGGGAGCCGCTGCAGAATTCTAAGCAGGGAAGTGACATGATTACATTTGCATTTTAGAAAGGGAGACAAAGACATGTTGGTATAAAAATAAATCTCCTTCATCACATCAATGCGACAGAACAGCTCTTCCTCTGGGTGCATCCCCTTCCAGCCTTTGATTACACGTGGGGATGTTATACAGGTGTAAGCATTGCCGCCTGCATTTGCATTCCGCTTTCCTGCTTGCTGACGCACCTTCCTGCGGCCTTCCTTGTCATCCTCTGCGACGATGACAGTGGGAGCCTTAGCAGGGCTGGACCTCTGCTCACTTTTCCATCCCCGCCCCTGTCGGGCATCACCCGGAAGTGCCACGTAAGTGGTAACTACTGCTGTTACTGTTCCTGTTGCTTCCGATCTTTCTTTGTGATGAATGACATAGAAGTAAATGCTTCTGCTAGGGCATTTTTAGTTGCATATTGACTTCTTCTCTTGGACATATTCCTAGCTGGGTCAAAGGTCCTAAGTGCTTGTAGGTTCATGGCAAAATTGAGTGGAAGGTACTGAGATGTCCCGTGTATTCCTTTGCCCCCACACATGCACAGCCTCCCCCATTATCAACATCCCTCACCAACATGGTACATTTGTTTCAGTTGATGAACCTACATCGACACGTCGTCGTCCCTCAGAATCCATTGTTTACGTTCATGTTCGCTCTTGGTGTTGCGCGTTCTATGGGTTTGAACAAATTTATAATGACACGTGTTCACAATTAGAGTACCATACAGTAGTTTCACTGCCCTAAACATCCTCTGTCTTCCATATATTTGTCCTTCCTTCTCCCCCACCCCCACCTGCCAACCATCCCCTGGCAACTACTGATCTTTTTTTATTGTCTCCATGGTTTTGCCTTTTCTAGAATGTCATATAGTTGGAATCATACAACATGTGGCCTTTTCAGATTGACTTCTTTCAGTTAATATGCATTTAAGTCCCGCCTCCCCCCCCCCACCATGTCTTTTCATGGCTTGTTAGCTCATTTCTTTTTAGCACTGAAAAATATTCTGTTGTCTGGATGTACTATAGTTTATTTATCCATTTCACCTACTGAAGGACATCTTTTGCTTCCAAGTTTTGGCAATTATGAATAAAATTGCTATAAACACCCACGTGCAGGCTTCTGTGTGGACATACATTTGCAACTGCCTTGGGTAAATACCAAGAAACATGATTGCTGGATCATATGGTAAGACTATGTTTGGAAGACAAATTGTCTTCTAAAGTGGCTGTACCATTTTGCATTCCCACCGGCAACAAATGAGAGTTCCTGGTGCTCCAAATCCTCACCAGCACTTGGTGTTGTCAGTATTCTGGATTTTGGCCATGCTAATAGCATTCCGAATGCTTTTTTATGCGGCAGATTGCTGAGCAATTTCTTTCCATTTGTGTCTGAGCTTAGCTCAAAACTGGCATGGGCTAGCTCTCAGTTGAGGATTCTTAGTCCATGGCCACATGGGGATAGGTCTGTGCCATACCAGGAAATGGGGATGGTTCCCTTCAGATCCCCTCATCAGACCAACCTGCCCATCACCAGCCTTGAGAAGGCAAGATCCTCCCAGTTCCCAGCTGCCTTTCTCATGGGTAATTATCCTCACCTATGGGGAAATGACTTGGCCAAGTTTAAGCTGGGAGGGGCTGCCTAAGACCAGGACATGCTGATTCAGGAATACAAGGGCAATTTCAGCTTCCTCTGAAAGTTCTGCCTTCCTCATTCCTAATAGTGGACCCCAAGACCACCCCTCCAAAACTTTTTTTTTTTAAGTTTGCTTATTTATTTTGAGAGAGGGAGAGAGAGAGAGCGCGCGCACGCGTGAGCAAAAGCGGGGCAGGGGCAGAGAGAAGAAGAGACAGAATCCCAAGCAGGCTCCATGCCATCAGCGCAGAACCCGATGTGGGGCTTGAGCTCATGAACTGTGAGATCATGACCTGAGCTGAGATTACCCCTCCAAAACTTCTGCATACCTCTCTGCCCCAGAGTCTTTATCAGGGAACCCTGCATCAGATGGCGAATGATGCTGATCTCCTAGCTGCTCACTGTAGGGTGGCAGCCTCAGGTTCCCTAAAGAGCAGACTGGATGGAGGTTCAGGCTTGGGGTAAGGTGGGGCTCTCAGATCTCTTGTTCAAGAGACAACATCTTGATCCCCTCGTGGTGAGATGCCGGCATAGGCAAGACCTCCTTTGTGAGAATGTGACAGTGTACTAAGAGCATATGCAGACCGGAAATGCTAAATGCATAAAAAGGAACAAAGTTTTGGGGCTAGGGTTTTGCTGTGGCTTTTGGGAAGCGGTGTGGCATCGGGGAGGGTGTGAGAGCTTTGGATGACCGAATCATGTTTCTGTCACTAAGTGGTGTGATCTCGGCCCTGTTGAATGACTTCCTTCCTTGTTCATTTTGTTCATCCTGCCAGTGGCAATAGAAATATCCTCTTAGGATTGCTGTGGGATGGAAAGAGCTAATGTGTTCTGAGGACCACCTGGCAAACAGAAGGTCTCAAAAACAGGTGGCTCCTTTCTTCTCTCCCTTCTATTCATGTCATACGGTTTGGGCCAACTTCTAATACAGTGTAAAATGTTACCCTCGGTGGGCACTTCAAGGGAGCATCCTTGCCCTGGCGCCCTAACTGGAGTTTGGGTTGCAGAGGCTTCTGCTGTGCTCAGAATTCCATAAAAGGCACCTTGACTATGCCCCCCCCCCCTTTTTTTTCCTGCATCCAGCAGATAGAGAGTAAAGCTTATTTTCGAGTTGAAGATTACATCCCAGCGAGTCTAATTGAGAGGATGACTGCTTTCCGGTTGCAAGTTGAAGTCTCGGAGATGCACCGTCTCAGTCCTGTGCTCTGGGGAGAGGATGCTGAGCTGGAGTTCTTGAGGGTAAGACCTCTGTACTCTTGAGAGGGGGTGTTGGTGTTTAAGGGAATGCAGCCAGCCCTCCCCTCTGGAGCTTTCTCTGGGGGATTGGATGTGCTTAGACCCACAAGGAGGTATGAGCGAGGGACTTGAGACTGGGAGGAAGGAAGTTCTAACATCCTGCAGGGCAAGGAGACTGTTCTGGGAGCAGGTGGCATATTGGAAATGATCCCCCCAAATTTAGTGGGCTGGGGTGGGGATGGTAGGGCCCTTCTTTAATCACAGAGTTCACAGTCACTTTTCTCACAGAGACATACGGGAGAACACTCAAGTACAAAACTGGGGTATGAGCCAAAAGCAAAGCCATGGGAAGACCTCTGGTTTCCGGCCTTCCAGGCAACTGTCCTCCGCACAGCACAGATGGTGTGGTTCGTGCGTATGGGTATGGCTCTGGTCTACACTCTCTTCAGCCCTGAAGCAAAAGCAGTGGCATTCCGGTCCCTGATATCTGTGGTACACACAGAGCGTAGGATGGATAGCCTTTGTACACTCCATAACATACCAGCTTTGGGCCGAGGGCTGCGTGGAATGGAGACAGAGAGAACCTGCTCCCTGCCCGCCAGGGAGTTCTGCATCTCCTGGGGAGGAAAGACAGGGACCCAGAGACTTGCATAGTGTGCTATCTGATGAAAACAATAATAATGTGTCAGGATAGGAGGGAGGGGCGCTTTGCCCGGGGCAGATGGAGCTGGGAGGGGGGCACATGGGAGCCCCCACCCCCTGGCTTCCCCAGGGCAGGACGCTTGGCTGGCCTTTACAGCTGAGGAGCTGTTTCAAAAGAAGCTCCGAATTTATACATTTCCCTGTGCAAAAGTCTCTCAAGATGGATAGAAACATGTCCGTGGTTTATTTTTATCTTATTTTTTGCCTTTAATAGAGATGGGCATTGGAAAGCAGACCTGCCCAGGGGAGATCTGGCCTTTTCTTTTTGGTGTGTCATTTAATAGACTGTCGGCAACACCTCGCACATGTGAGTCCACAAGCACTTCATCTGAAACGCCCTGATGGCAAGGCACTCACCGCTTCCTATAACCCAGCATTCGTGCATGCTGCTTGTAAGAGGATGCGGCCTTCCTTTGATGAGGGACAAGTGCGCACCTCAAAGCCATCAGCGCACATCTGATGGAGGGTGGCCACAGAACCACAGAACCAGGCGGGGAAGCCAAGGGCTAGGGCCTGCGGGGGCCCCTGTAGGACCGAGAATGCCCACCTGATCCCCCCTCCCGAGGCTCCAGCTTTGTTTGCCTGGCTCTGTGTCCCTCCCTCTCCTGGTTGATTGATGGAATTGATTGTGAAGGAAGCCACCATCTCATAAGCAGAAATACAGGAAGACTTTGCCTCAGTCATTGCTGGAAAACATCGAATAGATTTGGCTTCATTCGCATGCCATCTTATCAGTGTTGAGGAATACTGGCTTTTAGTTCCCCGTGGTGGCTAGTTGGGCTTGCTAAGGCTGTGTGCCAGCCCTGGGGCGTGAGACACCCACACGAGAGGGCTTTGTGACCCCCAGAGCACATTGCGACCCTTCTCTTTTGGGTGAGTGTGTGTTAAGCAAAATCTCCCCCACCCCCATAATGATAAAAGTAACAATTTGCTCGGAATTCTGTGGAGACAGCACAGTTATATTTTGTCGCATTAATTCTTTGTTCTGTGCGTTCACACTGTGTATACACATACACATTTAAAATTGGGTTTATATTATAGATGCAGTTTTGTGTATTTTTATAATCGCCTCTCACCAACATTTTGAAACTGTATTTTAAATCAGCACACGGTGTACCCTAAATTTTTTCTCAATACTCTGTTGTTTGGCACATAAATTGTTTTTAATAGGGGACTATCTTAAACAATACTGAGATTAGCACTTTTTCTACATAAGTCTTTAGCTGCATTGGTGCTTAATTTCTTAGGGATAGAATCTCATGAGTGGAGTTACCGGGTCTCAGGTTATGAACGTTGTAAATGTTGTTGACAGATATTGCTAAGACACTCTACGTTTTAGTCCTTTCTATACTTTTCTTGTCCTCTCTACTAGGCTGTAAATGTCAGGGCCCTGAATTCTCAGAGCCCATCACAGAGCCCAGTTACTTCACGAACAGTCACTGGATTATTTAATTACAGTTCCTCGTGGCTCCTCTTTTCCATTATCAGATGGTGCCTCTTGGCCTCCAGTTCACCGATGACTAATTCTGCTAGTTCATCATCTCACACTAGAAGACTTGGCGGAAATCCAGTTTGGGTAACGCTGAACAGCATACTCTGGAAGACTCACAACTACATTAGCATATTAATCCCAGAACAACCTGTTCAAGGTTTACTCAATGTTTTCCAAACTTCTTCAGCCATGGAACCATTTTTTCCCACCTAACTAGGGGTTTCATATTCTATTAAGACATTTTGTTTCTTTTCTTTCTTTTTTTTTTTTTTTTTCAACGTTTATTTATTTTTGGGACAGAGAGAGACAGAGCATGAACGGGGGGAGGGGCAGAGAGAGAGGGAGACACAGAATCGGAAACAGGCTCCAGGCTCTGAGCCATCAGCCCAGAGCCTGACGCGGGGCTCGAACTCACGGACCGCGAGATCATGACCTGGCTGAAGTCGGACGCTTAACCGACTGCGCCACCCAGGCGCCCCTCTTTCTTTTTTTTTAGCAGTTGAAATCATACTGGCTGTACCCTGTGTTTTACCCCACTTAGCATTGTAACATGTGCATTCCCCAGATAATTACAAATGCTTTGTAAATCTCCTTTCTAAAGGCTGCCTAATGATCCCTTGTAAAGCAGTATTGCCTTTAGGAAATATTTATCTCTGGCAGCTGGTCCCCCAACCCAACCTCGCTAGTCGACACCAACCATGAGAAGGGTTTGTCTTAATTACGCGGTATATTTTCTTAGGACGGATCCCTAGGAATGGAATTACAGGGTCAAAGGATCATGAGTTGTTATCAATTTCTTGACGGACCAGCCTGTTTGTTTCAACAGTTTTCAGTACAGCAAGGGTACTGCATAGGCTGGGAGACAGGAGAGCCTGGGTCCGGTCTAAACCTGGCTGCTGTTATGGGGGCAGGAGAAAATAGTGAGATGCCTCTAGGCACCTGGAAATACAGTGACCCTCTGAGGGCAATCGGCAACTGCAACATGGAATGACCAGGAGAGGCACTACAGAAAATTCCCTAGTAGAGCATGGAGACATAGAGAACATTATTTATTTTTTACAGATTGAAAATGCCCCCGAGGATCTTACGCATATGCACCCATGTTTCCAAACTTTACAGAAACTCTGAATTTTAGTTGTGAAGAGTGGAGTTGCGGAAGGAATCAGACTCGTACTTCCATTTGTGACTCCGAAGTGTATCTCTGGTTTTTGATTTGAAAAGAGGTAGCTACACCTGTCTGTTGTGATCGTTGTGAAGGTTAACGTGAAGATTAAGTGACGTCATCCAGGGGAAACGTTTAGGATGGCACTTCACCACTTAAAAATTTTGTCCCTCTAAGTACTTGAGGATCACGTCCTTCTCTACATAATTAAAAAATAAAATTAAATACTAAACAATTTCCAAATGTAAGCAAGTCTAGCAAAGGCCTCTTTATTCTAGTGAAGACCATTTTAAGGCTTTACACTTTTTTAGAAATATCACATCAAATTATTTAAAAGAATTTTATCGTATTGGTTTGAGATGACTCTAGTATCTTAAGCACATGCCTAGCCTGGCCATTGGATATTTCAGCCCCAATGCTCAATAAATAGTGTTTTGGATGCTACTGCTGATGACAATGATGGTGATGAACAGTGTCTCCAAAGTTAAAACAAGGAGGCTCAGGGCCCAGAAACTTAATCAAGGTCATGTGAAGAGCTGTAGGCTCTGCAGGCAGCAGAACCTGTCTGAAGAGATTATTTATTTTTTATTATTTTATTTTATTATTTATAAGAAAGATAGTGCATGTGAGCAGGGGAGGCAGAGAGAGAGAGAGCGAGAGAGAGAGGGAATCTTAAGCAGGCTGCACACTTAGTGTGGAGCCTGACACAGGGCTCGATCCCACAACCCTGGGATCATGACCTGAGCCCAAATCAAGAGTCAGGAGCTCAACCAACTGAGCCACCCAGGTGCCCCTATCTGCAGAGATTATTAACAGAAATAAAAAATACAGCAAGGATCCTGAGAAAGGAGCCCTCAGAAGTCGTAATTTCTCTCTATTTTTGTTACCCCGTGTGGCAGTGGGAGAAATTGGCCAGGGCAGACTGCTCTCTTTTGCAGGGTAGAGATGGGATACCAGATCCCACCAATGAAACCCTTCTGAGAGGGTTTCCAATCCCCGGAGCAAGAAGTCCCTGCTGTGAGTCCCGGTGCATCAGCCTTCTGATGAGGACTGGAATCTTTCAGGTGAAGACGAAGGTGGTAGACCCCAGGATAGAGATGTGATTACCAATCAGACATAAAAACATTTGCGTCAAATTTGTACCCCGATCTCTTAAGAGTTTGGTGGACCTGATGCAGTCCCCATCTCTGATTGACCCTCAGGGCTCTGACAAAATTCAGTCTCCTGACCTGGTAAACTGAGGACAGACCTTGGGCTATGGGGACCTGGCCAAGGCACTGCCACATGGTGAGAAATGCCAGTGATTGTTCATTTTTTTTCTGCAGGATGTTCATGGCTTATCTTGCTTTAACAGTGATGCTAGCCACCTGGAAGGTTGCTTTCTGTGCCCGGGACTCAGTTTTTCTGTAAAAATCTATAAAGTGAAGGGTTTGTACGAGATAATATTGCAATAGGCCTTGGTGGACACAATTATGAAAAGGAATCCTTTACCTTGAGGTGACCTAGAAGAGTCTGCATTCTAAAAACTTGCTCAGAATATTATTACTCTGTTGTATCATTTTCATAATAACGTGTTCCAAGTGTTTTGTTTTAGGTACTCGGAAAAAGAATTCCTAGGGTTAATAAGATAGGAAATGCTATCATATTAGAGGTGAGAAATTTTGTGGTAAGGAGATCTGTTTGACTCAGTGTTTCCTAAACTCAGTTTGCAATTCTACTCTTTTTAAAATTTTTTCAAGGCGTCTCTTAAAATGGTTTGGAGCCCATTATTTTGGATTAGTGTGACTTGTCTCTTCTTAACTGGCCTTTTTCTTGCTGTAGGTCACTCAGAAACTCCCAGAATATGGTGTGCTGGTTCACCGAGTCCTCCCAGAGAAGATGACACGAGAAAGGGAGATGGCCTTGGGGATCTGTGCCAAGGGCATCATAGTGTACGAAGTGAAAAACAACAGCAGAATTGCAACTTTACGCTTTCAGTGGAGAGAAATTGGAAAGATTTCTACTTGTGTGAGTATCACTCAGTTGATAAAGGTTTCAATTTCCTTTGATCTGTTGCCCCTTTAAAGGCGCAGTGGGGTCCTGTGATCATCTTCTGACCAGATAAGGTCACGGCCTGTCTAACCAGTACTAACCAGTACTCCGAGGTACTGTGGCATGTTTGGAAGAAGCCTACCGGGGGCCTGGAGAGTTCTCAGGGCGCTATTTCTCCCCACCATGTCTTGCCCAGTCCCTCTATACCCCCAATCAGCCATCAGCCATCAGCCAAAAGAGCTACTACGCCTTTCCTCTGTGTAGAGATCTCTTAATTTGGGGAATCCACTGATGTTGAAAGCAAGGTTGGTGGTGGGAGATGGGAGGGGAGAGTCTGCTGTAGGCAGGGTGAAATCTGCAAGGTTTTGAAACATTTCCCTTGTGTTTCAAATTTTCCCCGTGCGCGCAGCATGCTGAGGCATCTGGCCTGTCTCCTGTGAACTACAGGTGTGCTACAGGACACTGGGGACTGCAAACTTTGATACCCACTGAAAATTGAAGAGCCTTTTTTTAGAAACAAAAAATCCCTGTTAAATGTATAATGTTTGAAACTGTATTTCAACGCCATTTGCATGAGTATTTATATACTTCCTGAATTTAGTTACAATAAATCTGCCACCCAAAGCATTATGTGTGTCCCCACATGAGAGTGTTCTGGTCCCTAATCTACCTGCCTGTCCTGTGGGTCACTGAAGCCAGTATGCCATTACTTTAGCGATGATTTCGTTATCAAATGTGAAGTTCTTTGTCTTTTGGCCCATGCAAAAAATTAGCTTTTTCTTTCCATTTAATTTTCTTTTAGGGTTTTAAGAATTTTCCTACTGATTAGATTGCTGTTTTAATAATCAGCAATCTGATGTTAGCTTTTCCTAAGTGGAACCTAATTGTTTCTTCCATCTTGGCCATTGAAGATAACATATTGTTCAAATACCACTCTTGATAGTATTTAATGATAAATTATTGTTTGTCTTGGGACACCTGGGTGGCTCTGTTAGTTGAGCATCTATATGACTCTTGATTTCAGCTCAGGTTGTGATCCCAGGGTCGTGGGATGGAGCCCCGCATAGGACTCTGTGCTGAGTGTGGATCCTGCTTAAGATCTCCTCTCTCTCTCCCTCTCCCCCTCTGCCCCTCCCCACTTGCATGTGCATGCGTGTGCATGCACTCTTTTTCTGTCTGAAAAATAATTGTTTGTCTTTAGAAAAAAAGCTTATATCTAAAAGTAATACCTGAACAAAATTTAATTGAGTTCATTAAAGTGGCTTATAATACACTATCAGGAAATTGACTTTTTCCCAAATATTTTTGACCATATCTAAAAGTAAACAACATTTATATTTGTAATTTCTAAAATAATTTTAATGACTCGACTTACTTTAATTCAATTGAAAGATTATTTGAGGAATTTTAATGATTAAATTAATTCTATACTATTGCATTGCTTCTTATTTTCTTTAGGTCATGGTTAATTCAAAATTTTCAAAGAAATTTGTTTTAAAACATCTGTAAAAAGGCATATAACCTAAAATATAATTTTGAAAAGTAGAAATTTGACATTATAAAGTTGAACAATCCCTTTAAGTAAATGCTTTATATTTAAGTTGTTTTAATGTTTATAGATACTCATTTTCCTATGGCCAGGGACAATTTCTTGATTAAAGCTGGAAAATCATCAGGTTCACAAGACAGACTTAGTAGCTTAAAATAATAAAACAAAGCAAAGCAAAGCAAAGCAAAGCAAAGCAAAGCAAAACAAAACAAAACAACCTTGCCACTAATTAGGATTTCCATGCCCTGATGATCATCCTCTTCCTCAGCATGAATGTCTTTTTTGTGGCAAAGTCATCCCATGAAATAATGTCACCAATGGCTTGCCACAAATTAGGCATCTTGAACAGAAAACGGGGAACTCTATGAACAATACAGGAGTGAGCTCCAGCAGCTGGTCTGAAATTTGCCTAAAAGCAGAAGCCAAGATACTTCAAATAATTGCAGACCATTCATCTTTCCAGCCTGCAGGGAAGTAGCAATCGAGATAGAAAAAGATGTCATTTTCGAAGACTGTGATTTACAGGTGTGTTGGCAGCCTGTCTGTGACAGAGACAACATCAATTCAGATTATTCAGTTGAGAAAGTGTTGGTTGTAGAATGATGAACCTCCCCGAGTTAGCAACTGTTCTCGGTGATTAGCAGTAGTTAAAATGCTTGAAGAGAAATGCATGAGGGCAGGAGAGGATACAGGCTTTGTAGAGCTCTCTTTAAGAAAAAGAATACAGTGGCTCAGTACGTTGAGCCTCCAACTCTTGATTTTGGCTCAGGTCATGGTCTCAGGTTGTGAGATGGAACCTGAGTTGACTCTGTGCCGAGGGTGGAGCCTACTTGGGAGTCTCTCTCTCTCTGTCTCTCTCTCTCTCTCTCTCTCTCTCTCCTTAAAAAAGAAAATGTTGTTCTCTGTGTAGTGTGTCCTTTTTGGGCTCCTAGGTGACTCAGTTGGTTAAGGGTCTGATTCTTGGTTTCAGCTCAGGTCATCTCTCACAGTTTGTGGGTTTGAGCCCCGTGTTGGGGACTTGGGATTCTCTCTCTCCCTCTTGCTCTCTGACCCTCCCCCACTCATGCTTATGCTCTCTCTCTCTCTCTCTCTCAAAAAAGGAAAATAAACATTAAAAAAAAAGAAAAAAGAAAACAAAGTTCTGAGTACAAACTATGAAATGAAAGTGAATAGTCAGAGTGAGAAAAGAAATCACCAAAGCTTGTGAATTTAAAAAAGTGAATACTGCAAAACTATGAAGCCAAAAAGTGCTACTTTTATTAATGAACTCCCTGATGAGCTATAATTTCTTTCTTCTTTCAAATGTTGGTGGCATGTGCTCTGATTATGTTTCCATGTCATGGCACTTCTGTAGTATTTTCTCTAGAGGCAATAGAAATATAAATCAGACTTTCTTCTAGCATGGCTGGCTGAAAGTTATTTTTATTATTGGTAAGATGCATAAAACATGCAGCTTTGCACAGAGATGCACTTGCTCTTTGCAGTGCTGCTGTGGGCTTCTGTGCAACAAGTGAAGGGAATCTAGTAAATTCTATTTCATGTGATTCCTATCCATAAAGGAAAAATATCGTGTGATGTATTGAGAGTGCAGTATATACAGTTATAAAGCATATCCCTGATTGGATGGAAATGCCAATTGATAGGGGTGTTTTTAAGAATTAAACTACAGTTTTTCATTTCTTACAACTGAAGATATCTGTCAGACTGGCCTCTGGCTCTGAACATTTTAAAGCTCGCTTTCCACGCTTTGCAAGACCACGTGAAGACTTGGCCAGAGCCCCTCCAGGACTCTCAACTTCATTAGCTCCAATGGCAAAATGGTAAAAAAATGCTTTGAAGTGAACGTGATGTTATGGAAGCACCGAGTGTGTTTGTGGCGCAACGACAGGGGTGTAAATACGTTTTTCTTGTTTGTACGGAAAACTCTGAGATTCAAGTTTTACATCACCTTGTTCACAGAGCAGCTCGCCTGTGTGAAAGTTTGCTCGCGGATGTGCGTGTCTCATTAAATGACGTTATCAACATGGAAAAAAAAAAATCCAGACTACTAAAGTCAAGATTGTTTGCAGCTTTCTGACAGGAAATTCCACTCTTTGTGGTGTGTAATACCTTAAAGCATTAGTGTCTAAAAGGAGAGTTTTGCCAAGAGTTTATGAGTTGAAAGAAACGTGTGTGTGTGGATGTGGATGATTCTCTCTTTTCAGATTTGTCAAGGAGTAGGTATTAGATTTTTACAAAATGACAATACTTACCTAAATTTTTTTTAATACTTGGGTGCACTTAATGTAACATTGTCAAGACTATATGAGAGCATATCAACATGTACTGACCAAAGGGATGGATTCCAAGCAAATATTCAAGTTTGAAAAAGCAAATATTCGACTGCTGGAGTTCAGGCATCATTATAATTGGAATATTAAGAAAAAATTATCAAGGATGTTAGGGAAGCGTCTGAGTGTTTGAGAAAATACATTATTAAAAAAATGCTAGATATGGTATAGTTCGATTGGATTCCAAGTCCACTCATATTAGTATAAGGAGGTTCAACATTACATGTGTCAATACAGTGAAAGAATATTCAGAAAATGCTCAGATTTTTAAAATTAGGTTATGGGCAAAAAAGTTTCTCAGAGGAAAAGTAAGGAATAATTATCTGCCTTTTGTTAATACTTGACAGTGTGGATGGAGCTTCTTGGAAATGCTAACTACTATGAATTAAAAGGGATTAGCATTAACCAGGATCAGGAGTTTCAGGGAACCCTTTCAAGCATAAGCCCTGTATTTATAAAGTTATCTTTCTAAGAGCAAGCTCAAAGTTCTTACTGAAATACCTAGAATATCTAGAGATTTTATTAAATTTTTTAAAGTTTACTTATTTATTTTTGAGATAGAGTGGGGGGGACAGCAGAGAAAGAGAGGGAGAGAGAGAATCCCAAGCAGGTTCTGCACTGTCAGTGCAGAGCCTGATGTGGACTGTCAGTGCAGAGCCTGATATGGGGCTCGAACCCACAAACCATGAGATTGTGACCTGAGCTGAAACCTCAGTCAGACGCTTAACTGACTGAGCCACCCAGGTGCCCCATAGACCAGAGATTTTATTTAGAAGTTATATTTAAATCCGTACTTAATATCATCTCTATTTATTTTGTATTCGATTGTTTTTATTAACATCGTGCATTGAAAATAGTTATGGATCTTTTCCACAAAGCTCCATATAGATAATCCCATGTAGATAATCCTCTCCAGTTTCTCCCACTGAGCTGAACAATATTATCACCTTGTATATGGGCCCTGAAGGTATAAATGAGGAGAAGGATTGCTTGGTGATGTGGCTTCAATTCCTGCTGCATTCTGAGGACTCTTGGTGTGTTTCCTCATCTGTAGAATGAGGATAATGGTATGACCTCCCTCATTCTGTAGCCTTGAGGATGAAGTGAATCAATACCCAGAAAGCACTTAGAACAGAGCCTTGTCCATACAGTAAGTAATACGAGGATACATACAGCGATCTTATCTTTTCTCTAACCCTACCAGCTGAAATTTTGTCTGCACCTTCTGGGAGTTTGTGCAATGAAAACTGTAGGTAACTTAATGGCCTTTCAAAATGCACACGGGGGATTATGTTCACTCCTTGCCGAGGGCCACGTGTGTGCCTGGCTCATTTCGTATTTTATTTTAGCGTACTTCCTGGCGGATAGCCATGACCCGATAAACAAACATTTGCTTTGTGAATGAAGAAAAAAAAAGGGATTTTCTTTAATCAAAGAAAACATATTGGGCCATGGTCAGACAGACAGTACCTGTCACACACTTCTGGATGCCTAGTACGTTGATATTGAACGGAGGGCTCTAGCATTTGATAACTCTCTGGACACTTGTGCTTCAAGGATGGTCAAAATGACCAATACATTCATGTCCGTGTTTGCTTCCTTCAGCGAAAGAAGTTCACCATCACAAGTGGCATCACTGGGAAAAAGCACACGTTTGTCACTGATTCAGCCAAGACCTGTAAATATTTACTGGGACTCTGCTCTGCCCAGCATGGATTTAATGCCCAGATGAGCTTCCTGCCAGTTGCAGCTGGTGAGTAGACACTATATTCTCAACCTCCAGGTCGGAAAGTTTGTTGTTTCATAAAATAATTTGTGTAAATGTATACAGTTGACCCAGAAGCCTCCACAAAATTTTAGATGTCTCTAACAACTCAAGAAATACCATCTTAAAATGAAATACGCTTTGTTTTTCTTTGGTAAATGCTGAAATAAGTAACACGGTGGTGGGTGGGGTAAATGGATACCATCTTTCTGAAGTGCAATTGGGAACATATATCAAAAGCCTTTAAAAAAAAGTGCATGTCCACTAGCCCTGCAATTTTGCTTGTTGACAAATATTTATCCAAAGGTGATAAATATGGAAACACACAGTTGTTTATGGGCTCATGGGTGTTCACTAGAATGTTATTTGTGATAGTGACCGTTTGGAAGCAAGCTAAGTCCCCAAACACGGATGACTAGCGAAATAAATCACAACACATGTCTATAAGTTAGACATTAGAGTCAGTTTTGGAGACTGATGACACGTGAAAATGTACATAATATGGTGCTCAATGAGGGAGAGCAAAACACGAAGCCGTATCTTGGCGTGGATAGAGCTCTCTGCAATGATGGGCTATCTACACCATTCTTTATGGGGGGCACTACCAATTTGTACCTCCTGAGCACTTGAAAGGTGGCAAATAGAACTGAGGAACTAAATTTTCTATTTTATGTAATTTTAACTAACTTACATTTAAACCTAAATGGCCACATGTGCCTACTGTATTGGATAGCACGGGCATAGACACCAGGATAGTAATTTGGTTGGTGTTAATGTGTTATTAAATGAGAAAGGAAGAATATGGAAATGAACTGCACCAAAGTACCTTTGTGGGCTTGTTATTCCCTTTGTGAGTCAGGCACACAGACATGATTATTTCCCCTTTTGTGTGTTTTTCAATAGTCACCAAACTTTAACAATGCACATGTATTATTGCTTTAATTAGGAAAGAGACTATTAGTGAAAATGAGGCCACACATCACAAAAGACTAGTTCATATTTACTGAATATTTAGGAAGTGCTAGGGAACCATTTGTTACTGTTATTAGTACTTTCCCAGGCAGTATGCTAAGCCCTTCCATGAATTATCTCATTTATGCTCATAATACACTGTTTCCTTAAACCCCAATTGTCTGGCAGCTGAATGAGGCAGGGACCAGCATTACTGGGGGAAGCAAATTGAAGCATGGAGAAGTTAAGTGACGTGCCAGCTGGGTGCCAGGGCTGAGGTTTGAACCTGTGGCTCCCCTAGCCTAGTGCTTGTGCATTTCACTCTGCAGTACAGCCTTTCATAACCTGCCAGAACAGGGACTTTCGGACTAGAGAAGTTTGGCTTCGCGTGTTGGATTTATCACATTTGCTATTGATCTCTAAGCATTATTTATTCTTTACTTAGGAAAGGGAACAATATAATATAGTCGTTTCAGCCTTCATATTCATCCAGTGGTCTCTTCATGTACATCATCAGGGAGCTTGCCAGGGATCCAGAATCTCAGGCACCATATGGATCTACTGAATAAGTCTGCACTTGACAAAGAACCCAGGTGATTTGGATACACATAAAGGTTGAGAATCCCTGGCTTGGAATGTGGCCCCTGCAGCCCAGTAGACTCAGGGCAGTGACATTTACTAGCTGTGTGACTTTGGGCAGCTCACTTGCCTTCTCTGAGCCTTGGTGTCCTCAGGTGAGCACACCGGCATCTCTTGGGCTAGTATGTATGGTGTTTCTAGGTCCATGTCTCATGTTCATGGCTCCGTGTGGGAAGTAATAGCAGCTTCTGTTTGTGGGGATTTTGTTCAGTGCTAGCCAGTTCATGTGGAGACGGTGAACGCTGGGTTCTGTGGTCCTGGGACACGGCATCAACCAGGAAACGAAATCACTGAGTGTTTTGATGCAGAACGAAACATAGAAAACAAAGGGGGTATATTAGCAGCAAACCAAAATAAGCTATAAATATTTCACTGAGATCACAGAGTGGCAGTTTTAGGATGTTTGCAGGGAGCTGGAGATAATGAATGTAAATTAATTATATTTTACCTGCTATTGCTGAGATACAGCGTGAAACATCATCAATATTGCTTTTACTGCCTAATACCACTGAATGTAAAATATTTATACAGATCCACAGGCTCCCTTGCAAAACTAGACCTTGTAGGCTTATTTTGCTCATAATATATTATTCTCTCAAACTGCAAATACTACCATCCTAAGAGTTTTCAGGAATCTAACATTTGCATTAAAAGGATTATTTCAGGCAATTTTTCTTTGTTGGGCTGGGTTGAGGTGATGCTATTCTCTTGTATTTTTTCTTTTACTGCATTATTATTGACAAAAATATGTAAGTTTAAAGTGTAAAATATGATTGTTTGAACACCTATATATTGCAAAATGATTGCCACAATAACGTACTTAAAACCTCCATCCCTTCCCCTAATTACATTTTGTGTGTGTGTGGTGATAACGTTTAAGAGCTCCTGTCTTGGGGCGCCTGGGTGGCTCAATTGGTTAAGCGTCCGACTTCGGCTCAGGTCATGATCTCACAGCCCGTGGGTTCGAGCCCCGCGTCGGGCTCTGTGCTGACAGCTCGGAGCCTGGAGCCTGCTTCCGATTCTGTGTCTCCCTCTCTCTCTGACCCTCCCCCATTCATGCTCTGTCTCTCTCTGTCTCAAAAATAAATAGACATTAAAAAAAAATAAAATAAAAAAAAAGAGCTCCTGTCTTAACAACTTTCAAAGATACGATAGAGTATTGTTAACTATAATCACCATGCTATGTATTAGATCCCCAGAACTTATTCATCTTATAGCTGGGAGTGTGTACTCTCTGTCCAACATTTCTCCATCTCCCTTAACCTCCCTTACCACCCCCCGCCCCCAGGTCCTGGCAACTACCATTCTCCTCTCTGCTTCTATTGGTTCAGCTTTTTAGATTCTGCATATAAATGAGAGTATACAATATGTGTTTTTCTCTGACTTATTTCACTTAGAATAATACCCTTAGAGTCCATCCATCTTGTCTCAAATGGCAGGATTTCCTTCTTTTTGATGGCTAAAAAATATCATATATATGATGTATAAATATCATATATGAGGTATATATACACACATTATGTAAAATATATCATATATAAAATATATCATATATAAAAATACATATACACACATTGCTTCTTCCGTTCTTTTGTTGATGGACACGTGGGTTGTGTCCATGTCTTGGCTATTGTATATAACGCTTCAGTGCACACGGGGTACACGTATCTCTTCAATGTAGTGTTTTGATTTCCTTCAGGTGCATGCCCAGAAGTGGGGATTGCTGGATCATACGGTAGCTCTATTTTTAATTTTTTGAGAAGCCTCCACACTGTTTTCCATAGTGGTCGCACCAGTTTACATTCCCACCGACAGGGCACCAGGGTTCCCTTTGTTCCACATCCTCACCAACACTTGCTGTCTCTTGTCTTCTCGGTAGTAGCCATTCAGACAGGTGTGACATCTTATTGTGGTTTTGATTTGCATTTCTCTGTTGATGAGTGATGTTGAACACCTTTTCATTTGCCTGTTGGCCGTTTGTATGTCTGCTTTGGAAAAATTAGACAATTTTTCTTTGCCTTTAAAAATATTTCTTCACGTTAGAAACTCTGTCTGCAGACACTATTTTCAGTGATTGCATCCAGCTAAGAACCGGCCATGTCCATCTATCTAACGGCCCCATATGGCCTTCAAACTCAGCGTGTCCATGATTGATCTCATCCTCCCACACAACTCTCTCCACCATGATCTTTGTCTTGTTCAATTGAGACCACCCACTCACTCTGCAAGAAACTGGGTGGGGGAGGGGGTCTGAACCCGCATCCTCTCATCACATCCCACCTGTCCCCAAGTGCTCTCAACTGGGCTCACTGCTGGCCGTCATGTCCGTCTAATTTGTCTTGCTCTTGGCCTTCAAAGTGACCTTTTAAAAGCACCAATATGATTGTGTTCTTTCATGCTGAAAATTTGCAGGGGCTTTCTACTGTCTGCAGGGAAAAGCCCAGACTTAGGATGGCATGTCAGACTCTTCCCAGCCTGGCCTGAACCTTCACTTATGTCTTGCCCTGAGTCCTTCTCTTTGCTCTCCGGCTACACTGCATGTTGTCTTGCAGCCTGCTGAACACATGAAGTTATCTCACGTGCATAATTAAGCCTGAGATCACTGTCCCTTTGGGCCCTGATGATCAGAAGGCTGAGCATGTCTCGGATACATCCCCATGCTGCTGCCTTTGTCTCTGTGTCCTGGGCACCTCCATTTCTAGTATAGACTGTGGAGTCAGCTGACTTGAGTGTAGGTCCTGCCCTACCACTTACAAGCCCTGAGACCTTGAGCAAATCATTAGCTCTCTCTTAGCCTCCATTTCTTCCTCTATAAAATGGGTATAATAATATCTACCCGACAGGGTTATTGTGGAGTTTAAATAAGGCCATATAGCGAACATGTTCACCACGGTCCCTGTCACATAATAAGCATTCAGCATACGTGAGTTGTTGTGTTGATGTTAACTGTTGTTGTTGCCTCGTGTCTGAATGGGCCCAGGCTCTGGAGGAAGATACTATACGACTTGTGCAAAAGCTGCAGGTCATATTTAACTTGACTATCGTCCTTTGTTCTTTCTTGCCCACTGTGGGTGAGTAATAGTACCAAACGTCTCAGACACAGAAAGTTCTCAAGAAATATTTGTAAAAGGCTACCTTGTTCAGGGGGCACAGCCCTGGCAAGGAACCAGACACGAGTGTAGCAAAGGGGATTCTGCCTGAGAAAAATCGATGCTCACGGACACCCTCAAAGTGGAAGCACTTCACCGTGCTTTAGATACGCGTATATGCAGACAGAGAAAACTGCAGCCACACAGGCGCCATGTGCCCAAGCATTTTTTCCTTCCCCGTTTTAGCAGGGAGCAGATGGCCCGAATATATCATCATTTTCCTTTTTCAAAATACAAACTTGGCTTTATAAAGCCTAGTTAATTTAAGAACTCTATCAATCAAATCTCAATTTCTTATGAATGACATGAATAGTGAAGTGGTAAGAGTCACTTACATGCATGGTCTCGAGTCAGGGGGTTCATCAGAGCCATTTATTACATCCTTCCACATGAAGGAGAAACTGAAGTTTGAGGCTGGGAGGTTCAATACACCTGATACGTATTCATATTTAAGAATATTGGATCTTAAATATTACCAGGGAAACTAAACTGCGTACAGATTAAAGACTGCAATCCAGGGGCCAGGGCCTGGTTTTAGAGCCCAGGTAATTTGAAGACCCACTTGTTAACATTTGGGAGGACAGTTTTGTAAAGGCACTGAGCAGAGGGGATGCGACAGCAGATGTTACACAAGGCTCTGCTGACATTTGTGACATCGCCCTGAGTGTTAACACCCATCAGACCCTTGGCTGGGGGCTTGTCAGCTGCAGGGGGAGGGAGAGAATCCTCTTACCTTTGCTGTGTTTCCGAGGTCGCTTTCACTAGTGAGTGCTAATTAGGAAGGCTTGGCTAACTGCAAGGACCCCGTGAGTCAGCCTGAGGATAAATTGTGGAGAAAGAAAAGCAACAATAGAAACCGGGGTCTGTGATGTGTTGTTGCCCTGAGAGTGATACATCGAGGGTCATGCTTGCGTGTGTTTATGTTGTTTATCTTTTTCTTCCAAGTTTCAGACCATGATAAGTGTGTGCAAATGGCCAATACGAGTCTTGCACACCTGGTCCAGTCTCAGCCTCTCACTTGGATTCAGCGGCTGTCGGACTCGGAAAACGCGCTGTTCACACCCGCACCCGGGCCGGAAGTCACTGCAGGGGGCCTGCAGCGCTTGTCTCTGGATAACTTCACCTTGGAAACCAGCAAGGAGACTGCGGCACGGGGGATCCGAGGCAGGTGGGTTTAACACATCCCTTCTCTAAGTCCACGCCACCTTGTACTTGGCCCTCCGGGGCACTCTGTACCTGAAGAAGTTACTTAAAAGATGTCGGATATCTAAGGGGAGTATATGCTCACTCAACTATCAGCCAGTTCCATGGAGATTTCCTGAAGGCGGGCTCTGGGCAAAGTCTATGCTAATGTCACAGGGCGGACACACCATCCCCCTGGGCTGCTCTATGTTGTTCTGGTGGAGAAAGAACTAGGTGATGGAACAAAATCGAAGAGGACAAAATAAACAGGTTGTCATTAGCCTGTCTGGCCTTATCATGAGCCAAGTACTGTTCTAAGCATTTGCACACATCAACTGATTTTACCCTCACCACCCTGCGAAGAGGTTTCTGTGGTTCTTCCAAGTGTACAGGGGACAAAATGGAGAGTTCGGGCTTTGAGCCCATCTGACCCTGGCATCCACACTCCTAACCTTTATACTACTCTGTCTCTCTACTGATGGATTGCTTGTCATTTGATTTGTAACTGAAAATAATGAGCTTCTAAACAGAAATTTACATTATAACACATGGATCCATAAATGTAGAAACAGCCTCGAAGTTGGATTACACTTACATGGCAGGTTATATAAATAGCTTGGATTCACAGGCAGCACATGACCAATGGAGGTTTTCTGGAGGAGGTGTTTTTCTGGAATGAGTTATACATTTGCTTCAGCAAGAGGGTACGGATAATTTGTCCGAACTGCAATGTATGTATGTACCTACCTATCTATCTATAATTCTTTTCCATATAAATACATATATATGTAATTCTTAGACTCACGCCCCAAATTCTTTTTTTTTTTTTTTAATTTTTTTTTCCAACGTTTTATTTATTTTTGGGACAGAGAGAGACAGAGCATGAATGGGGGAGGGGCAGAGAGAGCGGGAGACACAGAATTGGAAACAGGCTCCAGGCTCTGAGCCATCAGCCCAGAGCCCGACGCGGGGCTCGAACTCACGGACCGCGAGATAGTGACCTGGCTGAAGTCGGACGCTCAACCGACTGCACCACTCAGGCGCCCCTCACGCCCCAAATTCTGTTGATGCAGATATGCATCACCGTGCACCACAAACAAAATCAGCAATGACCGAGCACGACTGTTAGTGTACCTAGTGCTGCCTAACAGACTCCTCTAAAGCACAGTGGCTTAAAACATCAGCCATTTTGTTATTCTGTTTCCCAGTTTTCTGGGATGGAAATTCAGGCAGGCTTCGGCTGGGTGATTCTTCTGCTTCATGTAGTATTGGCTGGGGTCACTTAACAACAGCACTCAGCAGGACAGTACTCAGCAGGACTGGTCTGGAGGCTCCAAGATGACTTCACTTACACGTGTGGCCCTTTGGTAGGGATGGCTGGGAAGGTGAGCTCTGTTGGGCACCTCTTACTCCCTATCTGGTCTCAGGCCCCCCCCCCCCCCCCCCCCCTGCACATGGTGCCTCCAGCCAGGTAGCCAGGCTTTTCCATGGCGGCTCAGGACTCCAACAGGTCAAGGGGAGGCTGGCAGTCTTCCTAAAGGCTGGGCCTGGAGCCGACACAGTGTTGCTTCTGAAATACTCTTTTGGTCAAAGCAGTCACAGGTCAGCACAGATTCAAGGGTAGGACAAACAGACTTCACCTCTTGATGTAGGAGTGTCAAAGAATTTGTGGCCGTTTTTACTCTGGCATTTAAATTAATAGTGCTTTACAACATTTTAAAAGCCAGAAGAAGCTATGATTGACTCAAGGCCACCTCGAGAATGTGTTGATTGCAAAGGATCCTTCCCGAGGATGAGGGGCTTCCGGCGATCTGCCCACGGGCTCGCACCGTAGGGCCTCACAGCACTCCAGGGCAGCCAGCCTACTCCAGAGAAAGCCGGGTGAGAGTCCTCAGCAAACCCTGCTGCTATTTCCATCTTAGTTCACAAATGCCCAATGTTCAGAGATCTTGGCAACTCGCTTTGGAGGTTACTAGCAGCCCTTACGTGAAAAGGGAAACGGGGTCCTTGGCCATCTGGAAGGCCCCAGAAGCACAGCCGGAGACAATGACTGAATGCAGTGGTTTGTGGAGATGGTGCCAGGAAGCAGGAGTGAGCAGGGTGAGACAGGAGGGGGAAATCGAACCAAGGAGGGCACTGCCATGGGAGTAGCTGGTGTGGGCATCCGGGGCTGTTTCCCAATAAGAAGTGTACAGAAGTCCTCCCAGAATTGTCTGTCTGAAGGACAGGCAGGCGGACACTTCCGGACTGGCTCCTACCCCCTCTGCTGGAACGTTGTCCGTGGGAGGCACGAATTCCCCCGTGCTTTCAGGCAAGTGGGGGATAGCGGGGGCAGAGGGCAGCCGAGATGTACGACAAGCTCTAGGGCAGAAGGAGGACCACGCTGGATGTGGTCAGCACGAGCCGAGCCTGAGCTCCCGTGGGACTGCTCACCGCTGCCGTGATCAGAGTCTGAGGGGGGCTGAGAGTGGACGTCCATCTGGCTCTGTCGGTCTCCGTGGCATGAATGAGATGTTCAGCATTTCTACTGTGGCTGGTGCAAAGATGACTCAGCCGGGGGCCCCTTCAGACGGGGCTCTGGAGCCAGCTCAGCATCTTGCTGCCTGCTCAGCCATCTATTGCTGTATGATTTTGAGCAACTTATTTAATGAGTGCCTCTGCCTCCTCATTTGTCCATGGTGATAACACACCCACCCCCTGGATGGCTGTGGGAATTAGACCATGCTGGAAAGCACTGAACACGGGCTGGGTCTGTGGTCAGTGTCCTAACGGGGGTCCCTTCTCCTCGTCTCTAGAGGACGTGGTAGGAACACCCCCTAGAGGGATAGAATGGGTTAAACATATGTGGTTATTTCCAAATGAGGGGGCTGGAGAAGGCTGCATGGGGCATGTGACACCAGGTCGTGACGGCTGGTAGGTTTGGGCACAGGGAGAGGGAGGGTAGGATTCCTTGAGTAAAGGCCCAAGTTAGTCTTGCTGGAAAAATTGGTTGAGCACCTGCTGTGTGCCAGCCCCGGGCTACTGGCGGAGGATGCAATATGAGCAGGACAGACACAGTCCCCGCCTTGTGGCACTCACAGACGTGACAAGCCCAGGGGCCTGTGTGGGCAGGAGCAGGCTGTGCTGTTGGCCTGCAGCCCGGAGCTTGCGGCTTGGTGGCTGGAGCCGGGACAGGAAGGGTGGCACTGCATGCCGGCATTCACACAGGCGAGGGGGGACCCCAGTCCCGGCGCCATTCCCGAGTTGTTTGCTCAGCACGCCTTAGAATGGAGATGTCAGTGGGGGCATCAACCCTGACACACCACCCCTGCCTCACCCTCCTTCCCTGAGAAGCCGGCTCCCCATTTCACATCACCTTTCCTGTGAAAACTTTCCTGACTGTCCCTGCAAAGGGGTGGCTCCTTGATGTCACTGGCTCCTTTAAGAGCAGCCGCCCTTGTGGCGCCTGGATGGCTCAGACGGTTGACTTTGGCTCAGGTCATGATCGCACAGCTCATGAGTTCAAGCCCCATGTTGGGCTCTGTGCTGACAGCTCAGAACCTGGAGCCTGCTTCAGATTCTGTGTCTCCCTCCCTCTCTCTGCCCCTCCCCCACTCACGCTCTGTCTCTCTCCCCTTCAAAAATAAACATTAAAAAAAATTAAAAAAAAAAAGAGCAACTGCCCATGTCCTTCATGCCCTTCTACGCTGACATCCACATGTATCTACCTGTCTGCTTGTTAAACAGTGAACTTCCAGAGAACAGTAGCACCTCTGCTTTTTCCTCAGCTCTGTGGCCAGTGTGTGGAGGCTTCCAGGAAATGGTCTTTTTTTTTTTTTTTTTAAGGTTTGCAGTAAAATACACACGACATAAAATTCGCCATCTGAACCATTTTTAAGGGTATGGTTCAGTAGCAGTGTTAAGCACGCTCACGTTGTTGTGCGAACGATCTCCAGCACCGTTTTCATCCTGCAGACTTGAAGCTCTAGCCACAAACCCACAATCCCCACCCTCCTCCCTGACTTCCGGAGAGCCACCATTCTAGTTTCCGTCCCTATGCCTGTGACCACTCTAGCTGCCTCCTAGGGATGGAATCATGCAGCGTTTTGTCCTTGTGGGACTGGCAGGAAGTGCCAGCCCCTTATCCTTTTTAAACAACAGTGGCACATGTGGCGGGATCAGGCAGGCCGTAGAAACCTGGGGCATGAAAGTCCTTCCCTTTCTCCAAAGGTTCTCCCCAGTGACCTTGTCCTCAGAGCCTCTGTTGGCCCTTTCAGGACTCCTGGGAGTGTCCTTCCTGTAAACCCAGGAGCGCTGTGCGGTGCCTCTCCTTGGGCACTTTGGTGGGCTCCACGTGGTGCGAAAGGCACCTGTTCTACGTTCTGCCGTGGGCTGGGGACTCCCGGAAGGCGGAGCCCACCTCTGATCCACCTTTGCCCTCAGTGTCTTGCCAGCCCAGGGCCTGACACCTGGTGGGGGCCCAGTCGACTAGGGTTGAATCTGCTGAAATGCACAGTATAAACAGAAGCCAAGCCAGAGCGAGGCCTCATTCCTAATCTCTGAAGAATGGCTCTGTGCTTGCCCCTGGCCCCCGCACCCGCCTCCTCTCCCCCTTCACTCCTGTCCTTCCCTTTCTAGTTCTGGCCTGTCTGAACAGAGCGGTGCCAGGCTCCATGCCAAGAGCACCTGGCATCACTGATCCAAGGGAAAGGCAAGAAGCTCCGTGGGAAGCTGCCTGCGCCCGCATCCCTGCCTTAGTCTGGCTGCCTGAAGCAGTGGGGCGGCTGTGAGCTCACTGAGGCTGGGGACAGTCTTGGGGGAAGAAGGTTGGCCTTCCTTTCTTCAGTTGAGGCCCACGCCGGCTTCTTCCAGGGCTCTGAGCCCCCATGGCTGTGCATCTACTTTTCCCTCTTACTCTCTCTCTACTTTGCTCATCCCTCAAGGTAGCTTATCGTGTGTACAGCTGACCCTGGGGGTGGGGCAGTGTCATCGCTTAATTCATTATTCCCCTAGGGCATAGGATATTCTTTGTTCTCTAGAATGCTGGCTCTGCAAAGGCCAGTTGGATGCCTGCATGAGAACTTCTTGTTCGTAGCTTGGTATGATTAGGGGGTAGCCCACCCAAAGCCTGCAAGGGTCAGGCAGGTGAGTTACTGCGTGGAGCCCTCAGGGCCCATCACAGTGGAGGCGCTGGATTAAACACAAAAGCAACCAACAAAAAATCAGGACCCTTCATACTCGTTACTTTGTTTTGGAGCCAAACGTGTGATATTACTTCACGAGTGTGGGAAATAAGAATACTATTCCTATTATATGGTTAAGAAAACGGGGGTTTGGAAGGGCCTCATATCCAACACAAAGGAGAGACAGTAGGAGGCTTATAGGGGGCCCAGGTGACTCTAGGGTCCCCTCTGAGTCAGAAAGACCCCAAAGCTATTCTTTCTAGTACACTCCTGACAGCCACGTCAGCCCGTGATGGGGTGTGTCTGCGGGTCTGCTGGCTGGCCAGGCATGCGGCTACCTTCCCCACGAACCATACTCAGAAATGCCAGGAAACTGCCTCTTAGAGTCATCTTTTCTCATCTTGTGGCCTTTCCCTGCAGCCCCTGCATGGGTCGGGAGCAGCTGGAGACCATCTCTTTGATCCAGAAGCCGACGACTCGTGACCGTCTCTCCGGGCCGCCTGTTCCCAGCGTGCACAGGGGTATGGAACGGGACGTGGGCTAGGTTTGGGAAAAAGGAAATCCTACACGTGACGCTTGCTTTTAAAGCTTTTGCCACCACTGCACGCTGCCTTCCCAGTCGTATTCACAGTCCTTGTGATTTTTCAATTAATGTCAAAATGACTTATGGTCAGGAAGAGCCCTTGCAGTCCCACTTTGGCTTGGGCGGGGGGCATGTGGGTCTGAAATGTGTCAGTGCTGGTGAAGGTTCTCAGCGCTCTGGTCCCACACAAAGAAGACCTTCTGTGGAGTGCTGTGGTCAGAAATGCACCGTCCATTTCAGCTACAGCTCTTCCCCGACCCCGAATATCACCAGGCAGCATTCTCCCTGTTGTACATCCTCTGGGGAAGACCCTAGGGAAAGTAAAGACAAAATGATTCCAGAACTAGAGAAGATATTTAGGCTTGACAATTCCCCCTAAGCCTGGGGAATCCCACTGAGCAGCCCTTTTTTTTTTTTTTTTTTTTTGAGGGGGAGAGAGAGGGAAAGAGGGAGAGGGGGGGGGGGGGGGGGAGAGAGAAAGAGAGAGAGAGAGAGAGAGAGGGAGAGAGAGAGAATGAATCTTAAGCAGGCTTCACACCGAGGAGGATGGAGCCCAACGCGGGGTTCAATCTCACAACCCTGTGATCATGACCTGAGCCGAAATCAAGAGTCAGATGCTTAACCGACTGAGGCACCCAGTCCCTTCTGTGCTGCTCTGTACCATAATTGTCCACCAGGGTCTGCCAAGGTCCCTGGGGGGGGGGAGGAGAGATGTGGACAGCTCTGAGCTGTGGGTCATATTTGGGGATTTTCCCATGTGCTCTGTGGCCTGAATTGGAGCGCTTCACCCCAGGACTCCAGCTCATCCAGAACAACCTCAGAGCTCTGCTTTGGGTCCCCTCTAAGACCCAGGCTCTGGGGGAAGCCCTCCAGGGTACCCTTGCTGAGCTATGGGACTATGTCACCCCCAATTATTAGAGACCCAGGAGGGGAAGGCTTTGCTGTCCCATGTCCGTGCTCTAACTTTAGTTTGACTTTTCACTACCCGCAAGTACATCTTTGCTCAAATTCTGTCTTGTCCCAAGACCAATGCAGAAAGATACTAGCTGTAGGAAGTTGTATAGAAAACAAGTACCATGCCCCCCACCCCCACTCTTGTCTCTGCTCATCATGAGCCTGTACTGACCCAGTGAGGCTCTATGAAGCAAGCGTGTTGACCCAGTGATGGTAATCAGAGGTGTGTGTTCAGTGATCCATTCCCAGTGTTGTGTGCACCTGTGCACGTGTGTCTGTAAGACACTGTTTACCCCTTTTGTGTTAGGTCTCAGATAATTTGAGGAAAAGCACAACGTGGGGCTTTGTTTCCACCTCTAGAGCCACAAAGTAACAGGAGAAAGAGCTTTATAGCTGAGCCGGAACGAGAAATCGTGCATGTGACATTGCGCCGGGATCCACGTCGCGGTTTTGGTAAGAGGGCTTCTGGTAGGTGAGACCCAGCCTCTCCCTCTGGGCAGAAGGGAGGCTTGTGCCATTTTCCCTTTTGACTTTTGTACTCTCCTCTCCTGCCTCTCTCTCAACTTGCCTTTTTCAGTGATCACTTCTTTTTCTTCCCTTTAAGTGTCCCTAACAAACAATGGAATTTCTGGGTCAAAGTTTTCCTTTGATACTGTAATAGTGATGTATGGGGACAGATCATAGCTACACTTGTGAACATAGTGTAATGTATAAACTTGTTGAATCACTATGTTGTACACCTGAAACGAATGTAACATTGTGTTTCCAGTACACCCAAATTAAAAAAAACATCTCTTTCCTATTTCTGAATCTACTGGGGCAAAATTCAGCGCCCATTGATGGGTCTGTGTTCCCAGCTTTAGCTGTGCTTACTAATGGGGGGCAGTCAACTTTTATCCATGTGTCCGGCAGAGTAGAAGGAGCTGTTTGAGAATCAGAGGACTTAGATATAAGCAGTGCCACTTGGTAGCTGTGTGATCTCAAGCAAATAACCTAACCTCTCTGGGCAGCAAAATCATTAAGTATCATCTTATTAAATACCATTGGATTATAGGTTTTGTCATCAATGAGGGAGAAGATGTTGGCAAAGTTGACCCTGGCATCTTCATATCTTCTATTATACCTGGGGGACCAGCTGAGAAAGCTAAAAGGATCAAACCAGGTATGTCTTTTTAAATTGCCAGACACACTACCTTAAGGAATGTCTCCTTCTTTCCTTGATGGTATTATTAAGATGCTTTATTTTTCCAGGAGGGCAGATTCTAGCCTTGAATCACATCAGTCTGGAGGGCTTCACGTTCGACATGGCTGTTAGAATGATTCAGAATTCTCCCGAGAGCATAGAATTAACCATTTCTCAGTCAAAAGGTGTGTATGTCTTCATCTGTGTTCAGAAGCCGGAGAACCTCCCCCATTTGCAGGAGTTTGTTATCACCACGAGGTACTAGATCTTTGCGATTACATAGGTTTGGCGTCGCTTTTCTCATGCTGGTGGCTTGCGGAGAGGCAGTGTTGTGGCACAAAGCACTAAATTCTGTAGTTCTTTGCGCAGAATGGGCTCTACTCTTGCTTGGTCTGCCCAAGGGGAGTGGTCTCCTCCATCCAGTTCTTTATCAGATGTGACCGATACAGCCATTGTGTGTTTTCCTGCTCACTCTTCTTGCGTGACAGGGAGGACATTCTTTTTGTCACTCAAGTCCTTATGGAAAGTGGCTGCTCCAGAGTTTCTACATAGCTGGGGCTTGGATATGGCAATCAGCTGGGGAGGAGACTGGAGAGCTGTTCTTGAAGGTGAGCTCATATCGCAAGCGCACTGGTCTTACCTGGCTAAGACTTGGCATGTTGGAGATCAACCTAGAGAGTCAACTTCTTTTAAGAGACACTTGTATTTATCCTTTAGGTAAGTATGAGAGAGCAACAATTTCCCACATCAAAGAATAACATTATTACGTGCTATGTTTTTGGAGCAGGTTTGGGGAGATGAGTGGAAGTAAGGAGGGATGTTAACTTTCCCTTCCCTCCCAGTTACCTGGAATCACTACTGCGTTTTGGTTGAACGATCCTGTAATTGAACCGCAGACTGCCCGCGAATCCCAGCTCCTGGATTTCTTTCTCACACTCCTGTTCTCTGGACAGTTTCCCCTTATGTACAGAAATGCTTCACATCACACCAGCCAACGTTTTCTTGGTCCTAAACGTAGGCACCCCATTTGCCTTGCCCTGTGAAAGGCACGTGCGTTCTCTCAGTCTTGCACACGTTGACCCCCGTGGCCAGATGGTTTTCCCAGGTGTGGTAGCTGCCGCTGGACAGAAGCCACAGGGGATGGGAGGTGGCAGCAAAGCTGGAGCATCAGCCATGTGCTTTCTACCCTGTGTTTGGAGCTGACCTGGGGGCTCGGCCCCAGCACTTGTGAGACACCAGCCCCGGTTCACACTGTCTGCTGGATTTCCCAGCACTGTCCCTGTTCTTCACATCCTATTTTAGCCTTCCTTTCATTCCCTTCCACATTTTGCACAGGACTAGGACAGAAAGGAGGAATCGAACCATCCTTTTTTTTTTTTTGTCAGGAAACGATGCAGCTGGGCTGGGATCGGTTCGGCGTCGTTCAAGGCTGGCTATTGGGATGGGAGGTGTCAGCAGTTGGCCCCCAGAGTCTGTGAGGCTCAAACCACAGTTTCACACTAGAATTTTGGACAGCGGCCTTCCCATAATGCCTGTGAATTACATGTCTTTCCACCTTAGGGCCCCAGTTACCTGTTGGTAAGTGTGTATTACCACAGTTGGCGTTCCTCACACAGCTGCCAAGGCTTCACTGCTGTGCATTTTTTTTAAAGTTTTCTTTCTTTCTTTTTCTTTTCTTTTCTTTTCTTTTTTTTTTTTTTTGAGAGAGAGAGAGAGAGAGAGAGAGAGAGAGAGAGAATCTTAAGCAAGCTCCATGCTGTCAGCACGGAGCCCAACATGAGGCTTGATCCCACAAACCTCGAGATCATGACCTGAGCCAAAATCAAGAGTTGGATGCTCAACCGACTGAGCCACCCAGGCACCCCTTGACTGCTGTGCATTTGTCTGTGGTTAGGCTGCTGTTGGGGGCAGGCGCTCTGGACCCGAGGTCAAGGACAAGACAGATAACGTTCCCATCATGGGAGCCATCACTCTCTATGACAGATTGAGTTTTAATTTCTGCAGAAGGTCTCCTAGCTTGTACTTCTGTTAGGCAGGCTCACGTTGTATAGCTTGACTTTTTATTTCAATCATAAATCCTGTCCTCATCTCGCATGGAGTGTGTGGAAGAAAATGAACAGATGCTTACAACATTCCCAGAAGGACAATGACAGTAGAATCTGTGAACGAAATGGCTAGGGATAAGGCATTAAAGAACAATGGCCCCACCATTCCCTACTGAATACCTTTATGCTCGAATAACTTCCAATCTAATTCATTAAATTACAGTTCATTCAGTGTGTGAGTTTGGGTACTTCCCTGTGTGCTAATGAGTCTGTATCAAAAGTAAACCTACTTGTGTGTTTATATATCCAGATCTAAAAAAAGTCAGACTAGTATACCTTCCTCCCACATTTATTTGTTAAGCAGCTAATATTAACATGTTAATAGAAAATACATTGGGGCGCCTGGGTGGCTCAGTGGGTTAAGCATCAGACTCTTGATTTGTGCTCAGATCATGATCTCACCATCATGGGATTGAGCCCCGGGTCAGGCTCCATGTTGACAGTGTGGAGCTGGCTTGGGATTCTTTCTCTCCTTCTCTTTCTGCCCTTCCCCTGCACACACTTGCAACTTTTCTCTCAATAACTAACTAACTAACTAACTAACTAAATAAATAAATAAACATTTAAAAAAATAGTAAATACATTTATTGAGGCTCTACCATGTACTAAACTAATTTCTCTTCATCTCTCTCTGTCTATATGAAAGATCTCTCTGCATGTATAACTTCTAAGCCCTACCAACCCCCAAAGGTCGTTGATACTATCTGTATTTTAACTAATAAGGAATTTGAGGTCCAGAAATGTTAAGTACCTTGCCCAAGATTTTGTCTATTGATTCCTGACCTCATGTTCTTTCCCCTGTTTTGTGCCAGGTCAAGGGTCAGACATGGAGTAAATACGAATTAGTTGCCTAGCCTTCACCCACAAGGAGTCCGCCATCTTGTTATTACCAAATCTTCCCCAAAAGACCTAACATGTTAGTCTTTGGATCACATGGTGATTACAGGCACGCTCAGCGGGATCTCTGGAAGAGGCTGAGTTTAAGAGCACCACCACATGCTTGCTGTGGGATCCTGGGCAAGCTACTTAATCCTTCTAACTCTGCTTTCTCATATTTGAACTGGGATAACACCATCCTGGTGGATATGTCAAAAAGATGTGTGTGTGTGTGTGTGTGTGTGTGTGTGTGTATACATAAGTGTGCTTGTGTGTGTGTTTATGTATTGCCCATCACATGGCAATAAATTAATAAGGTGGAGCTGGCATTATTAACTCTCCATTTGCTCCCATATTTTCATAGTTGGGTCATACTTAGGTTTCTAAATCACACTCAGAATCTTCCCTTCCTCTATTCTAAATGCATCATCCTTTCCGAGGTGCTAAACTGACATCGTTCCCAGCAGCTATAACAGGTCTCTCTGTCATTGGAGGAAAATACTGTACCCCATGTAGCATGATGCCACTGAAATGCCAGCCTTTCCAAGCTGTTGACTTCTTGGCTTGTTTTCATAGGTATTTGTGGAAATACCCCAAGTGAGGAAAAGAATAGCCCAGCCAATTCTGGGGTCTTCTCTACAGACAGCCCAAGCAACAGGCACCTGGGAAGTTTTTCATCACACGCACAGGACCAGGAGAAAAATACTGAAGAACTGGAAATGGCTCAGACTCAGAGCTTACTGTCCAGGGTGAGGCCTTAGCTTTCCCCTCTGCCATTAATGGTAATCATCCCTTGGTTCACTCTCTAGAATTTGGAGAAAAGAGAATAGTGTGGACTCCAATAGTCCCGGCTCAAAATTCCTTCTTTGCTCTTTTTTTGCCATGTTAGCTAGATAGAATTTACTTACTCCCTCTGACCTTCAGCTTTCTCGTCTGCAAAATGGAAATAAATGCCTGCATTGCACGGCTACGGAGAAGAACATAAAGGGGAAAAGGCAAAGCCATGCCTGGGCCATGCCCGGGCTGTAGGGTTCAGTCTTTGAACCTTCAGTGTCCTCAGTCACTGATTATAATTGTTACTGGTAATAACATTGACTGCTACCAAGGGACATGTATGAACAATCAGGCATCCCATAATTCTTGGCCTCTAGTTGTCCCTTGAGATCCAACTCAATGGCTTTGCTCTTGACAACGCCAGGGAGGAAGAAGACAAGCCACCTTTGGGATACAGAGGGCTATGAGCTTCAGTCCCAGCGCCACCGCCTTGAGCTGTGTCTCCTTGGACACTTGGTAGAAAGGTCTCCTTTTGCCCTCCAGAACTTTCTCCCTTCTGCTCTGGGCCCCACGAAGCTGATGTTCAGAGACGGTGTCAGCCTTCTGTCCACTCGTTGGCTGTGCCCAGGAGAGGCCCTGTGCCTAGAAAAAACTCTCTGCTTTCCTTTACTCTCACACTAGGACCCCACTTACGACATCACACTTACGGCACTGTTGTGTGGGTTTCTCACCAGAAGCAATTCTGGCAGTAACTGAGTGGAGTTAGCACCAGGTCCCACAGGTTTTGTGGGATTGGACTCAGTCCCACAAGACTGCCTCCATCTGGGAAGCCAGTCACAAGTAGTAGATCCACAGGTTACCCACACTTCTGTCCAAATTTGGCTACAAATTGGAGGTTCCCATGTCTCCCCCTTGGGTTTGATAATTGCCTACAGCAGTTCATGGAACCCAAGAAAACAGTTTTCTCGGTATTACCAATTTATTACAGAGAATGTTTTAAAGGGTGCAAGTGAACAACCAGTGAAGAGATGCATAGGCCAAGGCCTGGAAGGATCCTGAAAACAGGACCTTTTGTCCTCATGGGGTTGAGGTATGCCATCCTTCCAGTGCATACATGCTTTTGGTATTTTTATGGAGACTTTATCACATAGGCATGGTGGATCATTAACTTATTCTCCAGCTCCTCTCACCCTCCCCTCCCCCTCCCCCCCCAAAATCGATGGGGAGTCGAGTGAGGTGGAAAGTTCCAAGCTTCTAATCATGGCTTTGTCTTTCTGGTAACTAGCCCCCATCCTGAAGTTATCCAGAAACCCACCGAGAGCTGCCCCTTTAGAACAAAAGACTATTACTCAAGAAATTCCAAGGGATTTGAGAGCTTTGTGTTAGGAACCGGGGTCAAAGTCCAAAAATTAGTATAAAAGATTCTCCCAGTCTCTTAAGACTTAAGAAATTACAAGGGTAGAAGGAGCTCTGTGCCAGGAAGTGAAGAGAGACCAATATATGTATATGCTATTGTTTTATACCCTGGTTGAGTCAGTAGTTGGGGGTGGGTGGGGGCAATATTGTCACCCTGCCTGTGCTCAGGTTGGCCTCGTCCCTCTTCTGAAAGCACAGCTTGTATGAGGTGCTCTTCACCATAGAACTACTCTGTAGATTCCACCAGTCATTCCCTCCTCTTGCTCCTCAGGCTCAGAGAAAGTAAGTGAACCTACTGTTTCTTGCCCCAGTGTCCGTAGCCCTCCTTGCTGGTTTCTTTAAATGCCACCACCTCTGAAAGCAGGCCTCGCGCAGGCTCTCCTCCATGGACCAGGTTGAGCCTGTACCCCTTTGCTTTCTTGCTGGGACTCTGGTTCACAGAGACAAGTTATCCCACTTCTCTCCATCTCATTTTTATCCTTTATGAGTAGAGGTAATGTCTGTCCACAGAGCTGTGGGGACAGAAGTGCCCGGGCTCTGCCTCGCAGTAGGGCTCCAGGAATGTTAGCTCCTTCCTAATCAGTCATGGTGCCTCATCTGGACAGTGCACCCCATGAAGAGCAGGGATAAGGGGTCAGTATGAGGATAATCCTAACAGCGGACATTTATGGAGTGATTAACCATGTGTCAGGCAGGATCCTGAGCACCTATATGTTTTATATCACATAAGCTTGGCCGGAGCCGTGCTCCCTGGGGAGGGAGGGTGCCAAAGGAGAGGTAAAGGAGGCCAAAGGCCAAAGGGCAAAGGCAAAAGCCTACAGCACCCAGTATTCCCAGGTGGTCTCCCATCCAAGTACTAACCAGGCCCGACCCTGCTTAGCTTCCAAGATCAGATGAGATAGGGCGCATTCAGGGTGGTATGGCCGTAGATGCCATTACAAGCTTATGAGATAATTATTATCATCAACCCTTTTTATAGGTGTGGCACCTGAGGCACGAGAGGAAAGGAATATGCTCGAGGTCTCTCAGGGAGTGAGTGGTAGAGTTGGGATTTGAATCCGCGAAGTGGGACTGTAGAGCAGAAGCTTTCACCATAGGGCTGTACTTCAGAAGGTCTTCCTTGGCAGGAAGCAGGGCCAAGAGGGATTCAGGTTGGGGCCTCTGAGGCTGCAAACCTGTGAGCTAGTTTTTGGTGAGCAGTTGACGGGAGTGATGGTGTTCCAAAGCCACAGCTGACCATGGTACAGGCTATGGAACCTGTGCAAGACAGGCTCTTCTGGGCCACAAGGCCAGTTTTGCAGGCTGGTAACTTTCAGTGGCATAGTGGGGTTTACACTCTCGCTTTGGACTTCACCCTTAGTGGCTGCTTTACTCTTTGGATTTTAAAGTTTGGACAAAACATCTTGCCAGACTCTGTAGGGTGGACTGTCTCTGGAACAATTGGAATTTCATCTGTTTTATGCCGGTCTCTTTGGAACCTCCTCTGGTGGACTGATAATTTTCTAGCTTACTTCAGCCTGTTTATTTTCCTATGGTATTAATGGTATTTTCCAATATGGTGAACCGAAAGCAGCTAAGTAAAGGGGGCAAACACGACAGAAGTCTGGGCTTCTAGCCCGTGGCTCTATCTCCACCCATGGGTACAGTTCACTAAAAGTTTCTCCCCTACTAAACAGTAGTTCAGTAGGGGCAGGTCTGTATTATCACTGCTGTCCCCTCAACTTGCACAATGCCTGACACATAATTGGTGCTCAATTAACGTTGTTACATGACTGGATGAATGAACAAACAAATCACACACGATAATTGCCATAGTATGGAGTTAAATCCCTGGCACGTGGGAGATAATTCTTGTCTTCTGACCTTTCCTCAGGCATTCAACCACTGTTAAGTAGAGCTCCAGTGCAGCTACTCTTGCTAGGGATGATCAGAGTTTCCCCTGAGGTTTTTTCTGTTCAAGAAGCTACTGTATATCTGGTGTACAACATCGCTTAGCTGGTGTCATGCGTGAAGCTACCAGGAAGTGCCTAGATGGCTTTAGTTCTCAAAATGATATGTGCATCTTGAGTGGAAACAGGAGGGAACCTATATTTATTGAGCCCTGCTATGTGCTGGGTATGATCCATAGTCACAGTGAGAAGGGGATCTCTCATGCCAGTTCTGTGGATTGAGAAACCAAGGTTGGAGAGACCAAGGGACTGGGCCAAGGTCATGTAGGGAAGATCTGATAAAGCTGGAAATGATCCCTGTTGAAGCTGAAATCCATGCTTCTTTTGGTGCGTAATCCTGGTGAGAGCTGAGAGGTGCTATCGGCTTACGTAGGGCAAGTGCCTTCATGCCTTCTTTATTTTTGTGTTCTTTAGGGGCAGGATGCTGGTACGTCTTGTCCTCCACCACCTTCAGAAATCAATGCCAGTGAAATCTACTTTGTGGAACTGGTTAAAGAAGATGGGACACTTGGATTCAGCGTGACTGTAAGAATTATTAGGCAAGCTCGGGAAGTACACAGTTGAAAAGATGTTCATCTGTAGCCTTGGTGGGCATTCCACTCATATAGCAACCTCTGATAATGTGGTCCTGGGTACAAGAAGCACACGAGAAGTGGTGAGCCAAGAAAGTCAGTGGGGCCTCCGTTAAGGTGGGGCTAGGAGTTCAAAGACAAACTGGGAGATTTAGGATGATCAGGCACTCCAAGCAGTGCGGGTGGGATTGGGTGATGGGGTCCTGACTCTGTGGTCATGCTGTACAACCAGAAAGGCGCAGCAGAGTGGGGTTGCAGGAACATAAGCTGAAGGTGAGTGGGGGTGACCCATGGTCATCCAGAGCAGCGTCACGGTGAAGCTTGGTGCTCCCGCTTCCAAGGACAGAACAGAGTCACCTTGGCCAGAGTGGGGTCCAGGGTGATCACTTTGTACTGGCTTCTAAGCTCTATCTGCAGACCCTGGAGGAGGGAAGGGGGAAAAAAAACTGCACAAAAATGATATACTCCCACTGCTGGATACGTGTGTGAAGAAATCAGAAGAAAAGATAAACTTAGATCTTCATCTCGTGACCTGTAGGGATGTTCGCGATCTATTGTTAAGTTAGAAAAACAAAAGTAAGTTATAGAACACTGTGTAGTTAATTCTAAGTTTGTACCTACAAATCAAAATTCAAGCACACAGGATGTGTCAGGCCCGCCTTTGGGCCTGTGGCTGCATCCATGTATGCTGTTTGCTACTTATGGAGAGATGATGTGGCGTGTTGATGTGACTTCAATTTCTGAACACCTGCCATGGGTCAGTGCTGGGCTGGGTGTGGGGCACAGCTCCCTCATGCTGGCTGTGTTGTTATACTCCTTTTGGGCATCTAATCTTGCTGCACAGTGAATAATGTAGTCTGGACGAACAAGTGAGTATGTGACGTTGTCACATGGAAATGAGGTATTGGGATAGAGTGTCAGGCAGATGGGGGAATCTCTTAGGGAGGTTGGGGAGGCTCTTTCAGGAGGGGGCAGACAGGTGGTGAATTTTTCATTGTGTTTTCCAGGGTGGCATTAATACAAGCGTGCCCTATGGGGGTATCTACGTGAAATCCATCGTTTCTGGAGGGCCAGCTGCCAAGGAAGGGCAGATCTTGCGGGGTAAGGAACGGAGTATGTTGGGAACTGCATTGAGTCATGTGATGAGCCCTGGCCTGGGGGTACAGCCTCCAGGCCTTGCCTCACTCCCACCCTAGACTTTGTGCAAATGATGGCCTCTCCAGGTCCTGGTTTCCTCACCTGGGAAAGGGGCTGATGTAACCTGTTCCACCTGCATGATAAGTTAACAAGGGGATCAGATGTTTGTAGTGGCACATTGGGAAGCAAAAGGTGATTTTAAAATATGAGATTTTAAATAAGCCCATTGCTGCTGGCCTTCATGGGAGAAATTAGTGCTTCCCATGGAGGACAGAGAATGCATTGGTGACCCCACTTTTTCGCATCCAGGGAGGACACCGGCAAGCTTCCTCTCTGGCCTTCCTCACAGTCACTACACTGAAGCAAGGGGGTGACTGTTATTGCTCTCCAAAATGGCCAGTTGAGCTAGAAAGGGAACGTTGGATCTTAGTCACTTCCAATTTCTCTAGAATTCCTGTGTCTCTGGCATCAACCAGGTCTTTCTGACCTGTTTTGAGATAAAAAACAGCCTCGGGATATAAATACAATCCCTAAGTGACTTGAAAATACTTTCAAAAATGGTTTCGGAGGAAAATAGGAGGAAGGATATGGCTCTACAGAGTTGGCTCAACCTCTCTGTGAGCCAATAATAGAAAGATTTTTGTATCATTGATCTATAAAGATGTCCAGAGAGGTGGCTGGCAGCCAGGACCTATCTGGGCTCCTCACAGCTCAGCTTCCTGTCCCTCCTTGAGGCTGCATGGAAGGGTGCTGGGCAGGGGCCTCCCAGAGGAGTGCTTCCTGCAGCCTCGGGAGCTCAGAGACATGACATCTGTCCCCCTCCCAGGTGACCGGCTCTTGCAGGTGGACGGAGTGAGTCTGTGTGGCCTCACCCACAAGCAGGCTGTGCAGTGCCTCAAGGGTTCTGGGCAGGTGAGTGCACCATTATTGGGAGCTGTTCTTCTTCCTTCCAGAGCTTTCCTGGACAACATCAGAAGCTGCAGTTGCTTCTGGGTGGGAGGCGGACAGGCAGGAAACCAAACAAGACTTTCTTCTTTGTCTTTTTGTTCTCTTTCACTTCTTCACTTTTCTATGGTGATGTGAAAGCCAGGAGGAAGCAGAAAGATTTCCCAAGCGGAATACCTCACCCCTGCAAAGACCCTTGAAAAACTTGCTTTTCCCTTGCTGAGTGAGATTCTAGAATCAGAGAGCTTAACAGAGCTGATGTGCTGGAGCGACTTCTTGCGCCTCGCTCTGGCTGCCCTCTCACACTCTCCGCTCCAGCCTGAGCTGACCAGTGCTTCCATCGGCTCTCAGGACCTGTTACCAGCTGGCCTTTGCACTTGTAGGCACCCTCTTCCCAGTTCATGCTATTCCCATCACCCTGGGTAAATTCAGGCCACATTGTCCTGGGATTCTTTTCCCAGTGAAGTAGAAATTCAAGACACCCTGAGCCGAAGGCGTGAAGCCGTTATTCTCTGCAGCGCCCAAACAGCATGTGGATGTTACCATGCTGTGTTCAGTTCTCGTCCTGAAGGTGGGAGCCTTACATGTCTCAGTGTGTAAGCCACAGAGCTGGCGTTGCCCTCTAAGTAACTGGGGAGTTGGCAGAGAGAGGAAGGACTCCTGTGGCCCTTCTGGCAAACTGAGGGAGCAGAAGGGCCCCTGCTTGCTTCCTTTCCAGAAGCAGTCTTCTGGTTTGTAGTGCAATTAACTTATGCTGGTGATCTTGGTTGACCTAACTTGAGGACAGAGTCATAATTTATTAGTACTCTCTGTTAGACTTTTTCTAATGAACGTGATTAGAAAAGGTACTTCTTGCTTGCTGCTGGCATCTTGCTGGCAGCGATAACAGGTAGGAATTGTCACTCTGGGATCACGGGCTTGGTGCTGAATGACAATGGCAGCAGAAGGAATGTTAGCAGGGCCAAGGCCCCTGAATGGAAGCTTGGCATTTCTAAAAAGCTTCCAGGTGATGTCCAGCCACTGGTTCCTGAACTATGCTTTGCGTAACAAGAGTAAAGAGTGTGTCGGGAGGAAGGATGGGAAATCAAACCAGAAAGAAAAGGGAGGCCAGATTGGCAGAGGTTGAGGATACCCTGCTAGGGGTTTGGACTCTAGGTGATGGGAATCATTGGAAACTTTTTTTTTTAATATGAAATTTATTGTCAAATTGGTTTCCATACAACACCCAGTGCTCATCCCAACAGGTGCCCTCTTCAATACCCATCACCCACCCCCCCCTCCCTCCCACCCCCCATCAGCCCTCAGTTTGTTCTCAGTTTTTAAGAGTCTCTTATGGTTTGGCTCCCTTCCTCTCTAACCTTTTTTTTTTTTCCTTCCCCTCCCCCATAGTCTTCTGTTAGTGAAAACATATGATATCCGTCTTTCTCTGTATCACTTATTTCACTTAGCATCACACTCTCCAGTTCCATCCACGTTGCTACAAAAGGCCATATTTCATTCTATCTCATTACCAGGTAATATTCCATTGTGTATATAAACCACAATTTCTTTATCCATTCATCAGTTGATGGCCATTTAGGCTCTTTCCATAATTTGGCTATTGTTGAGAGTGCTGCTATGAACATTGGGGTACAAGTGCCCTTATGCATCAGCACTCCTGTATCTCTTGGGTAAATTCCTAGTAGTGCTATTGCTGGGTCATAGGGTAGATCTATTTTTCATTTTTTGAGGAACCTCCACACTGTTTTCCAGAGCGGCTGCACCAGTTTGCATTCCCACCAACAATGCAAAAGAGATCCTCTTTCTCCGCATCCTTGCCAACATCTGTTGTTGCCTGAGTTGTTAATGTTAGCCATTCTGACAGGTGTAAGGTGGTATCTCATTGTGGTTTTGATTTGTATTTCCCTGATGAGGTGTGATGTTGAGCATCTTTTCATGTGCCTGTTGGCCATCTGGATGTCTTCTTTAGAGAAGTGTCTATTCATCTTTTCTGCCCATTTCTTCACTGGATTATTTGTTTTTTGGGTGTGGAGTTTGGTGAGTTCTTTATAGATTTTGGATACTAGCCCTTTATCTGATATGTCATTTTCAAATATCTTTTGATCAAGAGTGTTGCACGCTGCTGGTGGGAATGCAAACTGGTGCAGCCACTCTGGAAAACAGCATGGAGGTTGCTCAAAAAACTAAAAATAGAACTACCCTACCACCCAGCAATTGGACTACTAGGTATTTATCCAAGGGATACAAGTGTGCTGTTTTGAAGGGGCACATGCACCCCAATGTTTATAGCAGTGCTATCCACAATAGCCAAAGTATGGAAAGAGTCCAAATGTCCATCGATGGATGAATGGATAAAGAAGATGTGGTATATCTATACAATGGAGTATTACGGGGCAATCAAAAAGCATGAAATCTTGCCATTTGCAACCAAGGGGTTGGAACTGGAGGGTCTTATGCTAAGCAAAATTAGTCAGTCAGAGAAAGATAAATATCATATGACTTTACTCATATGAGGAATTTAATATATAAAACAGATGAACATAAGGGAAGGGAAGTAAAAATAATATAAAAACAGGGAGGGGGACAAAACATAAGAGACTCTTAAATATAGAGAACAAACTGAGCGTTGCTGGAGGGGTTGTGAGAGGGGAGTTGGGCTAAATGGGGAAGGGGCATTAAGGAATCTACTCCTGAAATCATTGTTGCACTATATGCTAACTAACTTGGGTGTAAGTTAAAAAAAAAAGTGTTACATGTTCAGTTTGTGTCTTAGATCAATCCATGGGTAGCCAAGGGCAGAATGGACTGAGGAGGAGAAGATAGGGTCCAGGAAGCCAAGTTAGCTGGAGCTTTGCCACAGTCCAGCTGGGCATTGCCAATAGGGGAGGAAGTGGGGGAGGGGGAGCCCTGGGGGGAGATGTTTCTGATGGTGAACAGGCAAGTCTTAGAAAGCAGATGGACATTTGGAGGGCGGAAGGGGGCAAGCTGGATCACTGCAAGTGTGGCCTCTAGGAAATTAATTGAGGGATGGTTCCATGTTCTGAGAAAGCAGGTGCAGGAGGAGGAATGTTTTAGGCAGTATGGGGAGAGGGTAGTGAGGATGTGAGAGAGGAAGAAGATGAATGTGGCCTTGAATGCACAGAAATGGAGGTACATGTGTTACCTCCAGGAACATTTGTCTGACAGGCACTGGAAAATATGGCTCTGGATCCTAACAAGGAGGCTAGATTGAAGATTTTCATTTGAGATTCAAATGAAGCAGCTGGTGGAAGTATCAGAAAATTAAGAAGCAATTGCAGGGCGAAGGGAGAGCCTCCTGGTGGCTATATGAAGTGTAAACTGAGCTTGTCCACCCATCTTCTAGGTTGCAAGACTGGTCTTAGAGAGAAGAGGCCCCAGGACCACACAGCAGTGTCCTTCTGTTAATGGCAGGATGGCAGACGGATGCACGGCTGTTTCCTTGGCAACAGCCTTGCCCGGCAGGCCTGCGAGCTGTGTCTCAGCGACAGATGGTGAGAGAAGAGAGAATTGAGTGTTACTATTGTTATGTCATCCTGTGCTGCCTTTGAATTCTCTACTCAAAAGACAGAGCAGGAAGGCTTCCTCTGGGTTCTCAAAGGACAGTGAGCACGATGTGGCTGGCTTTCGGATGCAGGGGAAGCCAATCTGATGGAATATGTTTCTGGGAAAAAAAAAATACATTGTCCCCAAACAATTGCTAGGCATAATTCTCCCCAAGTTTTCCGAGGTTTCTTGATCAGCTGCCCGAATGCTTGTGTGTAAATATGTAAGAATGAAATTGGAATGAAAGGGTCATGCATTTCCTGACCAGATCTCCACATTCCAGCCAAGATATTTGTAACAAAAGATCTGGGGAATGATGAGGCAGGCTGGGAGAGGAAGGTGCTCAGGAATCTAACCTTACTATTAGCATCATTTAAAACCATAAACCTCCATAGGTTTGCAGGGACATCATTTGCATATCTTCTGAGAGGTGGCCTCTTTGCACTTCCCTGGTGACTTTGTTTCCTGCTAGGAAAACATGTATTTCTTTTGTATTTCATGATTTGGAGCTTAGCCATTTTTCAATCCCTTTACAGAGATTTTCCTGAAGGTATAAGTCAGGTTGAATATAAGGTAGCCATAGTGAGTGATGGGGTTGGGTGGAGGGGGACACGTGTGCATAAGATGAGTCTGTTTCCTTTCTCATTGCTCCTCTGCTCACTCAAATGAGGCCCTTTGACAAACTGACTATCAGATGAGGGGAGGGGCCTAATGGCAGTGATGGTGGAGTTGGTCGCACAATACACCTGAACCTAAAAGCATTAGATGCTTTCATTCTTGCCCCAAATTAAGGTTTACCAGCCAGTGCTCTGTCCTATTGATCGATTGCCAACTGAGTTGAAGGCAGACCAGGAGAGACCCAGAGACCTCTTTTGCTGTTAGCCTATGGAGGTTCCTGAGGCTGTGTCCCTCTTTGGTGCCCAGAGGTAGCTGTTTTGTCTTATGATCCATCCACATGGCTGAACAAAAGAGCAGCTAAAAAATTTCCACAGAGTTTACCATAATTTTCTCCATGGTCTAGTGATCAAAATTTTGTTTCAAGTGTGCTAAAAGTGATTGAGGTTCTAAAGGAGTGGTAGGAATATATATGATATACGTTATGGGCATATTATGTCTGTCTATAAACTATATCTTTACATATAAACTTTGCCGATTATCTAGAATTGTTTTCTCCAATATGGTAGCTACTTGCCACGTGTGGCTATTGAGTACTTGAAATATAGCCAATCCAAATTGATAAAATACATATTCAATTTTTGAAGACTTAGTTCATAAGAAGGATGCAAAATCTCTCACTAATATTTTTTTCATATTGATTACATGTTGAAATGGTAATATTGTAGATATATTGGGTTAACTATACTATATTATTAAGTTTATTTTTACCTATTTCTTCTTACTTTTTTTTAAGCTTATTTATTTTGAGAAAGAGGGAGAGCGAGTGTAAGTGGGAGAGGGGCAAAGAGAGAGGTGGGGGAGGGACAGCGAGAGAAAGTGAGACAGAGAATCCTAAGCAGGTTCTGCATTGTTAGTGCGGGGCTCAAACTCACGAACCGTAAGATCATGACCTGACCTGAAATCAAGAGTCGGACACTTAAGGGCCTGAGCCACCCAGGTGCCCCATCTTACTTTTTAAAATGTAGCTGTTCGAGAACTGAAATTACATACATGGTTCGTCATTTGCATTTGCACCTCACCTTGTTTCCATTGGACAGCACTGATCTAATGGATCTAAGTGTAACGGACTCTGTCATAAAAATTAGCAAAATGAAATCTTTTTGTGTAAAGCAGAAATAATTCTTGCCTGCTTGACAGTTTGCATTTTAAGGCTGGTCAGTTTCCTTTGTAATCTGCTGTCAGATTTACCTTGTTCGCATCCCACAATACAGGTCCTAAGTTTGAAGTCACTCTGAAAAAGAATGCCAGTGGCTTGGGATTCAGCTTCATGCAGATGGAGAGAGAGAGCTGCAGCCATCTCAAGAATGATCTGGTGAGAATTAAGAGGCTTTTCCCAGGGCAGCCGGCTGAGGAGAACGGGGCCATTGCAGTTGGTGACATTATCCTGGCCGTGAATGGAAGGCCCACAGAAGGCCTCGTCTTCCAGGTAGGAGACCATTTGGCCCTGTGTGCACACTGACCCCTCCCATGTTTCTTTCAGGCCCACCTAACATAAGGAATACCCTGGGCTCTCGAAAGTCACACCAGGGGCCTGGATCAGATAAAGAGAGCAATTGGTGGAACATTCTTACATTTAATTTTCTGTCTCAGTTCTTAAATATCTGACCTTGAGTAAGCCTTGCTTTTAATTAGGTTTATAATGGAAGTGAAGATAAAACCCTGGCTCTGTGCTGGCTAAAGCACACCTAAAATTCCAGAAGGGGGATATATGGGCTGAAGGGATTACAGTAGGTCCTTTTCTGCCCTTCCTCACATTTCTCTTTTAAATTTACAGTTTTTGATGTGTCGTGTTGCATTGGTTGTCCTGTATGTGATCAAAAATGTAATTAAAAGAAGAGAGAGTGAAAAATGGACACTTCTCTTAATCTCAATGAAATATTATGCATATGCACAAAATCTCAATGAAGTATTATGCATATCAGTCAGGGTCCTGGCCGGAAATTGAGTCACTTGAGGAGAGTTTAATAAAGGTGTGAGCTGGTTGTTAAGAAGCTCAAGGGAGAGTATAGAGCCCTGGGGCTGGGAACAATGGGTGCAGTTTCCCTGTCCACCCCTCTCAAGTCCAAAGGCATATGGGAAGGAGCAATTATACAACCCGGGAAACTGAGAGAGCTGGTGAAGTGGACGTGGTGACATGAGCTGTGATATTAGGTGGCAGACCCAGCCATTCTGCACAACCCCATGGGGAGGAAGACAGAAAAACAGACATCCACCTCCCTTCTCTTCTGCCGCTGATCCTGCCCATGCTCCCATTGGCTGAGCCCAACAGGAAGTACCTCTCTCTCCTCATGTCTCTGATCCCCGCCCACGCTCCCATTGGCTGAGCCCAACAGGAATCGTGGCTGCAGTCTGCACAGGCCCACCTCCAGAGCACAGAGCAAGGTGGATTAGTCACTCTGGACCGGGTTGTGAGAGGTGGGGAATCCTCGGGACAGCGTATGTTTGGGTGGTGATACCTTCATCTATCTAGTGTGGGAGCCAACTGTTTTGAGAGAACCAGTGCTGGGTCAGCAGCTGTCTGAGGAACTAAAGACACAGAGGCGGGCCATACACGTGGTCTCAGAGCTCGCAGTGGGGTGGACAAACAAGAAAACAGACCCGACTGTGGAAAACAAGGGTCATGAGAGACAAAGCTGCTTGCCCCGGGGAACCGGGGAGGGAAGAAACACATTCTGTGGAAGTCCACTGTCGCCAAGGGGGGGGGGGGGCGGGTATTATGTGGCGTCCAGATTAGCGGTTCTCCAGTGGGGATGATACTACCTTTCAGGGGACATTTGGCAAAAAATTCACGTATGTTTGTGGTTGTCACAACTGGCGGGTGCCCACTGGCATCTAGTGGGCAGGGACCAGAGATGCTGCTCAGCATCCTACCATAACAGGACAGCCCCACAGCAGAGTTATCCAGACTAAGATGTCAGTAATGCCGAGAGGCCGAGAAATCCTGGCCTAGATAAGAAACAGGAGCTGTCAAGGCACCCTGGGCTCTGAGAGAGTGGGTTGGAGGGAGAGGCTCGGCACGGTGGGAGCTTAGGGTATGGGAGCAGAGGGGACAGGTGGGAAAGAGAGAGTGGGGGCGAGAGGCAGGTGAGAACGGGTCCTGCGTACTGGGCTGCAGAGCTTGTTGAGTGTGAGGTGAGCCAGAGGGGGAGCTCAGCAGGAGAAGGACCTGGTTATATCTGTGTTTGGAAAGAGCTCTCTTGAACAATGTGGAGGAAGGGAGGTGGGTGACGCTGGAGGAGGCAGGGAGCAGAGAAGAAGGCACTGCAATTTCACAGGTGAGAGGTTCCGAACGCCGAGCTGAGCAGTGGAGCAAAGCTCGGGGCCAAGGGGCAAGCTTTAGAGATTGGGGTGGCGGAGCGTACATGACTGATGGCCCCTGAGATGAGGGGGTGCTGAGAGGAAAGGGAGGTTGAAGTGATGAATAGCTATTTGCTTGAGTCATTCTCTCAGTGAAGAAAAGGCATCAGTATTGGCAGGTGCTGCCGTGAAAAGACCCTGGGCAGACCCTGGCCACTTCTAGCCCAGCACGTCTGCATTGCCTGCATGGGAACTTCAGGCCCGTGGCTTTGGCTTCTCTCCCTTCAGGAAGTCAGGCCCAGAGCAGTGTTCTCCAGAATTCTCTGGAGGCGAGAAACAGATCAAGGGGATGGTGCCAGAGAGATAGTGGGGAGCCCAAAGGAGGAGCTGTCACAGCCATGCCACTCCCACATCTAACCACAGAGTTTGGTTTCTTGTAGGAGGTGCTCCATTTACTGCGAGGGGCATCACAGGAAGTCACGCTCCTACTTTGCCGACCCCCTCCAGGTGCACTGCCTGAGATAGACCAGGGATGGCAGGTAAGATGGGGTGGTACCCGTTGGTGCCTTCAAGCACCCCTTTTCTTGTCTGGTGGGTCCTGAGAAACCCCACTTTGTTTTAGGTAGGGTTCAATGCCATTTTCTTCCACTGGGGCAGGAAAATAGCTGGCCTCCAAACATCAGTCTGTGAGCAGTTCATGAGATTCTATCTCTCTCTTCTCCTTGCCCTCCCTACTCTGCCTCTCCAATGTTTGGGTCTTCCTGTAGAGAAGTAACATGTTTAGATCTTGTCTGTGATCCTGTCTTCTGGAGCCAGGGCCTCTGGCAGCCCAAGCCTCAGAGAGGGGAAACCAGGATCAAGGGGAATCCATACAAAACCAGAATGAGGGAAGGTAAGAATTTCCATTGTGAGGAATGAAATGGAGAACAGGATGTATGTCCACCCTCCTAAAGCATGAATTAGACATGTATGGTCTAGTGCAAAGAAGAGGCATTGAAATCAGGAAAATTCAGAATTTTTGCTTTGATACCTATATTAGGTTCTCCAGAGAAATAGAATCTACGGGGTGTGTATGTGTGTGGGTATATGGGTAGTTGGAGGTGGGGGGCAGTTAGGGCATGGGCTCAGGTGGTTGTGGGGGGTACAGTCTAAATTCTAAGAATAGGCTGGTAACCTAGGGAGGAGTTGATGTTGCAGTGTGCATCCCAAGGCAAACTGGAGGCAGAATTCCTTCTTTCTTGGGGATGTCAGTTGTTTTTTCCTAAGGCCCTCAACTGATTGAATGAGGCTGACCCACATCGTGGAGGGTAATCTGCTTTACTCAAAATCTGCTGATTTAAATGCAAATCTCATCTAAAAAATGCCTTCCCCGGAACATCCAGACTCCTGTTTGACCACGTGCCTTGGTTCTGTGGCCTAGCCAAGTTGACAGATAAAATTGATCGCAATGCCACTTGTGGGGTCCCCGGGACACAGACTCTGCAGCAGAGATTTGAGTGCAGGAGGTTTATGGAGCCTGCTCTTGGGGACACCCCTGTGAGGGTGAGGGAGGCAGCGTTGGACAGTCAGGGAAGTTACTGTGTGCAGCTGCAACGGGGGCCTGTGTTCATGCCACAGGGAGCTTTGGAGCTGGGATGGCCCCTCTGAGCCGTCTTGAATTAGGGCAAGAGAACCTGTGCCTTTGCATTTTGTATCAACCAGCGCTGGAGTGGGGCTGCCCCAGAGGGGACCTGACTTTGGCTGAGACAGCTCCCTTGAGTTGAGCATGATTCCTGCGGAAAGGCTAGCTGTGAGCTGTCAGTACCCAGCATTCCCAGCAGCTGGAAGATGAGGGATTCGTCCTGGGGAGGGATCTGTGTGGGTACCCTGCAATCACCTGCACCTGTTCTGCCACTCACTGGCTGCATGGACCTTGGGACAATTGCCTGACTTCTCTAGGTCTCATGAGTCATCATTTATAAGATGTGGATAAAATTGGTCCCTTATCACTGGGGTGACAGTCACTAGAGATATCACAGGGGATTTTGTGACCCAGATCCTTTTGATTCTTGGACTCCAAGAGGTCATTTCATATACACTTTGGTGTATAAAATTGCCAAGGAAAGGAAATCAGAAAGCTGCCAGTTTGGAAAAGAAGGTAGGTATAGCAGTTGTGTTGAGCAACTGACCAGGGTGCGAAGGTCAAGCTTCACATGCACAAAGATCAGGCCACAGGGCTTGTGTCTTGTATTTTTGCTGAGGTATCTGGGAAATGCCAGGAAAAAATGGTCCTTCTGTTCTGGAGAATAGATCCACCTAGGAGGACCCAGAAAAGTCCCGTGTGAGGGCTTGGAGTGAGGTGTGGTAGGCATGCTTTCTTTCTCCTCAGACTGGAAGGCCAAGTGGAAGAGGAATTTTCATTCATTCATGTGGCTTCAGAGGTCAGATAGAAGACCAATGAAAGGAGCATTTAGTTCATAACTAGAATAAAGTAATCATGGAAAGGAGGCAGTCATACAAAATCTAGAGTAAAGTCAGTCCAAGCAGAAGTGATAGCAGGTGTGAAGGAATGAACCTGGATGTTTGAGGGACAAAAAGTAACAGGTGTGCCTGGACCGCAGTTAATGGAGGGGAACGTGGAAGGGGAGAAGCTATAGCGGGAGTCAGGGGCCACATTGTGTAGGGACTTATAGGTCTTGGCCATGTGCGGATTGCATCTTGGCTGCGATGGGAGGCCACGGTGCTGGAAGTGGTTTGAGGGTGAAGGGTTAGGCAGGAGCATACCCTCGTCTGGTCTATACTTTAGAAAGACCACTGAGCTGGAGATGGACTGGAGCACAGAAGCCCTCAGTCATTCAAGTAAGATACTGCATGCAGCTTGGAATCAGGTTGCAGGCAAATAGTTGATAATAAGTAGTCAGATGTAGGATACATCTGGGGGGTAGAGCCCAAAGGATTACTTTTGGCTTAGATGTGGTCAGATGGAAAGAGAGCAAAGTTTGCCTTGGACATCTGGTTGAATGACGATACTACTTGCCGAGACGGAATGTATTTACAGAATGCAGCTTAAAGTACGCGGCAGAGAAGTGGTAGTTCTTAGTAGCATCTAGAACTGAAATGCCATAGAACAGTCAGGGGGAGATGTCAATTAGGCATTTGTTTATGGAGACCTGGCATGAGGTCAGGGCCGGAAAAGGTAGATTTGGGAATTGTCAGCAAATAATGTTATTTGAAGCCATGACGTGGATGCAATCACCTTGGGAAAGAGTGCAGAGAAGTAAGCCATGGGATCTGCCCAAACACTGAAAGGTCCAATTCAAAGAGATGAGACAGCAGGGGCGCCTGGGTGGATCAGTCGGTTAAGCATCCAACTCTTGGTTTCAGCTCAGGTCATGATGTCACAGTTTGTGAGTTTGAGCCCTGCACTGGGCTCCACGCTGATGATGTGGACACTGCTTGGACTTCTCTGTCTTCTTCTCTCTCTGCCCTTTCCCCACTCGCACTGTCTTTCTCTCAAACTAAATAAACTTAAAAAAAAAAAAAAGAAATGAGACAGCAGAAGAGTAGGGGCCTGGGAGTGGTGGGAAAACCAGCAAGGGCAGAGTTCAAAGGAAACTCAAGTAGAGTAAGTGAGTAAAGGATGCTCTCAAGGACGGAGAAACCAGTTATGTTGCCAGGAGACAGAGTGAGGTGAAGACAGAGAATTGTCCTTTGGCTTTAGAAGACATAGGTCACTGGAGACCCTGATCAGAGCTCCTTTAGTTGAATGATGTAGGCAGAGGCCTGGGTGGAGTGGGTGCAAGGAGAAGTGGGGAGACACTGACAGAAATAGTGAGTACAGGCACGCATTTGAAGAACAGAGAAATGAATGGCTTGGTGCTTGGAGGAGGTTGGGACAGGGATGCAGGCTGGTCGACTGATTGCTGTGGGGAGGTGAAAGATTCTTATCTGAATGTGCCCATTTTCACTGTCAAGTAAGAGGCAAGGTCAGGGCGATGGTTGAGGAGAGAGATGAGAAATAGAGTAGAGGGAGAGAGAATAGGAGAGAACAGGAAACGGACTTCACAAAGGAAGTGGAGAATGATTATCTAGAAGTCTTGAGTGCCCACTTGACACCTGTGCCCATATGCTTGGCATTAGTCAGTGGCTCAGAAGCAGGCATAAAGCCCACATAGAATGTCACTAGGAATTGGAATTACAATATGGCACCTGCATATAACACTGAATCGAGGCAAAATGGAGGCACATAACACAGAATGGGAACTCGGGGTTTTCTTTATTTTTAAGGGAGTGTTTATGGGATAGAACCATGGAATCTTAGCAGAGGAAGAGGGTGGAGTTAGTAGGGAAGTGGTGGTGGTAAGGTACCATGGACTGGAAGCCGTGAAGAGGGTGAAGGATCGCTATAGAGTGAGTACTGGGGATGATGAGTTGGCGGGAGAGGAATGGTTGAAGATGAGATTTTGGAGGTCTCATTACAAGAGAAAATATAAATGCTCTTACTATTTATTTCTTATCTCATCCACTTCAGATTTTAATTTTTGGTATATCCCGTATAATTTACATTGTATATCAGTAGACTAATAAGAATTCGTGGTTTATAATTAAATAAAAGTGTAGCTTTGGAAACATAGCCCCCTCTAGTTTGGAGGAGTGGGCAATCGGCAAGGCGAGGAGATATCCAGTGTCGGGGGCAGAGTAATAGTATCTGTGTTACAGGTGAGGGCAGGGATGGGAGCTCAGCCCTGTCTGGCTCTAAAGTCTGTGTTCTCTGTCACATCAGGGGTGTAGGTCATGGGACGGAAGTGCTAAAAGATAATTTTCAGGAAAAGGTAAAATCATGACTCTCACATAGATGTAGAAATGAATATATGTTAAAGATTTTATCTAACCCATTCAGTGAAGGAACCAGGTAGATATTAAAACTGGTTCGAAAGAGATTTCAGAGGAAAACAAATTTGTTTATACAGAGTTATGAAATAGCTCAAAGTGGAAAATACAGTACAGTCAGATAACCCAGAAAGTTGTGCTGTAAACAATGCATAGTTTCCATCGACGTCTAGATTTTTTTCTCCAATAGAAAGTTGAACGGTGTTAATGTGCACAGTGTGTCATCAAAATCAGAACCTAAAAGGCCCAACAGGGATGTAAACAGTTGAGAGCAATCAAGTAATGTTTGGAGAAGTGAGGGGGACACCTAGGGAAGGGAATCAGGATGGGAAGGGAGATGAGGCTGTGAAAAGGAAACATCATGGATGAGGACAGATAAAGACAAGAGTTTACAAAACTCATTTCTTATTGGAAAGTGGGAGAAAGAGTCAGTGTTACTTCTGCTTCCATGTTTTTTTGAAGTTTTTAAATTATTAAAAATAATGTTTACATTTATCAAGAGCTTCCAATGCCTGAAGCTAAGGGGTTTAGAGATGGTTACTTGGGTCATCTCGGGCCCAGTGGGAGCTGGGGTCCTGACAGCGGGCGACTGACCCCAGAGCCCATCTTTTAACTGCTTTGCCCTACAATCACAAAAAAAAAAAAAAATTGGTTATTTTTAATTTTTTTTTTCAACGTTTTTATTTTTATTTTTGGGACAGAGAGACAGAGCATGAACAGGGGAGGGGCAGAGAGAGAGGGAGACACAGAATCGGAAACAGGCTCCAGGCTCTGAGCCATCAGCCCAGAGCCCGACGCGGGGCTCGAACTCACGGACCGCGAGATCGTGACCTGGCTGAAGTCGGACGCTTAACCGACTGCGCCACCCAGGCGCCCCAGAAGTGGTTATTTTTAAGAGAAGCACTTTTTAGACTTTGCTTAGTGTGCACCATTGATCCAATAACCCTTAGCATTTCTTTTAATAGACACCCGTGCTCTCAGCAGACAAAGAATTCACCAGGGCAACTTGCACTGACTCTGAGCAGAGCCCGAGTCTGGATCAAGAGGACAGCCGGAGGGACAGTGCCTCCCCAGACACAGGGGAAAGCTTGGGTCCCGGGCCCGAGCCTTTCCAAAAGGCCACTGGCAAGGCACAATGGGACCAGGACATAGAGAGACCCTGGGCCACTTCCTCGATGCGTCCTCAGGATTCCCCCCCTCATTTATGCAGACTTCAGCAAGAAATGGATGCATCCACATTGGCCACCTCTTTGGAAAGGGATATGAGGCAAAACTGCTATTCAGTTTGTGATATGAGGGGACTTGAAAGGTAAGAATCACCACGTTTGCAGACACTTTGTAAATGGTATCATTTCATTGCTAGAAATTGCAATCAGTTAATAACTGTGTTCAGATGCTTACTGGGCCCAGGACTCTGCTAGGCCTTTGGAGGGGAGGTGGGAAAAAAAGAAGCATAAGGTTTGGAGTGGCTGCAACCACAGTTTGTGAGCTTTTGGGAAAGCTACCCTCACCCCATGGTCCCCTAGTACCTTTGGAGCCTGAGGATGGCAGGCCTCTGTTTTTTCCCAGCACACAAACCTTTGTGGTGCATTCTTCATGGCCTTTTAAAGCATTGTGGTAAGAAAGAAGTTCCCTGTATGCATCACCATTTTTTATTGCTAACGTTACACTTTACAGTCAACACCGGCTTAAAAAAAATCTATGTCTTCAAACACCAGACTGAAACGTTCATTTTCATAGCCACTTTTAAAAAGTTCGTTTATTTATTTTGAGAGATGGGGACAGGAGGGGCAGAGAGAGAGGGAGGGAGAGACTCCCAAGTAGGCTCTGCACCTTCAGCGCAGAGCCCGATGCGGGGCAGAACCCGATGAGGGGCTCTTGAGAGTCAAGAGCCGATGCTTAACCAACTGGGCCACCCAGGTGCCCCATTAATAGTCATTTTAACTCAGGCTTCATTTTGTGCCCGTCCCCCACAAGTATTTCCAGTTTTCCATCCTGTTCTGCTGAAAAACATTCTCTTTGATTCAATTTGATGGTATTTATCATGTAGAGTCAAGGTGCAGGGGAACCCGTTAGGAGCAGAGAGAAGGTACAAATACTAAGAAAGGGTGAGATACTACTTCGAGGCACGTGCTAGCTAGATACACAGGCACAAAGCAGGCAAATAATGAGGAACAATGGTTTGTGTTTGACGCTGTATAAACCCACTGCTATGAAATGGCTCTTGTTTGTTGCTCATCCTGGAAGACTAACTAGGGCAGATCTGTAGGGACTGATAGGTGACATGAAGTCTGAGGCAGCAGGTGTAATGAATGCAGTTAGGCAGGGCGAGATCTGTGACTAACAGGTGCCAGGCATGTGTTCCCTAAAAGCATCCAGACACAATTTTTATAAGTATACTGCACCCGCCAAACAAAAACTAGTGTGCCAAGTAGAACAGAGTGGGCAAGCACGATTCACCAGTAGAATTCATTTTCATTGTCTGAAAATGCATAAATACAAGTGTATTTATAGCTTCTTACAATTGCATTCTAGGCAGTAATAGATACATTTGATCACATGATAAAGGAAATAATCTACAGAGGTTTATCCAAGGACAACTATTAGTGTTATCTTATAGGAAATATAGAAGGAACTGTACTTCCTTATAGGCATGAAGCTCCTCTTTTGGATTTTTAAAAGTTTTACTGCCAGAGAGTTCAGGGTGATGGATGGAAATGACGAGCATTGGATTATAAAGTGACTGTGGGTTTAGGTACAATACTGGAGTTTAACTTGCCATGTGCTTGTAATCTGATATAGTTATCAGCTATTAATAATTGGCTTGTTTGTTTTTACTAATTGTTAGTTTGGTCACTGTTTCATTCATGGAGTCACAGAATCTGGGGGTTGTTCGATAAAAAATGATCTAATCCAACCTCATATCCCGTCGTGAAATCTGTTGTGTAATATCCCCGCAGTAGGGGGCCTGCTTTGCTTGAATACCTCCAGGGATGCAGAACTTGCTACCTCTTTTTTTTTTTTTTAAGGTTTATTCATTTTTTAGGGACAGAGACAGAGCATGAGTGGGGGAGGGCTAGAGAGAGAGGGAGACAAAGAATCCGAAGCAGGCTCCAGGCTCTGAGCTGTCAGCACAGAGCCCGATTCGGGGCTCGAACCCATGACCTAAGCTGGTCAGACACTCAACCACCTGAGCCACCCAGGCACCCCAGAACTTGCTACCTCTTAAAGTGGCCCGTTTTATCACCATGTGGTTGTTGATCAGAAAGTGCTTCCTTGTGTTAAAGTGAAATCTGCCTTTTTCTGTGTTCTACTTATACATAGATGCTTGTGTCCTATCTTTTTTGTCATTATTTTTGCAAGAAATATCACATTATATTATTTTTCTGAATCAAATTAAATTTGACTTAGTGTTCCTACTTGAAAGGGTGTACCCGATGTCCAAAATATTCCATCTTTGGAGGGGGTTTTTCTCTCCTAGAGTTACACAAGAATCCTGAGGGCTTTTCCAGAACATTCTGGGAGCGCTTTTGATATTCAGTTGGTTGTGGTTGCTGCCCCATGCTTGTTGTCCAGGCCGATGTGGTCCAGGGAGCCACAAGTAGGACGGTCTTACTGTTTCTCTGTCCTGGTTCCCTCCATGGTCAACACCTCCCCTTTGCACTTGACCTTTCCTGTGTGATGGTCCTGGTAATGACGATGCTCTGTCTTCTCACATTTCCTTACTTCATTTTTACCATGTTTTCTTCCCCCTATTCAGGGACCTTTCTCTGTCTCTGAAGGAAGGACTCAAACCACGTTAGCTTCTCCTCTAATGGGACACTAGCTTGCTCTAGATGCATATATAGTGACTGTCTCCTATGGGAAGAAAAGCACGACACATGCCCAGCCGCCTCTGAACACATTCCCCCAGTTCCTGGTGGGGTTGTGGCTCTTCGCAGATGCCTTTTAGAAGTGTCTGTACCTCAGTTCTGAGGTGGCTGTCCCAGGCAACTGCTCTTTCTGGAGTTTAGAACAAAAAGAGCATGGACTCCTTGACTGTCTAGCCTTGGCTTCAGCTCTACCACATACTGTGTGTGCCTGGAGTGTTGACTTCTCGGAGCTTGAGGTTTCTCAAATGTAAACAAAGACCACAACAGCCCCACAGGGCACCTCGCGGGTCAAAAGAAGTAACACAGGCAGAGTGTTATCACAGCGCCTGGCTCCTGGCTCGCAGCGGGAACTTAACACAAGTCAGTTTCTTTCTCTTTCTTGAATTATTTCCAGCTAAAGAACAGGTCCTGTCAACTGAAATTCCCAGCAAACTGCCAGAATTTACCGTCTACCAGGTGGCTACTCTTAAAGCCAGGTGGGCACCCCAGCAAGCCCAGAGTAGTCATAGAGAAGATGAGGTTTTACTTTTCCTTCCTTCCTTTCTCTTTTCTTTTACAGTTGTATATCTGCAGACTGCCATATCGCAGTAGATCTTTAGAAAGCATGTTAATAAAGCAGTACAGTATATTTCCATGGAGGAAGGTTAGAACTGTGTGCCTGCTGGCAGGATGGCTTGGCACTTGGCTAGAGTTGCATCTTATGCAAGGTTTATTTCTAAAGTTAGGGCATAAGGCAAAAATCACATCAAGTCACATCACCCTGGAACATCACTTTGGAAGGCGCAATGTTATTTGCTCCCCTGGTAGGGGGACAGATCACCTTTTCTTTGGTTGAGCCTCAGGTGAAGGGCCTTGCTGTCTGCCAAATGGTTATCTTTAAATGCTGGACTCAGAGGAATGAATGGGGATGGCAGATTCAAGGCTTCCACTTGGCCTAGGGGCTACCACGCCCTCTCCACACACTCTGACCCCCTCACCTCTTGCAAGGAGCTTACTAGAAAGATTGGAGGAAGATGGTGGCGGGCGGTAAGGGGTGAACTATCAGGCACTGCCGTGGCCCGTGGGCACGTGTTGCCACCTGCTTGTCCTCTGCCTGGAGGGAGGAGGGTAGGCAGGTTCCTGCTCGGGACAGGGTGGGGTGCGGTGTGAGCTGACCTCGGCAGCAGGCTGGATTTCCCATTTTCTGATGAAACTTCCACATTGTCCCCTTCCATGTTTATAAGAAAATGCATTTTCTACACAATTTGGTCAAGTGCTTTAAGGTTTTAAACTGATTTTTCCTCAAAGTGCTTAGTGATTTTAAATATTACTTTCTTTTTTTTTTTATTTTTTTTTTTCTACATTTTTTATTTATTTTTGGGACAGAGAGAGACAGAGCATGAACGGGGGAGGGGCAGAGAGAGAGGGAGACACAGAATCGGAAACAGGCTCCAGGCTCCGAGCCATCAGCCCAGAGCCTGACGCGGGGCTCGAACTCACGGACCGCGAGATCGTGACCTGGCTGAAGTCGGACGCTTAACCGACTGCGCCACCCAGGCGCCCCTTAAATATTACTTTCTTAAAGTGAGTGTTCTCCTTTTATTCCTGGTAGCATACAGTCTCCTTTTTGTGCATGTGAATGTGCATATATTTACATGAAACACACATTGACATATACCTGTAGGTCTCCTGAGCAGAAATAACATCTTTTTGACAGTGAAACTCAGGTTGGGACAGACATGCCACTTCTCCCAGGGAGGAGGACAGGCTCTCTGGGGGTTTGGGGGCCTGTAGCTATTGAGGGGCACCAGAGCTGAGTTTACAAGAAAGAGGCGTTTCGAGAAAGGGAAGGGAGGACAGCGGGCACATAATAAAGCCAACCCATTGCTTTGGGTGTGGTGACAGAGGCTGCTAAATGAGGATTTGCGTGTTTGGTGAAAAGCTAAACCTGTGCATTTTTTTTTAGATTTTCCTACTCACCCTCTCTAACCAGGCTTTCGACAGATATTTTCTGAGCACATTCTCTGCATGTTTGAAGCACTGTACAAAATGCTCTGCCGTCTGTATGGACTGCTTTTTCTAATCAAAAGGCATGTGTGGTGACCTTTGGGCAGCCCCTGGAAGGCTTATTCTTCATGTTGTGTCTGCGTCTTCACTGCCAGACAATGCGCCCCACTCACCGTTCATCTGCCTCCTGTGTCACACCGGGAGTAAATGTCACTCCAGCTGGCTGCCTTTCCAAATAGGCACTTTCTCAGCGCTCAGAAAAGGACTCGATATTTGCACAGAGTGCTTTGAAGGTCACCTGCTTGAGTTGTTCCCAGCCTCCCGCTTTGGCCCTTTCCCTCTAACCCCTCTGTTGAAACGGCATTCATAGTCATAGCGATAACAGCCCCTCCTATTTACTGAGGACTTACCCTGCACCAGGAGCCATGGATGGATGTACCAGAATTATGTATTCTAAGCATCCCAGAAATCCTATAAATTTCTCGACCTTCTCACTTTCCAGATGGGAAAACTGAGGTCCCAGAGAAGTTAATAAGCTTTCCCGAGAACCGAAGTCATGGCCCAGAATGGAGGCATAGCTCTGCTTTTGATGCCATGTCCTCTGGCAAGTCCCCCATGGTCTCCTGGGCTCCGTAAGGAGCTCCCCTTGCTCCCATAATGCTCTGTGCTGCCGCTCCTATAGCACTTTCTCCCTGGATTGTAACATTTGTTCACCACTCACTCTTCCCATTAAATCAGGGGATCCTCAGGCACAGGGGCCATCCATATCTTATCCAATGTTCAGAACAGTCTCTGGCAGGAGCTGTTTGGACCCTGGCTGGCTCTCCTACGATGTGCTGTGATGATCATCCTGAAAGCAAGGCAAGATGGGGAGAGGAGTTTCTTATCAATGCTGGAAGACACATGGGTTTCTGTTTTCTAGTCCTGAATTGGACAGGGATGATGAAGAAGGGGACATGTGCCATCTACCTGAAGCCACTTCTCCCACTGTGGAAAATGAAGCCTATCTTACCATCAACTCTGCATGGGAAGGCCAGCTACTCTGTGAAGAATGTTTGGAGGAAGATTCAGGGACCATTCCCTTGCCACAGTTCTGTTCTTGGAGTGCCCTCTCAGAGTCTTTGCCTGCAAAAGAGGCTTGTGAGAGTGACAGTGAATGGGAAGACCTGGAGGAGGCTGTGGACCTGGAAGATGGCACCCTCAGGTGGGTGTCACTCTGGGTGGACTGAGGCTGGGCTCAGTGTTCAGTCCACTTTGGCTGGATGATGGTCTATGGGCATCACCTTGTTCCCCTTGCATCCCCTCAGGGGGGGTCACACCTTGTCATGGCATTCGCCACGGCCCATGTTCCGTGACAACACCCTATAAGATAGGGTCACTGTCATTCCCATTTGGGACTTTTCCCAAGGTCACACAGTGGGTAAGTGACAGTCATAAATCATCCCAGCTCTTTTATTCCATGGACCACATGTTCGGGGCCTTCCTCTGCTGCCATCTATATGTGGCCCAGTGCCTTGTCTCTTTTGGGAGGGCTGCTTGTGAAGTGCTCATTTCTCTTTTGTGTGCTCTTGCCTACCCTTGGGCTACATAGATTTCAGAGAAGTGTCTCGGTGCCCTGTAGTGCAGTCCTTCTCAACAGCCTCTGTGGCTCACAGTGAACTCTTTTTTGATCGAGAAAGTCATTCTGTTAACTCAGGATGCCACCAGAAGTTGGGACTGGGTCAGAGAGCTGGAGGCAGATTGTACCGATGAAGATGAGGGAAGAGTAAATGTGACAAAAATCCTCTGACTAGGAGCAGAGCGGGTTAAACTCTTGACAGGTTGGTAAACCCACCCAACGTTCTGTTAAAGTGCCTATAACATATGTTGTTCCAGTATTTTATTATTTATTTATTTATTTATTTACTTACTTATTTAAAAATTTTTTAAAATGTTTGTTCATTTTTGAGAAACAGAGAGAGAGGAAGAGAGAGAGATAGTGGGGGGGGGGGCAGAGAGAGAGACAGACAGACAGAGAATCAGAAGCAGACTCTGTGCTATCCGCAAAAAGCCTAACGTGGGGCTTGAACTCATGAACCAGGAGATCATGACCTGAGCCAAAGTGGGATGCTCAACTGACTGAGCCACCCAGGTGCCCCTTTTTCTTTAAAAGAATTTTCTTAGGGGTGCCTGGGTGGCTCAGTTGGTTAAGCATCCCACTTCAGCTCAGGTCATGATCTGAAGTGAGTTGTGAGTTCGAGCCCTGCATTGGGCTCTGTGCTGACAGCTCAGAGCCTGGAGCCTGCGTCAGATTCTGTGTCTCCCTCTTTTCTTCTCCCCTGCTCGTGCTCTATCTCTCTCTGTCTCACAAAAATAAATAAACGTTAAAAAATTAAAAAAAAATTTTTTTAAACATTTATTCATTTTTGAGTGTGTGTGTGTGTGTGAGAGAGAGAGAGAGAGAGAGAAAGAAAGAAAGAGAGGAGGGGCAGAGAGAGGGAGACAGAGAATTGTTCCATTATTTTAAAAATGCTAAATACTCAAGAAACTTTCATATAAACACATTTTCAAGGCACCTTGAAACTTACTGAGGCATCAGCTCATGAAGATTTGGGTGTACCTGAGACAGTCTTGTTCACTTTTAGCCCATTGTGTCATAGCTACATTTTCACCACAAATGACTGACCTGGATTTCTTAGAGGACAATGGCAGGCAAGCTAATAAGGTGGGTGGCTATTTGAAATTCAAATATGACAAAAGGACTGGTTCTTATCTGAAATAGGAAGCAACAAGTTCATAGAGGAGATCACGTGGGGGCTTTGAAGACCATGCCTGCCATCCATGGGAAAGTTGGACCCTGATGGCCTTGGGGATGATGCAATGATGGATTCATACAAGTGTGGAGCAGGCAGGATGTGGCTTATATGTGGAGGGAAATATTTCCAGAGTGGGCTCCTCAGGGCTGGGGAGCTAAGGGAAGATGGGGTAATCAATGCTTTTGGGACCTACAGGGAAACAAGTAAGGATCCCAAGTGTCAGTACTTATGAAATGTCCCAGGAAATCTGCTGTTCCTCTGGAGACTGGAGCAGGTAGCAGAGAAGAGACAATAGGGCTTTTTGGTTGGAGGGGTTCAGGCTCCAAGCCTGCCTCCATCACTTACTAGGGGGGTGACCTGCAGCAAACGACTTTTAAACCATCTAAGACTCAGCTGACTACCAAATGGAGATAGCAAAAGCCACCTCATTCTGTAAGAGAGGACAATGCGTGTCAAGGGTTTAGCACACTGCCTGGTGAGTAAGGACTCAAGCAGTGTTAGTGCATTTTAGTCATAAATCACAAAGGAGACTATCTCTCCAGTGAGATGGTGCAACCTTAGGAACCCATTCAATACTGGTTTTTTTTTTGTTTTTGTTTTTTTTTCTGTGTAGACAAAGGAACTGGGCAACTTTGTCAGACTTGCCCTCTAACTTGAGGGGCGGGTAGAAGTATTGGTCCATGGCAAGGGTGTCAGGATCTGGGTAGACTGAATAGCCCTCTGCTATGACAGTGGCTTAGGATGTCATTAGGCCTAGGCCTGCCACAGTCACTTATCCCACCCTGCTGATAGAAGGCAGGCCTGCAGGGAAGTGCTTAAGTGAGCTCTCAGCCTGGGCTCCTTGGAGCAGCCCACAGATGAGCTTCAAGGCATCTACAGTTAGAATATTGACTTGCATGCTTCTTTTGGAAAAAGCAGCTCTTTTTTTTTGAAAAAGCAACTCTTAACCTTCTTTAAATTCTCTAAGTGGTCCACAATCCCCTAAAGATTAAGGATCTCTGTTGTATATATTCTCTCTTTCATCCTGGAAGTGGGGAGGGTATAAAGAGGATTTTCCTTATGGATGGAGTCATGCATTTTTTAAAACCATATTAGAGATTATTTTCTTTGGTCCTTTTAGACAATGAGATAATAAATAATTTCATTTAGCCCTCATATCAACTTTGAAAGATATTCTTATTCCTCTTTTATAAATGGCACTTAGAAGGTTTATTTAATTTGCCCAAAATCACACAGCCAGAAGGGGCAGATTCACACTGCATCTATCTGATTGAACTCTTGGTGCATTTTTACATTTCCTCTAGAATGTGTGTTCCACATGCACTTGTGTAACACACGTCTTTGCCTCAGATATCATGAGTCCTACTAGTTCTCTCACAAAGTATTTCTCTCTTAGGAGGCTAAAACAATCCCTGCTGTCTGGTGGGATCGAGAAGGCAATTAAACTGTTCTCTTTGGAAAAGGCTAGGGCCAAATGGTGAGGGCAACCATTAAAAGCTGCCTATTGTTTTAGGTGAACAGAGAAAGTTGGACAGTCACCCAAGGCAGAACCCAAAGTTTCTGCATGCACATCCTTTTGACAGTGATCACATGGAAGAGGCCTCAGATGCCCTTGGTCCGGAGAATGTACGCACGAGCCCTACAACCAGGAAAGAAGCCTGTGGGTCCCCGAGAAGGCAACATGGAATGGAGGGTCTGGCCCAGTTAAGAACTAACTTCAAGAAGATCATGCCTGTCAGTTCTGAGGCTCATTTTGAATAGTGGTCATGACCTCTCCTCGGTTCTGGGGTTTATGTCCAATAAAGCTTGGTGTCTGTGTGTGTGCGTGTGTGCACAAGTGCGCTCACAAGGGCTTCCCCTTGTGAAAGGATTTGAGAACCAACCACCTATGTCAAGATAAGCCAGCTCAGGGTGAGGTCTCGCTGCTGCCCTGGTACACACCTTCAGGGACAGATGCAGTGTTCCAGTTTCCACTCTTTAGTTCTCCATTGGTTGAATGAGTTTCCATGGCCTTCAAAGTGCTGTCAGTTCCCTCAAGGGAATCTGCTGAGAGACGGCTCAAAGGCCATGGGAGTAATGTGTTTTGACATCTTTCTGTGTTCCTCCTGTGCAACTCCATATGGTTGTAGATTCTTTTAAAAGCATTTTCCTTTTGAACTCCACAACCTGATCCTAAAGATTCTATGAAGGAAAAATAAGATGGGAACATGTAATAAAAAAGAAAGAGCAAAGTGGTAGATCCAGCATTATCATATATTATGATATATAGCCACGGCCATAATAAGAAGCTAATATTACGTGGGATTAGATGGGGGACACAGTGTGCGCCAAGGAACACGCTTAGCATGACACAAGAGGGGATACGTGGCAGTCAGCATTTCAACATGGGGAAGGAAGACGCCTTCACACACATAACTGGAAAAGAGGATTTGATTCAAATCTCACTTCATCTATTAAAATTACAGACCGTTTGATTAGGAAAAAAAAAAAGCAACACAGAGAAAAGCTGGTGAAAGCAGATTCTAGTCTCACCAGATCTACACAGGAATAACACACTTCTTCTGGCCTACAGCAATAAAAAAGCATAACAAGGAAGAACTACAGAGTTGACAGTATTGAGAACGTAAAAACTTCTGTGCAGCAACGATGACAAAATTAATGTAGAAATAGGTGCAATGGATGGGGAAGCACTTACATAATTGTGAATAAAGATTAATACCTATAATATTTAGAAATCCCATTATAGTTTATAATAGATTAATAAAGGATTTCAGTAGCCGGTGTACACAATAAAAATGCAAATGGTGGACAAATACATATTCTGTTTAAAAAAGTTTTTTTTTTAACGTTTATTTTTGAGAGAGAGAGACATAGTGTGAGCAGGGGAGGGGCAGAGAAAGAGGGAGACACAGAATCTGAAGCGGGCTTCAGGCTCTGAGCTGTCAACACAGAGCCCAGATGTGAGGCTTGAACCCTGAACCATGAGATCATGACTTGAGCCGAAGTTGGACACTTAAGCGACTATGCCAGCCAGGCACCTTGACAAATACATAGTCTAATCAAAATAATCTCAGTGGATTAGTTTGTGTTCACATTTGCAAAATTAAAAAAAAATACTATCCAATTTTTGGCAAAATTTGGGTGAAATTGGTATAATCAGAAATACCAAAAGCCATAGAAATGCCAGTGCCAGTCTTCAGAATTTATCCCAAAGGAATAATTCAGAATAAGAAAAAAAATACCCACATATTTCAAGATGTTCATTGGAGTGCTCTCTCTGAAAACAACTTGAAAATAGTGAAAATCCCTTAGAATATAGTAATATTAAAGACCGTTATGTCAGCATGGTGAAAAAATTGAATAGAATAAAAATGGCAGAGAATAAAATATGGTGATATTAAAGACAGTATGGTAAAAAAAAAAGAGAGACAATTATGGGATGGTAGCATAATGGGATATTATATAGCGAAGAGGACAATAAACCAAATACGGAAAGTCACGACTTAGAGCAGTGTTTGGTATAATAACATCAAGTTGCATGTTGAAATGGCGTACTAATGACATCCACAGAAAGGCATATGCACATACACACAGACTAGTATAGTGAGGGAGTAGAAATCACCCAGGGGTTGGATGATAGATTAAGAGAATACATTTTGTTAAAAAATACCTTTACTTTTCTATATTACTTGTATAATGAATTTTAAGTTGAAAATAAAAAGACTGGACCAGAAAAAAAAAAAAAAAAGAGACAACAGACAAACACAAAGGTTTAGAAAAGCCTATGCTCTAAAATTTAATTTACGAACTCTTCTCCATGTGCTTTGATTCCTAATTTCTTGTTTTCTTTATGAGAGAAGTCTGATAGATCCATTGCCTTGTTTTGTTATTAATTAAAGAGAAATTTCCGGGCATCTGAACAGTCTTGTTTCAAATGCACTCAGGGCTGGAGCCAGCTTCCTCGGTGCACTATTACACGGTTTCACAGACCTCAAGTTTAGGGAATTAATCAAGCATGCAATGAAGTGAATAAATAACAGTATTTACAATTTTGGAACTGCTTGTGCTCTGCTGAACCCTGGTTGCTTATTTCCTTTTTGGAAAAGAAAGGGATGCCTACAGGTTCAAAATGAATCTAGTCCTCCTCCTTAGGGGAAAGGACCCCCCCTTCCCCCCAGGGCTGTTAACCCATTTGAGCCATATCTCATGAAGAACATGTTAATTTGCCTTGGGTGGACTTGACTGCAGCTGCTACTTGCTTTGTTTCAGGGCAAATGTTGGAAAGGACAGTGCAGTCTTAAGGGACTCAGACCACTGAGCGCAAACTGCTTCCCTGTCTGGCTTCTGCATTGCACATCCTCAAATCTGGCTGTACCTAAGTCAAGTCAACTACAGAGGGTGTTAAAAATACAGCTTCACTGGCCTCACCCCTGGAGATTCTAAACCAGCAGGGTTGGGGTAAAAACCAAAGAACTGTCCTTTTATCAAGCTCAGCAGAGGATCGTATATATGGCCAGATTTGGAAAGCATGGATGCACGCTCTTCAAGACTTTGCTTGGCTCTCCCATCCTTCCTCTCTGCCATAAATACTTATTAAGCTTCTGTTATGTGCCAGTATGCCATGTGTATGAGGTTGCCCAAACATATACATGGTCACCACTAAATTGTAGAGCTAAGGCGGGCTTCCCAACTCCACTTAGCAAAGATGTGAATTCTCCCTGACAAAGTTTAATTTAGAGGTGTAATGGGATTCCTGTCAAGTTCCTTTCAAGGTATTTCGCAGATATAGACAAGTCTTCTAAACTTTATTTTATACATTTTGTATTTTATTTATTTTTTTTTTAATTTTTTTTTCAACGTTTATTTATTTTTGGGACAGAGAGAGACAGAGCATGAACAGGGCAGGGGCAGAGAGAGAGGGAGACACAGAATCGGAAACAGGCTCCAGGCTCTGAGCCATCAGCCTAGAGCCCGACGCGGGGCTCGAACTCACAGACCGCGAGATCGTGACCTGGCTGAAGTCAGACGCTTAACCGACTGCGCCACCCAGGCGCCCCCATTTTGTATTTTAAATATAATTTATATAAATAAAAAATACGTTCTGAAAAGTCACAGGCCCTAGAATAACTAAAATAATTTTGAACATGTAGAATGAAATGGGAGGAATAGCTGTGTCCAACATCAAGGCTTACTAGATAGCTACCTTCATTAAGTGTAGTATGGCAGAGGGATAGACATACAGATCCACAGAATAGAATAAAGAACCCAGAAATAAACCCATACATATATTTCCAACTTATTTTTGACAAAGGTGCAGAAGAAATTTAATGGAGAGAAAGTAGCCTTTCAATAAATATTGCTGAAACATTTGGACATCCACAGACAAAAAAAAAAAAAAAAAAAAAAAGGACTGACCTAAACATCACAACTTGTACAAAAATGAACCCAAAGTGGATCACAGACTTAAATGTAAATGTAAAACTATGGGACTTTCAGAAAACAAACAAACAAAAACAAACAAGAAAGCCTTGGGATTGAGGGCTAGACAAGGAGTTCTTAGACTTGACATCAAAAGCATGACACATAAAACGAAAATGGTAAATTGGTATTTTGCTCTGTGAAAGATTCTATTAAAAGGGTGAAAAAACACGAGTGTCTGGGTGGCTCAGTTGGTTGAGCATTTGACTCTTGATTTTGGCTTAGGTTATGATCCCAGGTTTGTGGGACAGAGCCCTGTGTTGGGCTCCATGCTGAGCATGGAATCTGCTTAAGATTCTCTCTCTCTCTCTCTCTCTCTCTCTCTCTCTCTCTCCCTCTGATCCTCTTTCTTGTTCATGTGTGCATTCTCTTTTGCACTCTCTCTGTCTCTCTAAAAAAAAAAAGAAAGGTGGGGGAAAGTATTTGCAAACCACATATCCAACAAAGACTAGTATGTAGAATATACAGAGAACTCTCAAAACTCAACAGTAAAAAGCCAAAATCCAATTAGAAAATAGGCAAAGGTATGAACAGGTATTTCCCTGAGGATTATATACAGGTGACAAGCAAGCACAGGAAAAGATGTTCAACCTTATTAGCTATTAGGGAAATGCAAAAATCAAACCACAATAAGGTATCTCTATATACATATCAGAATGGTAAATAAATAGTGACACCACCAAATGCTGGTGAAGACGTGGACAACCTGGGCCACTCATGCATTGCCAGTGGGACTGTAAAATGGTGTAGTCACTCTGGAAAATAGTTTGGCAGTTTCTTATAAAAAAGTAAGTATGCAGTTACCATGAGACTCAGAACTTGAGATTAGGCATTTATCTCAGAGAAGTGGAAACATTTTCGTACAAAGATCTGTATATTAATGTTCAGAGAAGCTTTATTTATAATAGCCCCAAACTGGAAATAATCCAGATGCTTTTCAACCAGGCGAATCGTTAAACAAACCATGGTATATCCATACCCCAAAGGGTGAATTATGCATGTTTGGATGGTTCTCTGGAGAATTCCGCCAAGAAGCCAGTCACAAAAGTGTGTGCAGTATGATTCCATTTGTATGACACTCTTGAAGTGACGAAGTTCTAGAAATGGAGAACCTACCCATATGATAAAATTGGATAGAACAGCACACACACACACACACACACACACACACACTCAATCTATCTGATTGAGAGATAGATCAATGTCAAAATCCTGGTTGTGATACTATACTAGTTGTATAATAATAAAGTTGTTATCCTTAGAGCAAACTGGTAAAGGTCCAGGGGATCATCTGTATTGTTTCTTATAACTGCATGTGAATCTATAATTACCTTAAAATAAAAAAGTTTAATTAAAAACAATGGTTTTCTCAACTCTGCTTTAACCATATTGCGGCTGCTCCACGTACTGGCAGGGCGGGTTCTGCATTAAGTCATAGATCCATTGACCAAGAGTGAGAGCTCTCAGCTTCTGAGGCCAGTCTGTGTCTGACTCTCCCACAGTACATCTACATCATGCTATTGCTGCGACACTTCAAGTATATATATATTTTTCATAAATTGCAATTTCATCCTTCAGCTACACAAATCTCGGCTGCCGAATAAGTGACTCAGCTTCAGAGTCAAGCAATCCTAGAGAGAAATCATCAGGAAGAATATCGGAACAGCTCTACATGTTTCTGCCCCATTTTCCATTTGACACACATTCACCGAGTACCTACCATATAGCAGGCTCTGGGCAAGGTGCAGGGGGTAGAGATGACCATGGATGGCAGTTACTCGCTGGAGGCTCGTGTCTTGTGAAGGAGATAAAACACAGACACGTTACTATCAATGGGAATAGTGCTAGAATGATGGTATAGAAAAAAGTAATGTAGAGAGAAAAGGGATTTTTTTTCCCCAGAAGGAAATATTAATGCTACCTGAGGGGAGGGTCTGCAATGGGGTAGCAAGATGTTCCTCTAAGAGGAGAGGCATAAGCCTTGAAGAGCATGGGAATGATTCAGCATAAAGACAGAGTAAGCAGGGGGCTGAGAGGCAGGAGAGGAGCCGAGGACAGGGTGTGGACAGATTATGAACTAAGCTTGGCTTTTCGGCAGTGTTTGTTATAATAAGAACTCTCATCAGAAAGATTAGTCGGGTTTGTGGGGTGGAGGAAGGATTGGTATAGGGAAAGACAAAAAGTAATCAGATCACTTTGGAGACCACTGCTGATTCCAGAGCAGAAGGAATGGTGGGCCCATCAACTAGGATGGGGATGATCAAGGAATATCATATTTGGTGATCAGTTTGGTTTTATACATTCGGAATTTGAGATGTCTCTGGATCTGAGGTACCCCAGAAGGATGTTTTCATTAAGATGGGATCATCATGAATTCCATTGCAAAGGGCGCCATCACTGAGGGCTCAAGGTAATGCCATGGTGTGGTTTTATCTACGAGAGTTTCTGTAGAACAGACCCTAAGGTTAACAGTGCTATGAGGTGCTAACATATAAAGGGAGCAGCAGCAGAGGGACAGCCCCATGCAGCGGTCTCCCTTCTTCATTCGGTGAACTACTCCAGTCACCTCCCCTGGCAAGCCAGCAGCACTGGTGATCACCCACCCATAGCTTATAAGGGTTTAGAGGGTAAGGAGGCCAGTAATGGACAATTCCCCTGAAAACAGATGTTGGAATGCTATGGTATTTTCCCTTCCATACCTGTGAGGGAGGGTGGCGCTTTTCCCTGTATGAGAGAACTTTAAGAGAATAATTTATAAGGCTTGATGTGTGTCTCCTGAAGTTGGAGGTGGTGGTGGTGGGGGACACACGGGTGTGTAGCTGCATCCCAACAGACTTGAAGCCAAGTGTGGGTGATGGTCCAGTGAGGCCAAAGAAACGACCCAGACACAGATGTCAAGACATCGGTTTACTCCTGCAACTTACATACAAGGAGTCCATAAGTGGCTGACTGGACAAAGCAACCATTGCTGGGATCTACATGCAGCAAGCTTTTATAATGTAGCAACTAGCCTAGCAACTATCTGTAGCCTCTCCTTCCTACATGGCCAGCATTCCAAGGAGATGAAGGCCTGCTGTCTGGACATTCTTCATTACAAGGGAGACGCTCTGGATTGATTACCCCCAGAGCCCCTGACCTTGAATGCTGAACAACATGTTCTTCTGCATATTCTTCTTGATGGGAATATACAAGGAGGATGGGATCTCTGCATTCTCAAGATAGCGATGAACATGGACACTCACAGTGTGCTCGCACAAGCTAGCTATCCAGCACGTACCGGACAAAAGTCTTTGTGTCTAATCCATGCCTGAGCCGTGTAAAGGTGAGAGGTGATGGCAGAAAAAATAAGCCTGGTGGGGGAGCAAAGAGAAAAAGGACTGCCCAGGAATAAATTGTCATACCCTTGGTAGGGTAAGGACGTGGAAGCTTTTCTTCTAGTCAAGTGGCCCTACAGGTGGGGCACAGCCTACAGCTCTTGTAAAATAAGTAGGCATGACCCAACCAGAGAGAGAGAGAGAGAGAGAGAAAGAGAGGAGTGTCAGAGCCTCCGCTCACACAGAGGGTGTGTCAGTGAGAATCCTAAAAAGCCCGCTTCTGTGGCTGATACATTATGCAAAGGTGGCCTTTTCTCCCTTTGACAAGCCCCTCATCAGGGGACAAAAACCAAGTTGGCATTTTGGCCCCCACTTACCCATTTGTCTGGCACCTGTACTCATAGCACAGACTACATAAACTCATTGGTACTCTGGAGTGGGGGAGCAGAGGGAGGGCATTGTAAACAGCTGTCCAGAGACAACATCACCCAGGCAATGGAGTTGCGCCTGGAGACACCTTGCAGGGGAGTTGTTGGGGAAACCACAAGATTCTCTCCCAGCACAAACAGCTGACTCAAAATACCTGCAGAGCCCAGAGGGCCCAGGGCTGCGTTCCAGCTGCAGAGATATCAGGCACTGGGTCTACAAAGTAGGATGTGGGTGTGAAGCTGAGTGAGGAGGAGAAACTGATATGTCCATTTCCCATACCCGTTTCCAACCCAAAGCAGTCCCAGCCTCAAGGGCAGAGAGCTTAACAGATCAGAAGACAGAGGGAATCTTACACTGAAATGGGACTGTTCTGGGTGCTCATAGTTATGGGCCTGCCCAAGATTTGATATACAAGGGCCCAGGAAAAAGATGCATCTGGATATCGAACTTGAATGGCACTGGAAGGAAACAAAGACGTTGTCTTCTGTGTGCCCCCTATTCTGTCTAGCTAATAAGATGCAATCAGCTGATGACATCTGTATTCTTGCTGTAGAGCCCAGGGCTTGGCACAGACCAAGCGGTAATACGTGAGGGTTGAAAGGCATCCATCCAGCTCCCCTGTTAGAATCTGTCAGTGTTTGCAGTTCACTTTCTGCCACATCATGATTTTACTGTTAATAAGTAGAGCTGGAAGCGGAAGGCGGGGCATTTATGTACAAGAGTTGGTGACAGGCGAGCCTGCCAACTTAGCGACTCTCCTTGTCAAAGCCTCCGGATCCCTTCCCTCTCCGTGTGGTGTGTGCCTGCGGAACGATGGGCTGGTTGACACTCTGCAAACAGATGAGCAGCAGCTAATGGTCAATCAATTAATATTTATTGGGCATCTACCATGTGCCAGGCTCAGGGACCGGGCAGCGGGGAATTCACAACGAGGTAAGTGTGTGTCCTTCTGCTCTTTAAATAAAACAGTTTTCGGCTCCCACTGGGCTTTTTATTGGCGTTGCACTTTCCGCAATTTATTTTTATAGAGCCTTTTATGTGAAGTGTCTCAAAGCTAAGCAGAGAGAAAGAAACACACAGAAAGGCCCCATGGCTTCTTCCAAGCTCACGATCCCCATCCACTCACACTTGGTGGCGCTGGGTGTGAAGAACATCATCTAAAAATAAATCAGGCTGCCAAGCAGAGGCCTGGGCCGTGACGGATCTGATGGAAGGGTAGTGTTGCTGAAAAGATTCTTTTCTTTCCTGCCGGTGTTTCTTATTCTTAGTTATGTGCTCTTCCCTAGGTCAAACCAAGTTTAGAAAACTCTGGGCTTGAGCGTGGACCTTGCGGACTGTGAAAACATGCCTTTGGGTTCTGAGGTGCACAGTGCTTCCTGGAGTCTGGAAGCCCCTCATGGGTCCTCTCTGATTGTGTCTGGAGACCCATGGCTTGGGATGAGGGGCCATTTTGTCAGTAAATTCTTGTACTTGAAAGAAGCAGAAGGGCCCCACCTCAGCAGAGAGCAGGTCTTTGGCTGGCCTTCAGGTGCATCCAAGAGGGAGCCTGGATGTCCAGACCAGGGGTGGGGGTGCAGACGGTGAGATGACACAGTCAGCGTTACCTCTTTGTGCTGGTCACTGCTATTCCCCCATGTGAGCTTTCCCAGGGATCTGTAGTGAGGCCCAGGCACAGCAGGACAGGAGGAGGTGGTGTCTGGGGGGGGGGGGGGAGTGGGGAGAGCAGAGAGGGGATAACCAAGAGACTCCATAGGTAGCCTGGAAAGGGAACCTGGATGGATGGACTACGAGAGGCAGAACTGGGATGGAGGACCACATTGGGACCAGGCCTGCAGTAAACACCAAGGGTTGTGTGGTGAAGAGTCCTGTAAGGTTGAGTTCTGGAGCCCAAAGGAAAGGGAATATTAGCAACCTAGTCTCCTAGACCTGCTTTTGGAATGACCGCAACATCAATATGCCTGGTCTAATTTGTGGAGGGTATCCAGCCTTACCCACAACAGGACAGAGACCATGGCTGCAGCGGGTCCTTTGCTTAGAGAGAAACAGACAATGAGAGAGAGAAACAGTCAGCACAGAAACTCTGGAAGATCCACAGCCCTAGCAAACTCTGTGAATCCATCCTCTGGGAAAGGGAAACAGGATTTAGCACCACAGTGCTGGATGCTTCTGTACTTTGTCTCATTAAGCACTTACAACCCTATGGACTCTTTTTAAGTTTATTTATTTTGAGAGAGATAGCATGAGCAGGGGAGGGGCAGAAAGAGAGGGAGAGAGAGAATCCCAAGGAGGCTCTGTGCTGGGACTCAATCTCATGAACCATGAGATCATGACCTGAGCTGAAATCAAGAGTGTGCTTAACTGACTGAACCATCCAGGTGCCCCTGGACTTTGTTTTTTTTTTTTTTTTTAAAGAAACTGAGGCAGAAATTAGGAAGTAACTTGCTCCAGGTCACCAGCTATTCAGTAGCAGAGCAGGGATTGAAATCTAGGCCTGCAAGACTCTTTGCACTACTGGTGACTGGTTAGACACAAGAGTTTGAAAAGGCCTCCAAAGCATGGCAGAAAGTTTGGTAACATACTACATCGTTCTTTCAATTTTCCACAGAAGCAACCAAGAAAAGCCTTCTGGGTTGGTGGCCTCTGAGATTATTGTGTGGTTTAGCAGAAGGTTGGTGGATAGAGACCTCAGGATCCACTCTGACCAAGTGTTCATTTAGTCTCCATTCGGGGATTTCCTGACCCTGTGGGTGGGAATTCTTTCTTCTGTGTGTCCCTAAGATAGCCTTCTATGTAGGGACATATAACAGTATACATAACATTTCAATTCATTCATGCTGTTCATGTTTGTGAAATGGTGACCACGGCAGAGTTCTGATATTAGAGACTATGAAAAACAAAAGATACATCAGACAAGGGGGTCCGTCTTTAAGAGGAATCTTACCCTGGCACTGGTACGGCTTGCCTGGAGGGTGCCTTGGCTGCTAAGGGAAAACCAGGACTCTGATGGAGAGAAGGCAGCTACCTATTGTCAGTGACTCGTAGAGCAGGAAGCTGACCCCTCCATGCCTGGACAGAGGGTGGCCGTTTTTGCTGAGTCCGCCTTCAGCTTAAGGATATGGCTGTCTTCTTTGGACCAACACTGACGGCCGTGGGCTGAGCCAGGCAGGTCTTGTCATGACTTCAAGGGAAATGGATCTGCTAGAATGGCTCGGGTCAGGACCAAATGGAGAGAGATGTACTCACCGAGATAAAAAGATTCCAGCTTCGTGGATTCAGGCAATGTTTACATCCTGAATTGCCCCTGCACCGACGATCCGAACAGAAACTCTCAACCGACCTGTAGCCAACTGACCTCGCACTCCGGCACGGGTTAGTGACTTCTGCAGTAGTCTATCCTGTCCAACGTTCCTAAATACTCTGTCTGTCCTGCTCTGACACTGCAAATCCACTCCTACTCTGGCCGCTCTGCGACTCAGTAGAGGGGGACAGTCAGAGGTACGGATGAACCAAGAGGCCATCCCTAGGGAACAAAGTCAGTGGTTCAAGATGTGGGCATGGCTCAGAGAGTTGCTGGCGTCAAGGCTTAGTTTAGGAAAGCGGTATGTACAGCGGGGTGGTGGACCAGCGACCCGCAGGGAGGCGTCAGCTGGGTCCGCAGGGAGCGCTGTATGGCCTTGAAAGGGCAGCAGGGGAGGTACTGCAGGCTCCACCCAGGCCAGCAGAGGGCGGTGGCGCAGGGTGAGGCTCCAGTGCGCAGGCTCGCAGGCGTGGCTGGGATTGGGTCTGCGGGCTCCCGCGAGAACCCAACTGGCAAGGAAGGCTGGGGGCGGGCAGGGGGCGGGCAGGGGGCGGTTGGTGCCACGCAGGGTGGGGCAGGCCAGGTGAGGAATTGTGGCTGGGGCCAAGTGGCAGCGGGGAGGGTGGGGGAGGCTGCTGCGCAGCAGCGTGAGAGGGCCGACTTGGGCTCACCTGGTGGCCCGGAGAGGAAGATGCCTTTGATGCCCAGGGGCAGAAGGAGTGTGTTGTGGCCCCAGTCCCCAGGAGGCCTGCAGGTGCTGGTTTTGGGCAGGCCCTGGGCAAAGAGAAGCCAAGGCGGGGGGCGGGGGGGGGGGTAGACTCAGCCTGTGTAGTGTGATGTCCAGCTGTACTGTGACATGTGTTGTGGTTCCTGTGTGTGACAGGTTTGGGGCAGGAAACACTTTGGCTCTGTGGTAAAGAAAGGCCTTGAACTCTCATTGAGAAGCATGGAGCCGATATGATTGGTAAGAAGCCATAATCAGATACTAAGACATGGTATGGTCCTCGCTGGCCTGGGCTGGGGAGGTTTCGAGGCCAAGAACTCCGGTCTCACTCAAGGACCAATGAGGGTTGAGGGGCCTAGCAAGAAACGGAGCATTAATTCATCAGTTAATTCAGCAGCTAGTTTTGAACACCTCCTGTGTGCCAGGCACTGCTCTCGAAGTTGGGAATATACATGAACAAGATAGGCAGGGCCCCTGCTTTGATGGAGTTATAGTCCAGAGGGGAAGATAGCTAGTCAAGGCTGCGTCCTGGGTTTTTGCCTCGCCTACTCTTTTGCCTTGCTGTTTAATGAGATGGGGAAAAATGTAGGTGGGGTGTAGGTTTCATTTTTGGAAGGGGTGGAACCAAGAATTAATGTTTTGAATATGTGAGGTTTGAGATGCCTACTAGGTTTTCCCCCAACGTGCGACATACAAACAACATAGTTGGAAAGAATTTTCCACTGAACTCTGTATACCCGCCACCTAGGTCCCACCACTAACATTTAACCACACTTGTTCTTGTGTTTTTTTTTTTTTTTATTTCTCACATATTGATTTATCTCTCCATCCCTCTCTCCATCTGTCACCTTGTAGATTTATTTTGTTTTATTATGGTGAAATATACATGACAAATCTAGTAGATTTTTAAGTTGAGATGTCAGAGAGGCCATTGGAAATTTGTATCTGAAGTCCTGTGCGATGTCAGGGCTTTGGAATCACTACCACATAGATGGTATTTAAACTAAGGGACTGGCTGAAACCACCTAGGTTGAGAGTGTACCCAGAAAAGAAAAAGGGAAGCCAAAAAAAGAAGGAAGTGGTGGTTAACTGTGGCAAATGCCACTGTGTAAGATGGATTTGGAATTAGGATTTTAATCATTTTTATAAGAATAACTTTTTGGACTAGAGGGGCCTTTAGGTCAAGTGGGTTGTTTTTTTTTTTTTTTCCAAGATAGAATAAACTAGAATATATTTATATGCCAGTAGGATTGAACTCCTAGCAAGGGAGAAATGATGCAGATGAGAGAGGGGAACATTACAGGGTAGGTCGTTGAATATCTGAGAGGGGAGGAGATCCAGAGCAGGTGGGTGGTTGGCTTTGAATTGATCAGGAGCACATATTCCAGTATCACTAGAGGGGAAGCCGAGACAACAGGTGCAGATGCAGGTAGGTGGTAGTGGCACCATCTGTCTGTAATGCAGTCATTGACTGAGAGGACAGTGGGAGAGAGGAGAATAGGTGGTAGACTCTTGAGGAGACGCATGTGACGTAGTTCTTCCGCAGAGTGGAGAAGTGAAGTGACTAGGGAAATGGGATTAGACTGTCAGGCAGTGTTGAATACCTGTTCGAGGTGTGTAGAAATGAATTTAGAGTGAGATCGACCAGTGGGGTTGTGTGGTTTTCTCTGGGAATGTTAGCCCCTGGAACGGTGTTTTGAGGATTAAATGAAGCAACCTATGGAAAACATTTAATAAGTGGCAAGCACATGATGAATGTTACCTATTTTTGAGCTCTTGTTTTGTTTTTCTTTTGGTTTATGCACATATAACCGGGGGAGGGGTGCTGACCTTTACCAACTGACAGGGTCCTGTAGTCCACTGTTTGCAGTTATTTCGAAGCCTGTCTCCTAATGTGTTGTATTTATATAGCCTGATAATAGGGGATGTTGGCTTAAAAAGGCTAAACTATAGCAAACAGGGGTGTCACTGGCAGACTCATTCAGTCTTGGCCTGGATGGGCTGGGGCTTTGTCACAGTAACAGTTACAAAGTTCTCGTGAAAGTCTGTTTTGCGTTTCCTATCGGGTCTGATATACTGGGACTTTACAGAATCTACAGATCTAAGATCACCAGAGAGGATTTTCAGTTTAGTAGGTTGTCATTTCTCCCCAACCACTTGGGCCGTATTATGGTACAAATAACAATAATGGCTGACATTGACAGCTCTTAAAAATGTCAAGTGTCGTTCTAAGCACATCACATGCATTGTCTTGTTTAATCCTCACCCCAACTCACTGAGGCAGGTACTGTCATCTCTATTTTTCATGTGCAGAAATGGCACAGAGAGGTTAAGTCACTTACCCACAGTACACATAGTCTGATATCCAGTGTTTGCTGCGGACTAACTTAAATTTTTTTTTTTTTAATTTTTTTAAAGATTGTTTGGCCATCACTCATCTACTAGTTAAGGTAACAGACTGAAGCAAATTGCCTGGGTTCAAAAACTGCCACTTACTAGCTCTGTGTCTTTGGAACTCATTTAACTTCTGTGTGTATTTTTTTTTTTTAACTCATGAAATGGGAATAATAAAAGTACAGTATGTGCTCAATAGGGTTATTTTGAGGATTACATGAATTAATGTATTTAATAAGCTGAAGAATAATGCCTGGTTGTTTAAATGCTATTACCATCTGTCTGGTAATGCAGCCAGGGTGATATGTGTACTGATTGACACCCCTAAAATCATTCACTAAGGGTCCTGCTGCTGGGTTTAGTAGAGCTTGAAAATTACAGGGCACTCTGTTAATGCTCCTAATTAAGAGATCACCTTTCCTTAGATTTTATTATGTCTGAGGGAAGCAAATTTAAGTTTGCCTCTAGGTGCAGAAAACAACTTGGATTTCATTCAGACTCATCTGACCAGTGAGGTTAATGTCATTAGTCCTGGTATCACATACCACTTAAAGGGAAATGAGGCCTGGGCATTCCATTTTGCCATTCCCAAATCGGCAGCCTAATGGGATTTGGTTAGAAAGGCCAGCGGACTGCATAGCTGGTGCTGGGCACAGTGTGTGGTAAATGATGTGGGTCAGTAGTCTGCACATGAAAAAGTTTTGAAAAGGTCTGTAGACTTTAGACTTGCTGTGATGTATTGCATCAGTTACTGATTAAAAGAAACTGGGAAGGCTTGGCATGGGCGGCCATGAAAGTTCTAAACATGCCAGGAAAGTTCTAAAGGACCTTTGCTGGTACACAACAGGGAGAGTAAATTCATAGTATAAGGTAGTGGTTCCCTGCAGGTTTCTGTCAGAATCACCAGGGGGAAGTTTTATGATGCTTTGCAAAATGCCAAGTTCCATGTCCATGGACTCGGAATGAGTAAGTTATGGCAGGGTTCTGGAATCCATCTATTTTTTTTGAGAGCTCCACAAATGACTCGGATATGTAGTTAGCATGGGGTGTTATTAGTGCAAATAAGTATTTTTCAGCCCTGACTGTGTTTTAGAATTACAGATCAATTAGCCTTTTAAAGAATACTCATGCTCTGGACCTACCCCAAGGATTTTGATTTAATGGGCTTTCGCAAGGTCTGGACATTGGTATGGATTATTTTTAAAAAAGCTTAAGTTGATTCTAACCTGCATCCAGGTTTGAGAATCGCTGGTATAAATAATAAGTTAGATTTCCCTTCAAAGTTTAGTTACTCATAGATTTAAAATGGACATAGCTTCAGGTGGCATCTCATCATCAGAACACTGAGAAAGTTAGCATTTCTAAACCTCTCCAATGCAAATGTTCACTTCAATAATCAGGTAACAATGGAAGATATGAATTGATGATTGAAGCAGCATTTGTCATACCAAGCAATGAAGATTTCATCAAGCTTGCCCTGGAGAGGCACATTAACATTTACTTAGAGCTTTATATAGAATCTCAGTCTTTGGGAGGTATATATTGTTCCCATTTTATAGATGAGATTTTGGGGGCAGAGGGAGGTTATGTCACTTGCCCAAGATTTTCACCCAAGTAGGTACAGCTCCAAAGCCTAGGTTCCATTTCCTCAGTAGTTTTTAATCTTGACTGCACACTAGGATCACCTGGAGAACTTTAATGATCAATACTTGGATCCCATTCTCTGATTTCATTCATTTGATGTGACCTGCAATCCGTATTGTGCAGAGCTCCCCAGATAATTCGAATGCGCACAGTCCTGGCGGTCTAAATTTACTTTCTTTTACATCAGGTTGCCCCTCTGTGGGCTGCTATGACTGGGTTCCTTGCTTTTGCAAACTTACTTATCTTTGTGTCACTTCTTTCTGCTTCTTACTGCCTTTTAATACATATGTATTGAGTGCCCACTTTCTACCATTCATCTTGGTGTTGAGGTGACACTGTGGTGACAAGACAGACCAGGTCACCAGCCTCGTGGTACTTATACGGAGGGAGATAGACAGTACACATATGAGCAGATACACAAGGACTTGCCTACATAGGTAAATCTTAAGGTAATGAAAAGTGCTTTTAAGAAAACTAAGGCAAGGTAGTGAGTAAAGGGATCCTCAAAGCGGTGCATCAGAGTTCCAGTTGTTCCATTTTTGCCAGAACTGCTTTGTATTGTTCGTGTGATTGTATTTCATTTTAGCCATCCTGATAAGTGTGTAGTGGCATCTCATTGTTTCCTTTTGCATTTTCCTGTTGACAAATGGTGTTGAGCGTTTTTTTCCTATGTTTAATTTACCATCTGTAGTTTTTTCTTTGGTGAAGTGTCTATTCAAATATTTTGCTCATTAAAAAAAAAACTTGGGTTGTTTGTCTTCTTGAGTTTATAAGGGTCTTTACATGTTTGGAATACAAGTCGTTTTCCATATAGGTGTTTC